GCGTAGTATTTCTGCTCTAATCTAAATATTATAAGCGTAAAACAAATTTGATATTTTGCTCTGAACAAGTTTATCGATAAAATTGATTGAATGTTATCACTCAATTCATATAGTACTGACAAGTGTCACCCGCACTATGCTCTAATGAAAATCCCATCAAAAACATAAATGTGAAAATGGGAGCCATATAAGATAACTTGTACGTAAAAACTAGCCAAGTCAAATCTTGAACTTCAATTTATCCTAAGTTATCTACTCTGTGTAAATAATTCGACTGTTCAAATTTAAGAAGTTCTATCTTTAAATAGCAAACACTATATAGCGGAAGAACAAGAAATTGTGTTTTTAACTTATTTTAGAATATTGTATGTTCTTATGAAAAAATTTCAGGATTATCTATAGAATTTGGCACTGTATGGATTCTAGTTAATCTAAGGGATTTAATAAATGAACCAAAGTTCATGAATTTATGTTAAATAGATTTTGAGTTGTTACGAGGTGAAAAGTGGCGCCAAATAGTTCGTGTAAATAGACACACGGTGCTGTGTTGCCAGTTCCTTAGGCTTGGACTTGGCTAGACACGCTACGGAGTGTCTTGATAGTGTAGTACCTACATATGTATATTCTACATACACGATTTAAATAATTCTGAAGTTCATTAATTGTCTCCTCTCTTGTTGACATCCTATCGAACTTTCTGTTTTCCATAGAGTTTCATTTTCAAAGTTTGATGCAAATATAATATACAAACACGATCACTATGTTTGGCATTTGTTATTTTCACGCTTGATGACGAAATCTACAAAACAAAAGATGTTTTTGTGTAAGAAATAAGTATGGAACGTAGAGGTAAGGAGGAGTCACTGTTGTATGAAAAAGTGTCTGTCAAAACGCGTTCAATAAAGGTGGCGCTGCAGTAGCGTAGGATAAATTTTAAAGGGAGTGCTAAAAGAAATTAGAATAAGATAGAGAAATAAACAAGGATGGTTATATTTATTAAATTATTTTAGACTACATAAATAGTTGAGGTTTCTTATACTGGTATCTCATTAGCTACTTTCGCCATGATTTTTTTTTAATTTTTGAACTCAGCACACTTCACTCCGTCTACAACTGCTAAATTCATATCGTAGTTTTTCGTACGCCAACGCCATCTACACACATGTGTGTACATCGCACACAGGTGGACACTTTTTCAACTGGTCTCCCGTATAAGAGACTCCTCCTTGCCTCTACCCTCGATAGAAATAAGGAAGAACATAATCGGTAAATTACAACAAAACACAACTCAAACATATTCAGTAAAATGTGAAAAAAGTTTCCATTATATTTTTAATTCTTTTAAGTTCATTTAACGTATATGAGCCAAATTTAAAATGACATAGACATAGTGTGTACAGTAAATAAACAGTGCACCAATATTTCGCAGTATTCCGCTGGCGTGGGTGGCTGGCGAGCTACCCAGCTGTAGTATAGATAGATGGTATGCGTGAATACACTTCAAAATAGTAAAAAAAAAAACTATAACAACAGGTCTGTTATTTTAAAATGTAAACACGAAATCAGCATATAATTCAAAATAACAAGCGTGAGGAAACTTCTTGTAAAACCTAAAAGCAAAGAATTTTGAATTTTCACACTTTCTGTGTAACTTTCATGAAGCTGCTTTATTATGGAATTACATTACCTACCTACATTATAAAATTAGCCAAAGTGAAACTTATTTTCATTTGCGTAAAAGCTTTATACTTCGCTTATTTTATTTTTATCTCTTTTTTTTTTTAAATAAGTAATAGACTTACGAAGGTTACAGAATAAAATGAATTTTATTAATACCGCTTTAAGCACATCGATCAGATGTTTCTTAATCTAAAGTACCTAAATACTTGTTATACTTAGTATAAATATTTGTTCTCTTTTAAATCTATACTAATAAATGGAGAGCCGATTGTTTTGTTCGATTATACTGCGATAACTACTGAACCGATCGGAATAATACTCACACCATAAGATGCAGCGTGTTTCAGAGGTTTTAGTATATGATATGTTGGTGACTAATGTACTATACGGGCGGAGCCGCAGGAAAACGCTAGTAGGTAATTATAAACATTAAATTTTCAAATAATTTAATCCTTTTAATTAAAAAAAGACCCGGTATGCACATAATAGCATCTACAATTTTTATTTAAGAATATAATATAATAATATATTTAATTCTAGTTTAGGCAATAACTTGAATATACCTATAGCCTAGACTACTATACCCACTAAACAGTAAACTACCAATAATTAACAATAATCAAGAGTTGTTCTAACAAATCACTGATATAATATATTAAATTAAATATTTCCTTAATATTTTAGAAAATATAGAACACGGTATATTGTTAGAGCAGTGATGAATGAAAATGATTAATGGCTCGGGCCTAATGTTGTGAATTGTTCGTAGCTGATGATCCATGTACATTGTACAAGTACGCTATAAAAGTTATATTTTACGTTTTTCGCACTTTACTTTGCCTACAAAGGCGCGCTCTCAATACTGCTAATTTAAATGTTCTACATTTAAGAGCTTTTGCAATATAAATTGACCTATTTCAATGTAAATCTCAGCCGCTGAATGCAAGAACAATGTTCTTACTTTATTTTTATTGTAACTTAAAAAATACAGTAGCTTTAGAAGCTTCATTTTCTTTTCTTGTAGAAACTTTAAGAGGCTCTGAGATCTATATTATCATATCTTACAATGTAGGGTTTATGACTTTCCGCTATACGCGATCATTTCTGACGCAACGTAATTTAGAGATGATTGGAGTAGGTATCCTGAAACTTTGCTATTTTAAAATCTTCTCTTATTTTTATCAAGTGTTTTATTATTTACTATAAATATGTAAATATATTCACTATAAATATATAAATATGTAAATTTATTTTAACCTTATAAGGTTAATTAAAATGTAGATATATACCTACCTAGGTACCTACATGTGCATGTAGGATATTGTTAATTTTACTAAGTATACTTAGTAACATTTATTTCTTTTTTTTTTTTTGCAACTTGAAACTCAAAAGTTACCATCAAACCACTTTTGTCATGAAGATCAATAAAAAAGGGAAACCCATAGGAAATAATATTTCCTATGGGTTTAAATCGTATCTATGTGGTAGTAAAAAGACTAGGGTTTTCTAATACTTTCCTTATAAGTATACCTGCTGGAAATTCGTCCTTTTTTATAAGCAGAACTTAAGTTATATAACCTTACGAACTATTTGGTAGGTTTATTTTTGTGATGACTCACATCAATTTTATGACCTAAACGTATGTTCGACACGACTCTTATAGTAACATGTTCATATTCTTCTAGTGCAAACAAAATTTTGTGAAATGCTCAGCGTACATTCTTTGCCATGTATTACAACTTCTGAGATTTCCAGCGGGATTTGGTCGTAGTTATAATATTCATTACTTGTGCTCGTGAAGTGAATAGAAAATAAGAAAGTTAGACCAAAGATTTATAAAATGTCGACTACAACATTTTTCTATTGAGTATCTATGTATTCCAGTTATCTATACTAATATTATAAATGCCAAAGTGACTCTGTCTGTCTGTTACGTTTTTACGCCTAAACCACTGAACCAATTTTGATGTTTGGTATAATGAGGGATGGGACCTTGGAGAAGGACAGATGACAACTAGATCATACCTTGTATATAAAACCTGATTAGAAATATTTTTATATTTTTAATCTATTGAAAAAATGTTGTATGACACTATATGACCTCTGATTTATAATTGAGACTAGCAAAGAAGTTTAATCAGATTTTTAGATATCTATTTTTAATTTTGCATTGAAGTAGGTACTCGTAGGTCGACTAAATGGGAAATTAAAAGAAAAGAAGATAATATGTACTTAAAACAGACTCAAATTACAAGAATATTACATTGCATACTTTGAAACAAAAATCAGTAGAGGATTTAAAATGTATTGAACAATTCTACAACATAATGTGTGACATGATAATTCATGAAAATACTGATGTAGAAGCTATTTTATGTAAAAGGGTCATTTTCAAAAAAAAAAAATAGGTCAGTACATATCGATACCTGAATTGGCAAACCAGCTAACTCCATAACTCCATAAGAGGAATTTTTTCAGGATACACTTAAAACTTATTAAAAATTTTTACACTAAGTACCTACTCTTCAAAAAATCTTAAATACCGTTGGTAGATAATATCGTAAGCTGTTATTTTTGATACTGTAAGATCCTACTAAAATAACCGTATTGAATTACTGTTGCATACAATCTGAACCATAAAATATTTTTTGACGAAATGTGGAGTTGGCTGGTTTGCCAATTAAAGTATCGATTTGAAAAATATTATCATCTAAAAAAATTTAATTATTGTAAATAGACTGCTGCAATAAATCTACATTCGGTGTTCTTTTAATAATTATAGGAAAACAATTTATAATTTCTGATTTTATAAGTTAAATGTTATTAATTTACTAAACCAGGGGAATGAACTCTTCTCCATTCAGTGACAAATCGTTGTAGGTTCTAAGTATAAAAAAAATACACCTGGATTGTATCATAAAGTTTTTTTAGGCGAACTAAAGTCCACTCCAAAATTATTTAACTATTTAATATAAAATAGGTAGTAATAGTAAAATCTACCATATAACAACCATACCTACCATATAAATTTTATACAGCAATCAAAAATATGCATTACAATTTTTTTGAAAATCACCCATAAATATCTATTTGCAATAAGGGTTGTTAGATCGTCAATAAAAATACATATGACTTGACTACAATATATTTTGGTTTCAATAATAATAATTGTAGTTTACACAGAATACAATATTACAAGATTGCAATGAGATACTTAACCTAGAGGAAAAAGAGAATATAAAAGGCAGTGTAAGAAGAATCCATTCTTAATTGCCGTCAGTCCTTACTGGATTTAATTCAGAATAAATATAAAGTATTTATTCCTCATCAACAAGCAGTAACACCCTGTTTTTATCAACCCTTACTTTGGGTGCGCTTCTCAATTTCTTTATAAATTTATCAGCAATTCTGTCATCAATCTCATCACCAGTAAATTCTGAATATTCAGATAAAACTTTCTTTTGCAAACGCTTAAAAGGTAACTCATTTCCTTTCTTCTCTAAAATTGAAATAATAACAGCATGCCAGTCAAATATACCATTATTTTCAGGCACTTCTCTCTCACCTAGAGCAACATTTTGGTCATGAAGACAGATATTTTCATTCGCTTTAGCTGCAGCAAGCTCATTCTCCATTTTGAGCTTTTTCATACTGGCTTTTACCTTTAATGTCTCACTTTCTATATTCTGCACAGCTTCTGGTACCTCTAAAGTTGTCACAGTATCTTGTCGTTTACGTTTCTTTTCTTTTAATTCTTGGTCATGCCCGTTAATATTCTCCTTATTCTTTTTCTTTCCCTTTTTAGATACAACGGTTTCAGCATTAACTTCTGGTTCTTCTGGAGGTGCCACAGCACTTAGTAATTCTGCTTCATATTTTTTACGCTTTTTCTCCTCTTTTCTTTGTTTCTTAGAAAGCTTGTTATTTTCTACCTTTCCAGATTGAATTTCACTTTTATCTTCGGCGACAGTATCTTTTTCTTCATCTTCTTTATCTTCTTCATGATTACCATTCTCTAATTTACCATTTAGACTTTCACTATTTTGATTATTTTCCTCTGTAGAACCATTTTCCACAGATGCATTATCTTTATCTTTTTGACTTTGGTTTCTATTTTGCGCATTCATATTTGAAAGCTCAGTTAACTTTACTGAAATTAAGTCCCAAGCTTGATCAATATCTTTAGGGTTTGTTTTTTGCCCACAAACATTTTTTACAAAGTTAATAAATTTTGGTTTCTTCCTTGGTGTGTTATTATGCTTGCTTATAGTCTCAATAATTCTTAAAACATTTCTAGATGTATTTTTCTGTTCATCTAACACAGATTGTAACATTTCCACCCAAGCATTTTGCTTCTTTTCACCTTTTTTTTCCTTTGCAGTAAATCCTTTGCCAGAATAGCGTTCTTCTTCAGTAATACACTTTGTATGAGCTTCATAGTCATTTCCTCTGAAAAAAATAATAATTGGATATATGTGTATTTAAATGAAACAATAAATCCTTTTAAATTTTTCTTTTTTCTTTTCTTTGTCTTTTTTTCCACATGAAATGTAAATATTATTTTCTTTTTGTTTTTTAATATTTCTTATGTACTCGTTACTTTAAATGCACAGACTCATACTGTAATATTCACCTTCGGCTTAAGTTTGTTTATATAATTATTATATGTTTTTATTTGAATGTTGTGTACACATATAATTGGACAACAAATTTAATATGATATTTTTAGTTTTTAATATGAAGATGTAATTTTTTTAATTCATTTTCTGTTTCTGTACCTAAATAAATAAAAATAAAAAATAAAAAATAAATGTACAAGGAATCAGTAAAATATTCATGAAGTATCAATTAATTTGTGTATTTATAGCATTATGCTTTACCTCAAAATTACAACAAACCTTGCCAAAGTAGGTTGCATTTGCAGTTCTATTTTTAGCTAAGACAACCATAAACATTTGAAAACGTGTACTAAATATTAAGATACTTACAAAAAGTCTTTAAAACAATCCATGCAAGAGAGGTTAGGGTTTCTATTTCTGCATTTTGTCAAATAGTGTTTTTCAACTTTCGGTTTTTGGACTGATTCTCCGCAGTGGCCACAAGTAAAAACAACCATATTTTTCTCTGAATACAAATAAAAATTTATATAAAAGTACTATTGTATGTGAGTTTAACTTATTACAATAAATATGTATAAATCCTGAAAAATAAATAATCCTTTTAGGTACGTGACTTTAAGCAATGAATATTGTTATTTTGTAGGTTTTGTAGTAAAACAATAATAATTTGTAAAAATCACATACTTTGTGATTGAAGATTTCAAAATTCACACTAAATTGTTTTGTCTTATCAACACATGTGCCATCCAAAACACGCCACAAATTTCGAATCCGAAATTATTGAAAAAAGTACGTATTCGTGTTTGTCAAATGTCAATGTCAATTATGTAAAGTGCACAAATTATAGAAATGCTATGTAGGAAAGTTACAAGCCATTCATAGGTATCTACTTAATTACAGAAGCAATAATTAATATCTAATTTATGACAATAAGTAGAATAATTGGGTGAATTTTTCATAAGCTAAGTAGTTTTTATAAAATAACACACAATTACATACAGTATCAAATGGGGAAGAATTTTGCCTTTTTCGCCCGCCAGATACTGCGATCACTATGATCGACATTATAATGTAAAACTTTATAGCGTAAATGGATTTTTTTTTCATTTTATTTATAATTGAAATAAAATAACAAATTGGACAGTGCCAGGATGTAAAGAAAATGCATATCATTTTTTCCCAAAAGACAAAAACTGAAGAAATTGTGGGCTAACGCTATAAGACGACCTAAATTGGCGAAATCACAATCTTTATATTTAAGGCTATGTGGACATCATTTCACAGAAAGTGATTTTAAAACTATTAAATCGTCTACAGGTCTTTTTTTTATTTTTGTACTTTTATAACAATTTTATATTTTTCTCATCCACGCTATTTTACCGTAGACTGAGAATTGTCAGTCTACGTTTTTTACTAACTATTGGAACTTTTACAGATACATAATATATTAACCACTATAAAATAAAAATCATTTCTAGGCGGCCGTTTAGAATTGGGGACTTGGCCCCTAGCGGAGTGGGTGGTATTTCTGGATAAGGGACGTGATAGGGAGTCGAAATGTTAAATAAATTTTTTAATACAACAAAAGAGTCAAAAGTTATTGAGACTTAAAGTTATAGCATTTCCATACATTATTTTGACATTACTACCATTTAGACACTTGGAGTCAAAACGTCACTTTCAATTGTCAAAATGATCTCCAGATGATTGTCTTTATTTGTACTTTGCGTGAAATTCGAATTTTCTAGTTTTCTAGTCATTTATGGCACTCGCCGGCCGCTACCGCGGCACGCTCGCTTCGCTCGCTCGGCTCTTGCGTTGTGGCAACTGTTCTAACCTAACCTAACCAAGATATGACGAATAATTAATAAATAATCTTAAATGTTCTAACCTAACCTAACCCAGATATGAGGAATAATAAATAAATAATCTTAAATGTTCTAACCTAACCTAACCCAGATATGAGGAATAATAAATAAATAATCTTAAATGTTCTAACCTAACCTAACCAAGATATGACGAATAATTAATAAATAATCTTAAATGTTCTAACCTAACCTAACCCAGATATGAGGAATAATAAATAAATAATCTTAAATGTTTTAACCTAACCTAACCCAGATATGACGAATAATAAATAAATAATTAAAAATATTCACAAAGAAAAAAATGATTTTTTTTACTAAATGTACAATTGTAAAACAATATATTTTACATAAATCAAATAAAAAGTTATAAATGTATTTATAAAGTGAAAATAATATATTTCTTTTTATTTATTTATTTATTAATATTAATATTTTACCAACAGAAAAAGCAAAAATAATCAAATATAATCTGTTGTCATTTAAGCGGTAATATAAAACAAAGTGTCAGTTTTGCTTTTGTCAAAATGTAAGATCATTTTGTTTGTGTTGTGAAATTATTAAAATATTAAATACAATAAAGCATTAATTGTTGTGAAAATGTGTAATGTACATAAAAAAGGATGCGTACTATTCGTTAAAGGTATGTTTATCTGTTGTAATCACTTATTTAGGTAAAGAAATGTATGGAAATGTGTTAGATATGTTATAACTTTAAGTCTCAATAACTTTTTAGTCGTACGTTTCCTCCAAATATTTTTAATATATTTTGACTCTCTGTCACCTCCCCTATCTAAAAATACCACCCACTCCGAATGGTGGTAAAGAAATATATGAAAATGTATGGAAATGTTGTAACTTTAAGTCTCAATAACTTTTGAATCTTTTGTTGTATTAAAAAATTTATTTAACATTTCGACTCCCTATCACGTCCCTTATCCAGAAATACCACCCACTCCGCTAGGGGCCAAGTCCCCAATTCTGAATTTGTGCCCATTTCTATTTAGCAGTTGGTAGCCCTAGTATCAACAATGTGCTTTCAAAGTTTCAACTTTTATTTGTCAATGTCATCCATGGTTTCAACTTTCAATTGACAGTTGACTTTTGCTATACATAATTTCCGTTTGTTTCTAGTTTACGAATTTCGGGTGTGTCCAAATTTTAAATGCTTTATTGCATTTTAATATAATTTTGAAATAAACATGATAGTATGACTGAAAAAATAAAGATGATAGTTAAATATAATTTAATATATTTGTTAATGTTAATAAGTAAGTACAGATATTTTGAGTTGTAAGTGTATCTATTTCATTTGTTATAAACCGTTGTAGGATATATGAATAAAAATACTGACTATATTTCTTAATTATAACTGACTTTGCAGCATCCACAACTGCTGACTTTTCATATAGAGAGCCTATAACTAATGTTATTACTGACAAAGACAAACCAAAAGTAGAGGGTGAGGACGTTGTATCATGGTGTACTACATCAATAGCTGAACAAAAAAAATGTGAAAAGCTTGCAGATGCTATTATAAAAGATAAAGGGCTATTTGGAAAACATTTTTTTGAAATACAATGTAAAAGAGTAAGTAGTTCATGCATATTTTATTATTTAACTGCATTTACAATAAAAAATCAAATAATGTAGTACCTAATACTTTCTTGGATTCACGCGAATATCAACATTTTAATGTAAGGATGTTAGAGTAATGAAATGCTTGAGTGTCGACGTAAGACTATTTTGTTTATATTAATGTTAGGATTACATATATTTATGATACTACTAATAGGAGGGAGGCACACACGACTACATTAAATAAAACAACATGTTCGGATTATTTCACGAATTTACGGGAACGACAAGAGAATCTGTCCCATGAACATGATTGCTATAAAGCATTTGAAATGTCTGCAACTAAAAATTAAAAAAAAATGCAAAAATAAATGGAAAAAGCTGTACCTTCCCTTTATATAATTATTTAATTATTAATTTGAATAACAATAAGGTTTACACCAATATTTTTAGGCATTTGACACTGAGGAATGTATGTCATGGGTAGACAGAGGAGAAGCTTCGCTGCTGGCATTGGATGCTGGTGAAGTGTATGTTGCTGGCCGATTCCACTCTTTAGTACCTATTGTACAAGAGGTAAGCTTTAGAGATTTAAAAAAGTTAGAACTTTTGAAATATTTTTGTAATAATAAGTATTGAACTTTTTTTAATTGTAATAACTATAATATTATTATTATTAATAATAATAGTTAATTAATGATATTTATGTAGACTGATATTTGCTTGGACAAAGTAACAAAAATTATCCTTTATTACAGCTTTATGGGAGAGGTGAACCTTACCAATTGGCAGTAGCAATTGTAAAGAAGGGTGGTCTACCACATGTTCAGGCTGGTATGGGACTTCATGGGTTGAGAGGTGCTAAGGCCTGTTTCCCTGGAGTAGGATCTCTAGCGGGATGGGTGATGCCTATACATACTGTAAGCTTATGTTATTAACCTGTCAGCGACTGCCGAGCCGCAGGTGGCTCGGCTAACAATTGTTTTCTTAGAAATTAACTGTGAAGTGTTGAAACCAAAACAAATATTTTTTATTAACTTTTAATGATTGATTAATATCTCATTTAAAAACTAGCAGCGACCCTTCAACCTTGCTTCACGTTCATCCTTAGACAAAAACAAATTATTACCTCACGGTAACCATACATATTTCCAGGATAAAAAGTAACCTGTGTGCTATTCCAGACTATAATCTATCTCTGTGCCAAATTTCATAAAATCCATTCAGCCGTTCTGGCATGACAGAAACAAACCATCCAATCATCCTCACAAACTTTGACATTTATAATATTAGAATGGATATTGTAATCTAGATCATATGAGGTTTGTTTTTTAAAACCATTAAATATTTTTACAGTTAATGCAAGAAGGTGGTCTTAAAATAACAGATTGCAATAATCATGTAAAGTCAGCTATAGAATACTTTGGTGAATCATGTGCTCCAAATTCTTTAAAGGATATGTACAATCCTATTGGTGACAACTCTGATAAGTAAGTGATTATATAAAAGTATTTTTATTTGAATAAAAACTGCCATTAAAATATAGGGAAAACCAATTCATATAAAGTAATCTAACTTATGAATGTTTGAGTTTATTAAATTTTTAGTATTTATAATTTCTTTAAAATGTTATACTTATTATAATTTCATTAACACCTATTAATTATATACATATTATGTACATAGTTCAGTACTTAATTCTTATAAAGAAATGCTTTCTGATTTATATATATATAAATATGAATATACTGGATGGCAACCATGGTATTATAAAATGATAGAGAAAATCTTATAAATTGATTAAAGATAGATTATTTTATATATCAAATATTCTAGTAATTCTAAGAAGTAAACATTTTTATATAGATTGTGTAAGCTGTGTACTGGTGGGGCAGGTGTACGTTGCACCTTAGCAGATCCATATGCGGGGTACGAAGGCGCATTGAAGTGCCTACTTGCTAATGGCACGGGTGATATCGCTTTCGTGCGTGACACTACCATACAGCACACCTTGTTGTCGCATAAGGTACTTGGTAAGTATTATTTTATTTTATAAAAAGTGATAGTTTTCATAAATTTCATTATTGCAACAAGAATAGAAAGATTATATTTGCCCTTATTCTCCCGAGGTGGGCGTAAATAGCTGCGACACAGTTTATACTAATGCAGCTACTTATGATCTGTTTTTAATATGTATGTTACTATGTTCAATAACGATCTTTAAATCTTTTAAATCTTTGATTTTTTTGTAAAGATTTGAATCATACACTAGCCCACTTCATATTAAGATTACTTAATAAAAATGTTGATAGTGAGACAATATGCATGATTTTTAAATAGCTTACATTGTTATATAATAGTAAAAAAATATCCAGCTCCGAAAAATTAATTTAAACGCTCGCCTTTCCGTGCGCTTGGCGTGACATCACAGCATGATAATAATAAAAATAATCACAGAGAAAAGACGACTCAATTTGTATGCGACAAAATCGCTAATCGCTCTGTTCAGATATACTCTGACGTCGTATTTACTCGTACTTTCTATTTCACATCTGGTTTTTTTGCACTTTTTTATATTTATTTTCTTAATGAAAAAGAAATCACATTAAAAAATATTAATATATGCTTAATTCAAAAGCAATAAAGATTATAAAAAAATATATTTCATCTTTATTTGAATCACATGCATATTCCCTATTGAGCTCACTTGAACCACGTCGTTATTGGAGACTAGTACGTGATAACGGTTGTGACACTTTTTCTACTAACTTTTAATGTGACATTGGTGAAGTATATTTTTTTTAGTAACACACAGCACCATCTAGTTCCATGGGAAGCTATGAGGCTTGTGTTATGGATACTAAATAGTTGATACACTACACATATATAACTTTAAATACATACATATTATAAATATAAACACCCATGGCTGGAGTACAAACATTCGTATTCATCACACAAATGAATGCCCCCAGCAGGTTCGAACCCGCGTACGCTAACACAGCAAGTATAATATCACTACAAACTGAGCTACTACGAACATGTAGTCAATATATATAATAGTAAATCTGATTTTCTATATTTTGTCATAGGCGGTGTTACAGAAGATAGCTTTGAATTAATATGCCGGGATGGATCGCGTAAATCAGTTCGGGAATGGGAACAATGTAACTGGGGAATAGTGCCCGCTGATGCAGTAGTCACTAGCAGTGCTGCTACAGTTCTACAGAGAAAAAAGTATGGTTTTTGTTTTGTTTTTTATTATTAATTCCTATAATTAATAATGATAGATGTTATTAATCGTTCTGTAAATAATTTAAAAAAAAATTTTTTTCACAAGCGGTGCACCCTCACTTTGCTGAGGTAGATAGTCGATCCCTTTCTCTGAAGAAGAAAAGCAAATTATCTCACGGGAACCGTACATTTTTCCGGGACAAAAAGTATCATATGTGCTATCTCAGACTATGCTATTCCAGATTAATCTATGTCTGTGCCAAATTTTACCCAGATCCATTCAGTTCAGAGTTGTGATTGAGTATCAAGCATCCATCCATCCAAACTTTCGCATTTATAACATTTCAGGGAAAGAGAATATCATCAGGAATCAGGGAAATAGAATTTGCCTATGTTATATTTATTTATTTGTTATGTCATAGATATTTAGTCTTTATTGATACATGTTCTCATTGTATTAACACTAATATAAACTTAACGTTTTACTGTATTAATTATTTTTGATTATTATATTTAAAAAATATTGGCTCTTTTTTGTGTATTCTAAACATTTCTCGTGGATTGAAATCAATTTGCCTTTTATTAGATTTTTCCGTTTCTAGTGTATATGCACATGTTAAATAATATCAATAACATTAACTAACTTGCGAGACATATTTCTGCTCTTCTAAGAATATGAGATTTATGAATATATTGATCACAATGCCACCTATCTGGTCCAGATATATTATCTCATTAATCATTTGGGTTCATAAAATTAGAATTTGTTAAAAAAAAATGACTACAGCGCCATCTATCAGTTTCTAGATTGGTTATAAACCATATATTAAAAGTGACATGTACGCATACACACGCGTGAGCGCGCTCTCACACTCACTAATATATACAACTTAATTACTGATTGTATTTATTATAACTTGTACTTATCCATATTATAAGGAAATAGTTCTATACATAATATAAATCCCAGTCGACCAAATATTTAAAAAACAAATTATAACTGACATGTTTCTTATTATTCACAGATATCAAAACTTGTTGCTCAAGATTTTAGAACTATATGGAGAACCGAACTCGTTCAATAATAACTCTAACCGTACAAGTGATTATCAACCACGTGACCAGTACGGCAACGTGCTGACGTCTACCACTGAGCGTATAAGATATAACGACTGGAACAGACGAGATCAATATTTAGAGAGGGATTACAGGAATGAAAGGTATGTTTTTTGGTAGCTTTAATTGCTGCATTATTTATTGATTTCCGGGATAAAAAGTATCCTATATCCTTCCCAGGGTCTCAAACTATCTTACCAAATTTGACCTAAATGGGTTCAGTAGATCCAGAGATTACCTCCTACAACCTCACAAAGTTTACCTCTTCATAATATTATGAAGAGGTAAACTTATAGATGGGGAAGCAAGTTCCATATTGTAGTTGTTTCTAAATAAACTTGAATTAATTTTCATTTTTGATTTTTTATTCTCTTTTAAGTTAATTTGTAATTCCTATTTTTATTTAATAAAAATGTATTATCTATATTTTTTAGTATATCACCTTTCAAACAAAGGACAGACTCATCTGGGAGACCTATAGAGCTACCGTTCTACCTATTCAATTCTGGGGATACAACGGATTTATTGTTACAGGTATATTTTATACAAATTTACAATTGAGTAGTTTTATTTTTGTTTTGTGATTTTAACTATTGAAGTTTTTGTTTCTTCTAAAAAGCAATAATTGTTCACTAATAGGGAAGGAAATATGCGTGATTTTTTTATTTAATTTTTTTATACAATAGCTAACATCGTTATATAATTGTAAAAAAATATCCAGTTCCAAAAAATAAAAAAATAGTAATTTTTTTTAATATCGAACGTGGTGACGTCACAATATGATATACGAAGAAAAGCCACGACTCAATTTGTAGCGACAAAATCGTCAATCACTCTGTTATGACAATACTTTCACATCATATTCTGTCTGAGTGAAACTTATTTAGAATCGTTGTGATTTGAAACTCTATTTAACGAAATGCGACACTAAAAAGAGACAAATACATAAATACATAGGGTTAAGCTGGCGAATTAATGAGATGGAATACATTGTCATGTTGCCATGGTAACCGTTGTTATTGTCTGACAAATATATAATATTATATTCTTTCCATATTATTATGATGCAACGACCACTCAGCCTGATAGACGCCTAATTTATGTATTTCTGCATCCAAACCTGTCAGTCAAAAGTCTGAGGTAAGCGTTACGGGGGAGGCGGGTTGAAATGCACGCTGATTGGTTAATTCAATAATAATGTGAACCACAAGTTTTATATCGTATCGTAGGTAGGTATCGTATTTAGTAAAATAATTTTCTGTTTTAAAGAATATTTTTAATTAAGACAAGTTTTCTTTACTATAACGAAATAATAATAGAATACTTAAAATTATTTATACAGGTTAATTCAAGGTTTATTTACAGGTATATCCATGGTTAAAGTTTTCGGGAAACTGTCCCTTACACTCTGTATAACTAAACTACTACTTATTAAGATGAAACATGACCAATCTGGAAGCATACACTTTCAAACAACACAAAAATTGTCCAAATCGGTTAATAAATGACGGAGTTCTAAGGTAACAAACATAAAAAAAAAAGAAAATACAGTCGAATTGAGAACCTCCTCCTTTTTGAAGTCGGTTGAAAAATTACAATAATTAAGATTAACAATCATGCATTTTATAATAATTAAATAAGTTATTTATAAAAAATGTATAGTTTAACTGGTACAGCACTAGTTACACGTGCCGGTAATTAAAGAAAAATATAGCAACAATGAACTGCATTGAAAAGAAAGGGATGCATAGTCCGAGAATGTCCGAATACATCAATGCGAGTTGTGTTGCGACCAATATAACTTGAGCTCTGATTTAATTACATTTAATGAATTTGGAAATTAAAATTCACTTACTTATGAAAAGTGATGCCATTTTTTTTAAATTACATTTTTGGCTACTCTTTCCATACCATTTTATTGTATAGGGAGCCATGTTGCGCGTCTGTTGTATTTTTTGTGTCAGAAATTCACGTCGGATGTGGTCGCTACCGAAGACAATCGCGCGATAGTTTTTTCAAGTCAGACGTATTTGTCTAAGGTGTTGACTGAAAGTGTTCGCCTTGTGTGAGGTGTCTATTGGGCTGAGTGGTCGTTGTTATGATATTATATAAATATATGATTCTAATATGCCTAATTTAATTATTGATTTGTTTTAATTTAACTGTGATACACATTTTTTTATCAATAGGATGCAACTATGAACTTCCGTATCCTCAAAGAAGAAGAACAGTCTGCGGATCACATATTAACCTTGAAAGATTCTCCGGTAAGCTCTCAAGCTGAGAAAGCAGTCGTCGGTATAAGAGACTGTCCAGTGAAGCGAGCCGTGCTGTGTGTCACTAGCGATCCGGAGATGGAGAAATGTGTTAAAATGAGGGTATGTAATCCATACTAATACTATAAATATGAAAGTGTGTTTATTTGTTTGTTTGTGTATCCTTCTTCATGTGGAAAGGGAATGACCGATTGGCTTGTTTTTTTGTGTGGAGATAGTTGGAGGGCTGGAGAGTGACATAGGCTACTTTTTACTGTGGGAGATAATGTCATTCCTACGGGAAAACATGTTATAATACAACCCAAAAAAATATTTATGATCAGAATTACTTGAAACTTGGTATTAATGCTCTTCAATACAATTAAATAAATACCTAACTTTTTAGAGTGTTTTTGTAGTTTTAGCGCGAGCGAAGCCGCGGGTTCTGCTAGTATGTACCTATATATTATAATTGTGTAATTACTTTTCAACCAAAAAAACTACACTGTATTTTAAGTGACTTAAAAATTAAAATGTAGACCTTTAATACTGGAATTTATTGCTGGTAATTTTATTGCTTATTATTATCAAAGGAACATGAATTTAATTAAATTATAAATTAAAAGTTTTTCTCGCTTCGCTTGGGTATATCCCTTTTTGACTCATATCCAGGGGTTCTGTAGCATGAAAAATTAAAATAAGTTTATAATTACAATTTTTTTATGTAAGTTTACGGATTTCGGATTTTTCACTTTATTTATGCTATAAGAGATTGCTTCTTGCCAAATATCATGTGTTTAGGTGAACAGGACCTAAGTAACCTAGATTTTTGATTCGCTTGCGAGTGTCAATATATGCGACATAAACAGCCGTATATTGATTGCGTTTATTTAGAAGTTAGATTTTTCACAGGCCCGAGGTATTGCAGACCTGAGTATTTGATATTAATTTTAACCTGATTTTAAAAACGGGTCTTGAAAAACAGACAACGAAACGATCCTATAAGAGTTACCCTTTTTTTCATGTTGTGATATCCATTAGCTAGAAAACCTATTTCTACTCACTAAAACATAACTTAACCTACAAACCTTTACTTGTCTTCTCAATTCTACGCGATATTGGCGAAGTAAATGGTGCCCAAACGGCACTCATAGAAGCCATTGAACATAAGAATTTTACTTTACTTTTTTATTTACTTGTACTTTGACCTATGTACGGAGCCCTAACCCCCCTTGCCGGCAGGTGGCCCTGAAGGCGGCGTTCCTGTCCCCGCAGTTGGTGTGCTGGCGCGCGCACAGCACTCGGCACTGCGAGCGCGCGCTGGCCGAGGGCGTGTGCGACCTGGCGCTGCTGGACGCTGCCGACATGCTGCACGCCGCCCACAAGTACCGCCTCGTGCCCTTCATGCAGGAGGTGGGTGACGCGCAGTGCTGCCAATTGGCGGGAAAATTACCCGAAAAGCGGGGTAATTTTACCCGATTTTTAATGGCGGGTAATTTAGTAGAAAGCAGGTTTTTTAGTTTAACTGATTAATTTCATATTTGAAGTTTTTTTTAATGTTTAATTTAATAATTTAAAGCTGTTTAATTTAGTTACAATGACTTCTTTTTCTAACATTAGTACTTTCTTTTATTCTATATAAAACATGAATAAAGTATTTAAAACTATTTTCGGGTATCCTGCTCATGGTCAGCGCCAGCGGGGTAAACCGAATATTTTGAGGTTTATTGGTCGGGTAAATCAATGATGTATCAGGCAATCATTTGTAATTTAAAACATGTCTAATAAAGATTTTTATTTATTTATAATTTAATTACTACCAATTTAGATAACTTTGGCATCATTAATCTTATATATTTAAACGAGCTATTCTTGTATATATATATATATATATCTCAATATATAATCTGAATCTCGAAAACGGCTCCAACGATTTTCATGAAATTTAGTATACGAAGGGTTTCGGGGGCGATAAATCGATCTAGATTAGTCTTATGTCTGGAAAAACGCGTGTTTTCGAATTTTCATGCGGTTTTCCTTTGCATTTTCACAATTTTTGCATTGTCAGTTGTCACTTCTGGTGGGTGGGAGGCGCCACTGTACAACTGTCAATATAGTGTCCGTATTTACATCAAGTTTAAAAATATTTAAGTGAAAATAATCTAAAGAAAATTCTAATTAATTTAATAATAATTTTAAGAAATATTAATCGATAAAACCTATGGGCAATATGTAGGTACACATCACCAAGTCTTGATGTGTTGAAGAACAAATGAGCTTTTATAAATTCACCTACCAAACAAATACAAAAGTGAGAAACATAACATACAAATACTATCAGTGCAAAACCATCTTTTCTGTGTGTGATGACAATAAAACAAAATAATTTGTGAAGTGGAAGCGTAAAATATTAAAACATAAGTTTATAACCTCAAAAACTAATACTCTGTATAAAATTGCAATTCAACTAGGTATAATTGGTGCTCTTTTTCAATCAGCTTTTCTACTTCCGACTTCACACTTAAGATGGAGGAGATAAAAAAGTTGCTAATAAACATGCAACAAGAAATAAGACAGCAGAAAACAGAAATGTTAGAAATGAAAGAAGACATTAAAAATACAATCAACAATAATATACTTAAATGAGAAATTTAAACACTTAGAAATAAAAAAATCCTCAATAAATAATTTAGAAAGACATATTAGGCGCAAGAACTTGGTTATGTTCGGAGTAGAAAAAGGTGAAAAATCCTATCATGAACTAGAGGAAAAAATAAAGTCTTAAATAAACGCAAGGAGTTACAAGCCCAACTGAAGATAAAGAAAAAGACCTTGGCAAAACAGCTTTCATTAAATATGATAAACTAATTATTGTGGATAATAATAAAAACACTTCTCGCCAATACTCAAATAAAAGAAGTCTGCCTGTATCTTCAGAAACGCCTTACCTCAATTATAAACAAAAACTAACAAATAAATAACATACAAAGATAACCAAACCTGCTAATATTAAAGACTTTATATTACAAAAACCAAAATTAACTTTCAACCATACAAATGATAACCAGGAAGAACTAAAAACAACACAGCAAGATACAGTATATTAAACACAGTAGGAACCTCCTCATTTTTATCCCCCAGTATGGCCGGTCACTGTGGGGGAGTTCGACCGTAACCCTCCAAAGAAAAACAAACATACAATGAACAAGGTAATATATATCTTCACCAGAAAAACTTCTAGAATTAAAAGCAGCATTTCCTACAACAAATCAAAAGAACACAAAGATAAAATTATAAACTTTATAGGCATATCAGAAACAAATTATAGTATATTGGAAACAAAATTTGAAAAGAAACCCTTTGCAATCATACAAGCATAATCTCCAACGGAGAGCTCTATGCAGGACTACTTTGGTGGAGGCTTTTAACCGAGAGGGGTCTATACATGAAAAAGACATTTACTAAATAAATACATTTAATTATGAAATTAAATACCTAATTTATAACTATTGTCAGAATTAATGTATGGAAAGAAATTTTATTTATATGTATTATTGTGAAATGTTTAGTATTTACTCAATTGAATTATTTAATTTACTTTCATTGTTTATTTATTTGTTAATGATAATTTATATATATACAATATAATTTCAAACAATATTAAAGATTTTTAAAATAATTTAATTCCAGATTACAAAATTATTAGTTAAAAAATTATAAGTTAATAAATAGTCACTAAATTATATAGTTTTATATTTCAGCAGTGTGATATAGACATTTTTTCTGATAGTTTAAATTTATTTAAAAAGAAAGTGTATTTAAATATTTAGATTTTTTTTTTTCTTCTTTTGTTTATTGTACAACTAAAACGGCTCCTTATATACTCTTAACCAAATAAAATTTTAATGGAATACTTTTATAAAAAGCTGTGCATACTTTTAAATTAAGTTTATATACAAATAGGTAAAATTATAATGTTAAATAAATGTTTTTATGTAAATTTAGTTAGTAAGCCTTTATAATAAATAAATGAATAAATAAATAGAGCTTTATTATTATTATGATTCCTTTTGCATTATTTCAATAAATTAATAATTAATAATTCCACGCAAAATATTATGTTCGATAATTTCGCATGCTCAGATATAAGCATCATGGTCAAGCGGCCAATGCGCAAATTTGACAACCACAGTTGTCTGGGTTCGTATCCCGGTCGGACACAAAGTTTTTAATTTTGTTTTTTTTTGTAGTTATTCAAATTCTTAGTTTTTGTCTTTTTAATGTTTTTTTTTGGCCAAACACTCCGAGCAAGGCTCGGTCGCCCAGGTACTTTTACTGATATGAGTAAATGTATAAATAATATAATTTTAAACTTATTATTATTTTGTAAATAAAAATTATAATTTAACCACAGGTTTATTCAAGCGGTAACAATTGGTACTACGCGGTTGCGGTAGCAAAGGAACAGGATCCCGATACAGATCTAACTTACCTCCGTGGGAAGAACACGTGTCACACCGGCATCGGCATGGCGGCGGGGTGGATCTATCCTTTGGCCTATCTCATATCTAATGGATGGATTCGGTAAGTATCTGGTACTTGAGTATAAAAATAACTAATAGTATTTTGCAGGAGAAAATGTATGTAAGTGTGCACAAAAAACGGAAAAAAGAAAGTATGTTTTGATGTACCAGGATTAAAAACCATCTTGGTCTCTATGTTCTACTTAGAATGTAGAATGTCATTCTTTCATGGTTTTTATTTTCCAAAAAATGAAAAAGAAAAAAAAGACTAACTAGTAGGTACATTTTTCGAAAAATTGATTTCATTTATAAATTAACATTTTGAATTTTCCAAAAAAATAATAATTAAAAAAAAATATCGAAACTTTACCGATTTTATTCAAAATTTCTATAATAGGGCGGCATTTTTTACTATACCCAGTGGCGGTGCTAAGGTTGAAACCGGCACTGTCTGTATGGATCGGTAGTATTGTGAATACGTGTCCAGGTCGTACGGGTGCGACGGCGCGCACGCGGCCGCGCAGTACTTCAGCAAGGCGTGCGCGCCCGGCGCGCTCAGCAGCGAGTACGTGGACGCCGCCACCGCGCCGCACGACAACCTCTGCCATCTGTGCCACGGCGCTTCATTCCGGTAAACTACATATATAATATATACATACATATATTATACAAGTGAATCACCCTAACTCCGCTCGGGTACATCCCTAGTAGTACCCGGGTTTTAATACCCGGGTATCGGGTATTATTTTTTCATATACCCGGGAGTATTTGCAACTTTTGTACAAAAAGAGCCAATTTTCTTTTAATTATGTTTTATTTTATTACGAAAGAGTGGAGTATGTCAATAAGTCTCCTTAACTTATAGTACATAGTTCAGTCACATAATTATACAGTCTTGTCCTAATTAACTAATTAAAAACCAAAATGACTTATTATCTAAATCTTATTTATACATATATTAAAATTCTACCTGAATCGAATCTGTACATTAAATATTTTTTGGAAAATCTTATTGAAACAGTCATTATTATCGATACAGAGACTAAGATCTATAGTTTTAATTTTTTTTTGTCTGTCTGTCTGTTACCGCATCACGAGAAACCACTTAACAAATTTTGATAAAATTTGATATGATTATAGCTGGTTATCCGGGTCAACATATAGACTGTATTATATTGATTATAGGGAACCAAAAATCAAAATAAATATGCGAAATAATACGAAAAGATTTTATTAAAGACTTATTATTCAATTTCCTCATACAGTCGATGTCGACGCGACGCGAGTGAGGATTATTACGGGCATGTAGGAGCGTTGCGGTGTATGATAGAGGGCGGTGGTGATGTGGCGTTCGTGAGGCACAGCGCGCCCGCAGAGGTGTCCGGCGGTCGACGACGCGAGTGGTGGGCGCGCGACCTGCTGCCCGACGACCTGCAGCTGTTGTGTCCAGATGGTGAGATATACGATCACAGATAATAATAATATGTTGGGACATTAACATACAGTGCCATCTAGTTCCATGGTAAGCTACTTATAGTCTGTTTTTAATGTCATAGACAAAACTGACATTACTTGGGTTGCCAGTTTTTTGTAATTCTTAAATAGTGATGAACTGCCATAGAAAATTAACGTTAATAAAATCAAGTATCGTTTTTTTTTATAATAAGTTATCCTGAAATAATGTGTAGGTACTTATTTAAAACGTCCGTAATAATACAAAATTAATAATGCAAATTAGAATTGAATAAAGTGGATTTTAATGATAATATTTAATGATTTAAAATTAATAAATATGATATTTAATGATTTAGAATTAATAATGTGAATTTTAATGATACACTTTGGAATATAAAACTTTGAACCGAATCGTGTAATAAAGATAAAAAGTTGCGATTCAACAAACCGGTATCGTAGGTTCAACACTGCACAAAAGAGCTGGCAACATTATTTCAAAATTTGACATTTGCATGTGTCAATTTAGTCTCTGAGATTAAAAAACAGACTTATAGGCTTGTGTTATGAATACCAGATAGTTGATGTACTATACACATATAGCTTTAATACAAACATATTATTTAAACATATTATTTATATATATATATATATATATATATATATATATATATATAAACACACATGACTGGAATACAAATATTCGTGCTCATCACATAAATGAATACCCCCAGCGGGACTCGAACCCGCGACCGCTGGCGTAGCCGAAGGTTTTTCTGAAATAGTATGTATATGGATAATTTGTTTTTATTTTAACGACAGCAATTTAATTATGCTTATGAAAATATTTAAAATAACTCAATTTCTAGGTACACGTGCGAAAATGCACGAATATAAACACTGCAATCTGGGCAAGGTCCCGGGCTCGGTGCTAATGGGACGCGCGAATCACACGGAACTGGACACGTTCTCTAACCTCATGGTGTATGCGCAACAGTTGTATGGTGCCACCGCTTCAGATGAATTTAGGTATTATTACTTTTAAATAACAACTTTAAAATTTTATTCAAAATAACTATTAAATCTGTTCAGTAACTTTTACTTTTTTTAAAGGTTCTTTATTGCACTTCAATGAAAAATCAGTAAAATAATAATATACTAGGTTTAATTACTTTAATCATTATGTATTACTAGTGACTCACACTCGCTTCGCCCGTCTCTAGCTTGCTTCCCCATACAAACTTTCATCTCCATTTTCACCCACTTAAAGGATGATTTCCGGGATAAAAACTATCTTATGTCCTTCCCAGGGTCTCAAACTATATTCTTACCAAATTTCATCTAAATTGCTTCAGTAGTTTTGGAGCCTATTCAATACATGAAACAAAAAAAATATTTCCTCTATAATAGAGGAAATATTTTAGAAAAAAATTTTTAGAATTATTTTTAGAATAGATAACCATATAATATTTATTTTGAAATTAAAATATATGAGATATACATTTCTAAATGTTAAATATACAATGCATGAAATAAATCGTTTAATATACATTCAACTTTAATCATTTTCAATTCACAGTTTTAGCATGTTCCATTCCCATCCGCCATACGCTGACTTGATCTTCAGTGATGTGGCGGTTCGTCTAAAGCCTCTTTCACACAACAAGCGGTCCGCCGAGTTCGTAGCAGGCGAGGCTCTGACCCGAGCCGCCCGTATTGTATCGTGTGACGCGCCACAATCTTTATACTCTATCGCCTCAGACCCTGATTTTTTGTCTATGGCTCACAAAAATGGTTTTATCGGACATGTTCTAGCTATTGGTCTACTTGTTCTTGCGTTATTGCGATGATATGACAAGTTTTTTATTTCAAATGTTAAAATCTTAATATTGCTTGAATATATTTCAATCGTACAAAAATGTGCTTTACCAAACAACATTTTGTATTTTATATATTTTTTATTTGTAATGGACTTAGAATATAATTTAATTGAAATGTGTGTATATCTATTACATAGGTCATTTTATTAATTTAGACAAAAAATATATATATGGCCTGAAAAAGTTTGCTTGATCAATATTTTAAAAAATCCATAGTTTAAATTTTTATTTCTAAATAAATCGAAATAAATATATTTATACATAAATCTTTAACAACTTTTAATATGATATCAAATTACAAAAAAATATAAAATGGTAGAAATTTTTTAAAAGGGAACCCAAGTAATTTTTCCTTTCTTTCATGTTTTTAAGTACTTTTTCTCACTAAGCCCCAAATCCCATCATATTTTCGATGTATTGGCCCCGGTAACGGTGTTCGAAATTCATGTCTTGGTAAAAACTTTCTCCTTGTTCTTCTGAATTGAATGAATTCACGTTATTTTAAAAATTTGAGTTGAGTTATTATTGAGTTTTTTTTTCAAATATGATAAACTCAAGAAAAAGGATTTACCTATTATAACTACCATAAAAGCAAACTTTTTATGGAATATGGATATTTTTCCTTTATATTAAATCATAATAAATAGAAAAATCATAAAAAAACTTATAGGACAAAGACAATTTTTTTTTGTAGAGTTGTGTTATAGTTGCTATTTTAAGAAGATTACACTAGTATATAAGTTATTTTTAAATACTTCCGTCCAGCTATTGCCTGATGTTAAGAGTACTTTTTTTTTGTTTACTTAATTTTATGTACTGTTTTTTGAATGTACATATCTCTCTTTATAAAAAGGATCTAAGTTCCCAAAAATGAATCTCAATTCCTAAAATAAAAATTAAAGACTCGGAGAGAAAGAAAAGATAACCAGTGTGCAAAATACAGTAATTGAAACCTGAAATGGTATTCTTATGTTATTTGTATGATAATCTCTTTTTGACCTAATCTGTTTTTGATAGTATTGCTTTATATGCTCTATCTTTTTATTATACTCAAACGCCTTAGTTTGTATTTGTGTATAGATTTATTGTACCATTGTATTCCGTCCAAATAAATACTGATTTGTAACAACTAAATATTATATTTAAGAGTTTATAATAAAACAATTTTAAACATAATAATAATATTTAATTTTATTTTTTCATTGATAAAATATTTTATGATTAAAGCATTGAAAATCTTTAGGTAAAGTGTTAAAACTCTTCATAATGTTTCTTAAATCACTTCTTCTACATACATCTTTGATAGCTTCTCTCTGATTTTGCCCACTTTTACTAATTCTGCTAGAATGTTCCCTCCACTTTCCATAAATACAATTTGTTTTTGCTAACTCTATGTTAACTATTGGAACTAATATGTTACACTTTGGTGTTTGTCTTGCACAAAGTAACAATGCTTTGAAAGATAAATACCGAAAATGATTTATACAATATATAAATAAAATATCTCGAGGCTGATTTTTGTGCAATGTTTTTATAATAGTGTTACAGAGTTTCACAGTTACCTTTTTTTTATAAACTGTTAAATATTTTTCCATATCTTTTTCATCACATAACATTGCCAATATACAGCAAAATTTGTTGGCTGAAAAACATAGTGTTAGAAAAATATGATTCCATACCAGTTCCTCATTATTATAATAAAAATTAAAAATGTGACTATTTATATGAATTCCTGATTGACCTATTCTATTTTCGAGAAATTTTTCTAAATCAACAGTGGCAGCTGAAAATTGTATTTTAAAACACACTTGTCCTGAATATGCAGTAGTAGCTCTACTAACTTTCATATTACTTGTGTTATAGCTATATCCAAGAAAAGTTATTTCATGACTGCATTTAATGGTTGGATGGGAAAAATTTACAACTGTTTTGTCTAAATTTATATTCTTATAATTTGATAGTGCTTCCAAAAATAAATGAGCATCATCCAGTGAATCAGTAATATATAAATAATCATCTACAACTCTAATAAATAATTTGACTTCCTCGTCTATGTTATTCATATGTTTCGCAAAGTAAATTTCATCAAAATATGTGTAGTATAATTCAGATAAAGCTGGGGAGTACTTGTATCCTTGCACCAAGCCTTTCTTCCACTCAAAAATTGTTGAACCAGCACGTATGAGTAAAGGTTTTCTTAGTTCAGCAATTATTTCATTATAACTCTGACAGAATTTTTTCTTTATGTAATTAGGCATTTCTTTTTTCTCAAATATATTATATCTTTCACAAAGGACTTCCAGAAGTTTTCCTTTATTAATTGATCCAAAAGCATTACTAAGATCTGTTTTAACAAAATATAATGGTGGCCGATTTTTATTTAACCATTTTTTATGTAAATGTTTATACTGATTTTCAATTCTTTCATGCGGTTTCCCAGTTAATAGTTGCATAAATTGCAACCTTTCTCTAACTTTATGTTTTTCAGATTGGTTGAATAATTCATTTTTATAACACACAATTGGCCGATACTGATTCTTTGATTTTAACACAAGATGAAGCTTTGGTATATTCTTTTTAATGATTCTTAATTTTAATATTTTTTCAAAAGTTTGCATCTTTCTCAATTTTTTTCTTATACAGTATGGCTCAAATCTACAAATAACTTTTGTAACCACCATATCTGATATTTTCTTATCATAGTATGCTTGCCACTGATTTTTCCAGAAAAAATATAGTTTATTCTCATTAGCATCAACTTTACATGTTGTAACAAAGAAATTTAATGTTATTATTGCAGAAAGTAATGTTTTAAAGATCCATTGTAAAATATTATAAATTATTTTTAAAGCTGTTGAAGAAGAAACAGTGCTCCAGGGAAACACACTTACATTCCACCTTTTAATAATATCGTCTAAATAAATATACTGCCGATTCATACTGTATATAATTATTTGCAAACATTTCTTAAATATCTTACTGTTATTATTACAGTTAAAGAATTTGTAAGGTATTATATTATTTAATGCATTCATACAACTTGTAAAAACATCCATCTTATTTAAAGCTTCTAAATTATTTTGCCGAACTTCGGGTACAGTCAAAAACTCCTTAAAATCGTAATTACTACAGCACTTTACATTATATCTTAGTTCGCCTAATAATTTCCTCAACTCCGGACAAATTTCTTTCAATAATTCTTCATTACCAACAACTTTTTGAAGAAAATAATCATTATTTTCACTTTGCAGTAATTCAATATTTAGAATATTACTAAATGATCGCACATTTTGTTTATTTATGAAATACTGTGAAAAACAAATTGGAGAACACATACTTCAGCTTTAAAAATAAACACTATTATTGGACATAAATTTCCTGAACGTAGCACTTTTCCATTACAAACTTTTACATTAACTTAAATATTTTATGCTAATCAATTTCAATAACAATTCAAATTTTGCGGCGACTTGTTCAGACTTGTTTAAAAGTAGATTACGTTCCGTTTCTGCTTTGTAAAATGCACATTTAAGAATTATTTTAATATTTACAATATTTCAATATTATATAGGATAGTTCATATTTATTTATCTTTAAATAATAATTATAATAGTATTCTTGATGTTCATTTCTTATCACAATAAGTTTTAATCTTTGATATTTATATGTCACTATGTGTAACTCAGCTCAGAGCCGGTTCAAATATTCAGTTCACAGTAGCGATGTGTCAACTCGGTTTGCCAACTCGGGTTAACCCGAGTTAGCGTCACGTCGAGTTAGCCCGAGTTCGACCGATCGTAACTCGGGTTAGATACCGACACACGAACCTCGTTTCTTAAGGAACTTCGTTTTACATTTCATACACGAAACGAAGTTTGCTTTTCGAGAGAAGCCGACTTTACCCGTATGCTTACGAATATTTGCGCGCGAACGAAGTGACATTAGAAACAGTAGGTAGCAAGTCTCCAAAAAAGTTGCATTTTTATTAAATAACGAGTTCTTAAATTTAATAATTTATTAATTCTTGTTTGAATTCTTTATAAAAAGTTTAATTGTGATTATTTCGATAATACCGGGGCCAAAAAAAACATCCCTTTTTTTGGTAATTTTTGAAGCACCAGTTCAATGTAACGAGTGTAAATTTAAATGGTGTTCTGAATCATATAAATATTCCGGTAATACAACTACATTGAAGAATCATATTTAAAAAAACAACTTGATCAACACAAAACATTGTAGGAAACTCTTTAATAAACCTTTGTCATGACTGTTAAATATACCGCCTCGCCGAAATAGATTAGTACCCAAAAAATTAAACCAAATACTTTTCCTTAATAGTACCATATAATAAATTTATATTGAAAGTTTGTCTGATTGTCTGCACGTCTGTTTGTTTGTATATCTATATGCATTTCACGCCAAAAGTACTTAACCGATTGTAAATAAATTTTACTACAGAAAACCTGTTATTTCCCACGGAAAAACACAAAAACTGTTTCTACTGAGTCATCCACAGAAATTTACAAGCAATACTAACTAAACATAAAAACAAGATAGGTAATAGAAAATTGTAGATCTTTAAAAAGGTCCCAATAGTAAAAATGTCTATCTCCTGAGGTACACTCGCAATAACTATTTTTAACTACATATGTATTTAAAACGTACCTAGGGAGACACCCGGATGTAGACCGGGTACGGTACCACCGTCTGGTAGTATCTCTATCTACCAACATTTTATTTTAATATTACTATAGACTAATTTATATTTTAATATTAATGTCGTTGTTATTTTTTCATGTTTAAACTTTAAATTTATCAAATTATTATTTGAGAACTGGTGTTTTTATTCTAGTTTCTTTAGCCTAAGCCAAAAAAGCTAAGCTATTTTTATTGTTTTCTAGGGTTCCGTAACTCAAAAAATAAAAAAGGATTCCATATAAGATCACTCACGGACAACCGTCTGTCCGTGTGTTACCGCCGATTTTCTAAGAAATGGGTGGACCTAGCAAGTTAAAATTTATACCAGATACTAAGGTCTATTCTCGCTATTGGGTGTATAAAATCAAGGTCCTGAGTCAACACGATAAAAAGATATGGGCAAATTTAGATTTTCACAAAAACTTGTAATTAACCAAAATTTACCTTAACTTTGAACTTTTTTTATTTTTTGAAATTTTCCCTTTACTTGTTGTAAATTGCAAATTAAAGTTAAACAGATTTCCTACACAATTGTACGGAACCCTCGGTGGGCGAGTCCGACTCGCACTTGTCTTGTCGGAAGTTACTTCTTTATCGATAAACTGTAAAACACTGTACATTAAAGAAAATACATTATAATAATAATATAATTTCTTTCAATTATTCACTTACTATGGTTTAAAAAGAGTCACTTTAGTAACCAATAGTCAAAACATGTCAAAAACTTGAAAAGAATACTCGTAGATGTATTCAACTCGAAATAGAATGAAAGAATGTATTAATTTCATAACACTTATCATGCTAACTCGAGTTACTTAACTCGGGTTGAACTCGAGTTACCATGATTTTAACTCGTGTTAACTCGGGTTAGCAAAAACCCGAGTTGGCCCATCTATAGTTCACACTTCACAGTAGCTAGAGCCGTTGACATAGAGTACCTATATTGCTACAGCCGTTGAGCTGCGGCTCAGTTGCTAGATAATCGGTTCACAGCTCAATATTACTTAATAATTATATGGTATGATTTAGCAGGTCGACCCTCTAGTGCCCGCTTATCGTTGAACTTTGGGTTACGTTGTTTATTGAAGAGAGAGTATACAAATAGTAAAATATAATTTATAACTTAAAGATAAATTTTATTATGATGATGACGAAATTAAACGATTTGGTTGATCTTTGTTTATGTTTTTTATAATAATTTACAATCCAAAAAATTCAAAATCTAGCGCTTTTTGGCGCGCTAGTTCTCAGAAAAGCAGAAAGGGGTCCCGAGAGATCATTTTTTGGGGGCCGTTAAGATTCTATTTAATTTGTTGTTGTTGAAAAGATTATTCCAGCCTTGTCAAGACTCAAGCGATAGAATTACATATTATTCGTATCTTACTAATTAAATCATAAGTTTAGTTTAAAAATGGTAAAAATACTTGGTGATTTGATTCAAATTTTCAAGAGCAGTGTGTCAGCAGTACTTCCTGATAAAATTATTAAAAACTGTATCAGTTATGACTCCCTAACAGAAGCAGCAATTATATGTGGACAAAATTATAACCTAAAAAATAAAAATTTATATATAATTGGAACTGGAAAGGCAGTTCAATATATGGCACTTGAAGCAGAAGACATATTCAGCTCCAAAATTCGAAAAGGAATCATAAGTATTCCCAAAGGAAGTTTAAATAATAAAAATGACAAACAAAATGTTTTGTATCTTGAAGGAGCTCAAAATAATTTGCCTGATGAAAATTCTGTATCAACGGCTAACAAAATAAAGGATTTACTGAAGAAATTAACAAAAGATGACTTTTTATTGGTGTTTATATCAGGTGGTGGATCTGCTTTATTGTCTTTGCCTAAATATCCAATTACTTTAGAAGAAAAAACCACTTTAATAAAAAAGTTGGCAAGTTCAGGGGCAGATATAATAGAACTTAATGTAGTGAGAACAACTATATCTGATTTAAAGGGAGGCCAGCTGGCTCGGTATGCATTCCCTGCCCAAATAGTAACATTAATATTATCTGATGTTATTGGTGATCCCATAGACATAATAGCAAGTGGACCTACAAGTAATGTTAAAAATAATCCACTGGCTGCTATTAATATTATTAAAAAGTACAAATTATATGAAGAAATACCAAAATCGATACAAACTGTTTTAAATAATAAGGAATATATAACAGATTTTCCAACAGACCATGTAAGAAATGTAATTATTGGATCAAACAAAATTAGTATTGCAGCAGCTATTTCTGCAGCCAAATCTTTTAATTTCTATCCTGTAGAATTATCTAGTATAGTCACAGGCAATGTCAGTCATATTGCCAATGAGTATGTTAAACTAGTAAAATTATTTTGTGATTTTAGAACAGGTTACATAGATGTAAATGATTTGAATTTGGAACTTAAAAAATTAAATATACCAGGCTTGAAGAATAATTTTACAGAGAAAAATAATGAAGCATTATCAATTAAAAATAACAATATATGTCTTATACTTGCTGGAGAAACTACTGTTAAAATATGTGGTAATGGAGTTGGTGGAAGGAATCAACAACTGGCATTGGAATTCTCAAAAAATATAAATTATTTGAGAGAAAAACTACAGGATCATGAAATTTATTTCTTAAGTGCTGGAACTGATGGCATAGATGGTCCGACTGACGCAGCTGGTGCCATTGGCTATTTAAATTTAATTTCAGAATGTGAAGAAAACAATATAGATCCTGATGTTTACATCAATAATAATGACACATATAATTTTTACAAAAACTTTAAAAAGGGTCAATTCCATGTAATAACTGGACATACAAACACAAATGTAATGGATTTACATTTAATTATAATAAAAGAAAAGTTAAAATATTCAATATAAGATAATTATTTAATTAATTAATAATATAATGTATAAAAATATGGTCTATAAATAATTTGTAAATATGTGTTGTCTTTGTTGATTATTTTATCAATTGTTCATTATATTGTACACAGAGAGATGTTTTATGAGATTGATGGTTTCAAAAATAAATTTAGTTTATTTTCTTTCACTTGTTTTAATTGTGTTGCTGCAACTACTGCCTTCTGACACAGTCCAGCAAATTTATCTTTTTTCTTCTTATTGTTTTTTATTATTTTAGGTTTTTGCTTTATGGAAGTGTGAATAGTATTTTTCTTCAGATTCAAAGAGAAGGCAAGTTTTGATTCACAGTAAACATTTGATTGGAACTCTTGATTTATAGAATTATTATTCTTTTTTACAGTCTGTTTCTTTTGTATTTTAACATTATTTGAGTTACTTATGTTTTTCTCTTCTGTTATTAGGTTTATTTTTGAATTATTAGGTTTTGGCAATAAACTTTTTGTATTTCTACCACAAAATGAACATGTTCTTATCTGAAAAAAGATAAAAATACGAGATTCATTACTGACATTAAATATGCATTACAAAGTGATATGCTTTGTTTACAGAATTTAAATTACATTGATACTATTGTAATAAGCTAAATTAAAAATGTTAAACATAATATCTCTTAATATAATAAAAATAAATATTTAAATGTTACGTTTATTATTAGCCTCATATATTTATATATATATATATATATATATATATATATATATTTTTATAGAAAAAAGGGGCAAACGAGCAAACGATCCACCTGATGGTAAGTGGCTATCGTCGCTCATGGACATCTGCAACACAAGAGGAGTTGCGAATGCGTTGCCGGCCTTTAAGGGACCTATAGACATTACTCTTGAAGAGCCCCATATTATAGCGCTCAGGGAATACCTCGGGAGGAAGATCATTCCACATCTTGCACGTGCGGGGTAAAAAAGATCGAGACGCACGTACATTTGTAGAATGCCAAATATAAATAATATCTGCCAATTTAAATAGCAAACATAAATTACCAATTCGTTACTGTGTAACAAATGTGTTTGGTTCTTTGAATCTGGAAGTTTGGCTTGAGATTTTATTCTTCTCCTTTGTCTTTTACTTAATTTTATTGGTTTTAACTAAAAAACAAAAATTTAATTAGGAAATATCATTAAGATATGTAAAAAAAACATTTAAATTTACCTTCACTTTTGTTTCAATATTCCATTCGATACAGCATCGAGAACATCGTACTTGATCCGAAAATTGCTTTTTAGGTAAACCAAAGCCTTTAGTTATTAGTTTACATCGTGTCCTGGTAATAAAAATAAATATAATAATTATGAGAATATTTTTTTAAGCAAGGACGAATTACTATACAATTACTTACAAGTAATAACTTTTTAATATTTGACTAGTGTCATCATTTTCATTTTGAGATAATATAGAAGCCGCTTTTATTAGAAGTCCAACTTGTGCTTCAGTCATTCTTATCTAAATTCAATTAATGTTTTGTTTTATCAATGATTTTAAAAACAAATCAGCGAGGGCCGGGCAGCATGGATGACAAATAAAAGTTATTGACCATTTTATTTGTCAAATGTTATCCACGGTGACCATATGGAAGTGACACTGACAGCTTGGGTCATGGGTGAGGGTGACAGACAGCGATCACAGATTAAGTATTAGTTATTAGCGATTAATGAAATTTTAAATTGAGTGCATAAACACAGGTTATATAGAGACAGGCATAAATGATGAATATTATGCTATGACCACGTGTATATAATATTATGCTAAAAAATATTGTTATTAATATGAAATGAACTGCAAAAACAAAATCAATAATGTTATAGATAAATATTATAAAATGTAAAAGACGTTTATGTTTCCAAACGGGCACCATCCATATAATTTCCCGCCAAAACATTACCTGTCACAACTCACAACTCACAAATCACAATCTTTCAACGTGAGAGTTGTTTGAATTGAATGAATTGTTGTTCGTTTATCTTAATTCACAACAAATAGAAAATATTTATATATGTCAAACATGATAAATAGATCACGGTACGATAGTTCATAAATTGTTGAACGTTTAACTCAACATTGCAAATATATCAAGCAAACATAACAAAGAACTTTTTTGTGGTTAGATAAAAATATAGTAAATAGAACTTAATCTAAGGAGGAAACTACTACATAAGTGTTAAAACATGGATGTAGCTGATACATATGCCACACAAAGTCAAGTTAAAGATGATGTTGGAATCCGGTGCCAAAAATTGTTTCAAGATTTCTTAGAAGAGTAAGTATTTCTTATTCAACGAAAATAAGAAAATAACTTAAAAACATAGGCTTAGAAATTAGAATCGAATAATATTTGTAACCATTATTTGGCCAGGCAGGCTTGCATTGTAGGTACCAGATAGGGCAGGAGCTTTGTAACAAGTATTTGAAATCTGAAGTAATTCCATGTAAAAGTTTCGAATATGTTTGGAGTGGAGTTAAAATGACGACTAGTATAGTTCCAAATGAAAATTTAAAAATCTACATATAATAAAATAGTGATTCAAAACAGTACATTAAATATTTTGTCTTCGGAAAATCTTATTGAAATAGTCATTATTATCGATACAGAGGATCAATCTATAGTCTTTAAATGTTTATCTGTCTGTCTGTCTGGGAACACAAGATGGGAAAACCACTGGACACATTTTAATAAAATTTGGTATGATGATAGCTAGTTATCCGGGTCAACATATAGGATACACTTTACTGCAGGAAAATATGTCGTCTCTGAGAAATCTATACTAACTGTTAAAACTCACCTAGGGATGAACCCGAGCTATGCAAGGGTGGGTAGCTAGTTAAATATAAATTGTTAATTTTGGAATAGTATTCATTTAATCTCATTTGACAATTATTGTAATAGATATGAATAAATAAATATGTGTTGCCAAAACTACAGAATTATCCAAAATAGGTTCTTTCAGTAATCTAAAAAAATAACCATCTATTCATTGTCTCAATCACAAAATTATTAACCACTAGGATACTAGACGTTTAGGATATTAATCTTTAACATCATTAGTATGTATGTCACATGCCATATGTGGATACCTATGCGTTCTTTCTCAATTTTGAAATTAACAATCCTTTAGAGGTGTTATACCTTTTTATATAAATACACAAACTCACAGCTCACTTTCAAGCTTACATAGAATATTTGTGTTATTGCTATAATAATGTAGCATGAATTATCAAATTGTTTATTAGAAAGTATTCATTTTAAAAAAACACGAAAACAAGTACAAAAGGTACTAATTTTTTTAATTTTGGTAGGCTTTTATGTCACGAACACATTAGTAAAGGAGAAAGACAAGGAAAAGATTGCATAAGGAGATTAACTCCTGTGTGAAAATAGCGTAATATCTTGTCTGGTATGCATAATGAGACACCTCAAAAAGTATTCTCTTATTATTTTACTCATAGAAAATGAGAGATCTGATTTATTAAACTATATTCATATTATGAAGAATTAATTTTTGAATTATTGTGAATTTAATGGAAATTATCTTTGTCTTACTATATGTTGCTACTAGCGACTGACCCTTGTTTTGTTCGGGTTCATGCCTAGGTTGCATCCTTATGGGATGATTTCCGGGATAAAAACTATCCTATGTCCTTCCCAGGGTCTCAACCTATCACCATCATTCTTATCAAATTTAATCTATATCGGTTCAGCACTTTCGGAGCCTATTCAGTACAAACAAACAAAAAAATCTTTCCTCTTTATAATATTATTAGTATTAGTATAGATTATATGTTTTTCAATCAATACAAGGTACTATATAAGGTAAACAATTTCAAATATTATTTATAGGTTTAAAGAAGATAATGAGCTGAAATACGAGAAACAGGCCAAAGAGCTTCGTAAGCCTGAATTAAGCACATTAGAAGTTAGTTTTGATGATGTGGAGAAGTATAATCAGAATCTTGCCACAACAATTATTGAAGAATATTACAGAATATATCCATTTCTTAACCAGGCCATATTGAACTATGTGTTAAGCCTTGCAGATACTGGTATGAAAAAAGATTTACAGGATAAAGAATGCTACGTTTCATTTGTTGATGTACCCACAAGGCATAAAGTGAGAGAACTGACCACAGCAAAAATTGGCACTTTAATAAGGATATCAGGGCAAATTGTTAGGACTCATCCAGTGCATCCCGAGCTTGTTTTGGGTACATTTGTCTGTTTAGATTGCCAGACTGTTATTAAAAATGTAGAACAACAGTTCAAGGTTAGTATTATATTAGACAACTTTCTTATTTATTTACCATAAATTTAGAATATTCTATTATTTTTCTGTTTTAAATCTACATTAAATATTAAAATAAAGACCTTTGATTTTCAAAGGGAAAATAACCATCTTTTAAAATAAATCCATAGGTTATGAATTATGATGTGCCTGTATTATATATTTCACTCATATATATATACATTATGTTTTCCCACAGAGGGTTGATGTCAGGTAGGCGGTCGGTTGTAAAACTTTTGCCAATTCCTATCGGCAGTACAGAAGATGTACTGTTCTGACCCCAAGTTATTGGAAAATAGGCAGTGAGATGATGATATATACATTGTGTCTAGACTTAGGTTTTTATTGCAATAGACATTTACGTAATACTTATGTTTGTAAATTCCTGATATACAAGTGTTTTGACAGAGCCAGGGGGTGGATAGTGAAACTACTAAAGCCACCAATAAAATCTTTAAAGAGTTTATTTTATTTCTTTTGATGTGTTATATATATTATAGTTGTTAAAAATGTTGTTCTGTTATCTATACATATAATAAAATTCAAATTGAATCGAATCTGTACATTAAATATTTTTTGGAAAATATTATTGAAATAGTCATTATTATCGATACAGAGGCCGAATGTATAGTTTTTAAAATTTTAGTCTGTTTGTATGGAAACATATCGCGAGAAAACTACTGGACAGATTGTGATGAAATTTGGTATGACAATAGCTAATCGATAGTTAATGGGGTCATATAAGATACTTTTCACTGCGGGAAAATATCTCATCTCTGAGAAATCTATACTAACCCTTAATAAATTTAAAAGTTCCATTGTTTTTAATAAAATATTTCTTATTTCAGTATACAATACCAGCGATATGTCGGAACCCGGTATGTGCGAACAGACGCCGTTTCATGTTGGATGCAGACAAGTCAGTTTTTGTGGACTTCCAGAAAATTCGAGTTCAAGAAACCCAAGCAGAACTGCCTCGCGGTTGTATACCGAGGTCACTCGAAGTTATATTGAGAGCAGAAGCAGTTGAATCTGTACAGGTGAGCCACTAGTAACCTCTTTGTATTAGACTAGCGATTCACTTTCGCTTTGCTCGGGTTCATCCCAGCTTGCTTCCCAATACAAACTTTCATCCCCATTTTCACCCTTTAAGGGATAATTTCCGGGATAAAAAGCATCCTGTGTCCTTCCCAGGGTCTCAAACTATCTTACCAAATTTCATCTAAATCGGTTCAGTAGATCCAGAGATTACACAAACTCACAATCTGACAAACTTTATCTCTTTATAATATTAGTATAGATAATGGGATTATTTACAGGCTGGAGATCGCTACGATTTCACAGGAACACTAATAGTAGTGCCTGACGTTGGCTCACTATCTTTGCCGGGAGCAAAAGCAGAACTGACCACAAGAACTCGGCAAGGCAATGAAGGGCAGATGGAAGGCATCAAGGGCTTAAAGGCTTTAGGAGTTAGGGAGTTACATTATAAGTATGTTTTTTAAATATTTTTATGGTTTTTTTACTGGCCAAAATTGAGTTGGCAGTTATGATATGCAAAAAGTACTTTATTTGGTCTTTGTCAATGTTACTTGTTACTAATTTATTATTATAATTAGAGCAGAGTTTCACGACTTTTCTTCTGTTGAGCCTCCCCGGATTACAAAAAAATATTATCATGCATGTAAAATAAAGGCGGTATTTTTTGAAGTGAAAATTTCTATAGGCAAGTTTGGATGGGGAGTAAATTTATGTAAGTCGTCATCGACATGGTCACGTGACGTGATAACGCTAACACTCAGAGTGCCGTTAGATGTCAAAACCAGATAAATGTAAACAGTTTTAATTTACAAATTTTAATTTAAGATCAAACGATTAATTGAAATATCCAAAAATAACAACTGTTTGTTTATAGTTTTAAGTTTTCATTTCTAGCTGCAGTCCTCATGACTGCTTTTTTCATTATAATAAAAAACTCATTATTTGAACGGTTTTTATTTATATTTAAATTAAATTTATGCAAAATAAACTTTCTACGCCCCCTTTTAGCTGCTGCCCTCTTGCGTTAGGAGCTCCTGATTTAGAGTATAATAAATTATATAGTGATTTAATTAATGTTTTTTTTTTCAATTTTATCTATATTTTCATCTATATTTTCATCTATATTTCTAAATAGCTAGATAGTGAACCAAAGAGAAATAAAAAGCCATAGGCAGAAACAAGTTTTATTATTTTCTAAGTGTATAACCTTTTTATAATAAGATTTGTATAATTTCAGAACAGCATTCCTGGCATGTAGTGTTCAAGCAACGTCTCGACGCTTCGGCACCGGAGATTTGGCTACAGATGACTTGACCACCGAAGATATGAGGAAACAGATGACTGATAAAGAGTGGGATAAGGTCAGTCTGTTTATGCATCTAATATATAATAAATATATATATAATAAAATTCTAACTGAGTTTAATCTGTACATTGAATATTTTTTTGGAAAAGCTTATTGAAATAGTCATTATTATCGATACAGAGACCGAATCTTTACTTCTTGTAATTTTTGTCTGTCTGTCTGTATGTGACCGCATCACGAGAAAATCACTGGACAGATTTTGATGAAATTTTGTATGATGATAGCCCGTTATCCAGGTCAACATATAGGATACTTTTTACTGCGGGAAAATATCTCATCTCTGATAAATCTATACTAAACGTTAAATACGTTATAAAATAGAACTAAGTTAACGAAAAAAAACCTTCAGCTGCAACATACCCTACGTTAATACTTTCTTAGATTTACGCGAATATTTGACTTCTTAAATAAAACTATTTTTTTTTTCTTAAAAGAAAACTAATTTATAACTAAACGACAGTAGCTTCCTAACGGAAGTATCCATTAATTAAATGAGACAATTTCGGCGATTTTTCGACATAGCAATCAGTGAAATCGATAGCTATCAGTGCATAATTAAACTGCAATGAATATTATAATTAAAAATTAATATATGATATACCCATATTATAGTGAAGAAATATTTTTTACTTAAATCAACCCGGTCTTCTCACAATTTTACACTGTTTCTTGCGGAAAAAAATTACGTGATATTTGCCGCACCACCCTCTCCCCCACGTGAGATTGAGTGAGGTTTTGCGTGCGTATCACGTAATTAATGAATTACCCCCTTAGGTAACCCAACAAGGTGAGCGTACGTTACTTATAACAATATATTTTTATCAGGTATATGAAATGTCGCGGGACCGCAATCTCTACAATAATCTCATCACGAGTCTCTTCCCGAGTATCCATGGCAATAATGAAGTCAAGCGAGGCATCTTGTTGATGTTGTTTGGAGGCGTTGCCAAAACTACTATTGAAGGTTAGATATTCCTATTGGGATGGATTTAGAGTATTATTTAGTTTTAATCTTACTAATATTATAAACTAGTGACGCACCCTCGCTTCGCTCGTGTTCTTCCCTAGCTTGTTTGCCCATACAAACTTTCATCCCCAGTCTCCCCCTCTTTAAGGATGATTTCCGGAATTAAAACTATATCACTCACTAACTTTTCATATCATGAGATTTAAAACTTATTTTAGTAAAAAAAAATCTTTGAATTTTCTTATATACAAAGCTTGTCCTGACAATCACAAACACAAAAAAAGAATTATCCAATTTGGTGCAGCCGATCGGAAGTTACGCGCGTACATACATTTCGGTGATTCATTTTTATTTAGGTAGATGTGTAAGTTTAGATATTTGTATGGATGTTTGTTACTTAATCACGCCAGAACGGTTGAACGGATCCGGATGAAATTTGGCACGGAGATAGATTATTTATTTGGAATATTCTGGTACTTTTTATCCAGAAAAAATGTAGCGTTCCCGTGGGATAGATTTGGTTTTGTTTTTCTAGAGGCGAACACGAGTGAAGTGAAAATGAGCCGCTAGTATTGGAATATGTGCTTTATAGTTTATACTAAGCATAGATTACAAATTATTATTTTTTTCTTTTGTTTTTTCTTGATTATCTATATATGCTCATTAGAGCTGAAAAAATGTTTGGTGTTAGTTTGACATTTCTAAACCAAACTAATCTGAAACTGGCGATTCTTTGAATTACTTAAGGCTGTAAAAGAATTTGTTGTTTAAAGCTTTTTTTACAACTCCTAATATTTGGCATGGCATACGTATTTTATTGCATCGCTTCACTCGGTTTCCCAAGCGAGCGCGTTACCACTGGGCTACCACTGCGTTTATAATACTGTGTGTATGTATGTACAGGCACAACCCTGCGTGGTGATATCAACGTGTGCGTGGTGGGCGACCCCAGCACGGCCAAGTCGCAGCTGCTGAAGCAGGTGAGCGAGATGACGCCGCGCGCCGTGTACACCTCCGGCAAGGCGTCCTCTGCCGCCGGTCTCACCGCTGCCGTTGTCAAGGTATAAATACTCAAACTGCTTATATAATTTATCTATACATCTATACAGATAAATAAGATTGAAGTGTGTGTTTGTTATGTCAAAATAACAGCGTTTTACTAAATGCATATTTTAAAATTATATACAGTATGTATAAGAAAAACACACATTTTTTAAACTTTGTCTGTCTGTCTGTTTGTTCCGGGTGATCTCTGAAACGGCTGAACTGATTTTGACGGAACTTTCACTGTTAGATAGCTGATGTAACATAGGCTAGTTTTATTTTAGAAAAAGAATAGGGTTACGCTCAAAAAAATAAAACATACCTATGGACGAATCGGAGCGAAGCGAAGATGAGTCGTTTGTTATTAGTTATAATATTAATATTACACATTTTTTAAAGGGATTATTCTAAAACCACTTGCTATTATAAACGGTACGCTGTTACTCTGTGTGTTTGTAACTCCTTCACGTCGAAACGGTTGGACGGGATTGGATAAAATTTAGTATGTAGGTATTCTATGACCTATAGTAGCGTACAGAATGACAGCTCGTCGTCATAATGCTTATTTGTTCAAAAGACAAATTTACAGAATTATTGACTTTTAAATGTCAAATCCATTGTTGTGAAATACAGATTTTAAGCGGAAAAGCACCTTAGGAATAAAGCTTTGTTTTTTTAAATTAAAGACAAAAGCTCTACTGTAAATAAAACAAGTATTGTTGGTTTGAACAAATAAGGACTAAGGCGACATAGATTCAGGTGCCTAACGACGCTCCCGTAAAATCCCAAAAAGTTTAAAGTCGTAGACGTGGTTGGTCCCAGTTTAAAGATTTTACCTTTAACTTTTTTTATGAATTATTTGATGGTAAACTGTAACAAAAAGTATTGTTTATTACCTTTTGTATAAACTCACTCTAAACTTACATTTAATTTTCAAATATACCTACATTGATTTTATTAAAAAAGCAGTCATGAGAACTGCCGACATAAGTGAAAAACTATAAACAAACCTTTGTTATTTTTGAATATTCAAATTAATTGTATGATCTTAAATTAAAACTGTTTACATTTATCTGGTTTTGAAATCTAACGGCACTCTGAGTGTTAGCGTTGACACGTCACGTGACCATGTCGATGACGACTTACATAAATTCACTCCCCATCCAAACCTGCCTATAGAAATTTTCATTTAAAAAAGAAAGCAAATACAATAATACCCGAAAAACAAAACCCCATCACCAGGACGAAGAATCATTCGACTTCGTAATCGAAGCGGGCGCGTTGATGTTGGCGGACAACGGAGTGTGCTGTATAGACGAGTTTGACAAGATGGACCCCGGGGACCAGGTCGCTATACACGAGGCTATGGAACAGCAGACGATTTCCATAGCAAAGGTATGGTAACTAATTGACTATATTTCTATACTAATATTAAAACTAAGAGGTCAAGTTTGTGACGTTGTAGGGGGTAAAATCTCTGGATCTAATGAACCGATTTAGATGAAATTTGGTAAGAAGATAGTTTAAGATTCTAGGAAGGACATAGGATAGTTTTATCCCGGAAATCAACCTGTAAGGGACTATTTATATAAATAAAGTATTATAAATGCTAATTGTATTATTTTACAATTCCATAGGCCGGTGTGCGTGCAACCCTTAACGCGCGCACGTCTATCCTAGCAGCCGCAAACCCTATCGGGGGTCGCTACGACCGCGCCAAGTCTCTGCAACAGAATGTCGCTCTGAGTGCACCCATCATGTCTCGCTTCGATCTCTTCTTCATACTCATCGACGAGACCAGCGAGATGGTGGACTATGCGATCGCTCGTAAGATTGTGGACCTCCACTGTAATAAGGAGGAAACATACGATTGTGTATATACAAGAGAGGATCTACTCAGATACATAGCTTTTGCAAGGTCCTTCAAGCCCATTATTACTGAGGTATGTTACTTGTTTTAATTTGGGTAGAGTTTTAAATGTATATTGGTTTCATATGAATTATATTATTTCATTTTAAATGTGTGAATAATTGTATTTTCTTTTATATGTACATTAATGGAGCAAGCAAATATTTGTTAAAAATATAAAATACTAGAAGAACCCGCGGCTTCGCTCGCGCTAAAACTACGAAAAAATCTCTTAATTTTGAAAAATGCTAAGACATGTATTTATTTAATTTTATTGAAGAATATATATACCAAGTTTCAAGTAATTCTGATAATAAATATTTTTTGCATTGTATTATAACGTGTTTTCCCGTGGGAATTAAGTAATCTACCGCGATAAAAAGTAGCCTATGTCACTCTCCAGCCCTCTAAATATCTCCACACAAAAAATCACGCCAATCCGTTATACTCCATTTCGATGTGAAAGAACTACAAACAAACAAGCAAACAAACACACTTTCAAATTTATAATAAACATGTATGGATATTCTTCTATACGTATAATAAAATTGTAACTAAGCTGAATCTGTACATTAAATATTTTTTGGAAAATCTTATTGAAATAGACATTATTATCGATACAGAGCCCGAATCATTAGTTTTTAGAATTTTTGTCTGTCTGTCTGTGACTGCATCACGAAAAACACCACTGGATAGATTTTGATGAAATTTGGTATGACGGTTAGCTGGTTAACTAGTCAACATATAGGATACTTTTTACTGCGGGAAAATATTTTATCTCTGAGAAATCGATACTAAACGTTCAAACGTAAGTAGGAACGAACTCGAGCGGAGCGAGGGTGAGTCGCTAGTAAATAAATAAATAAACTAACGAACTCTAATGAAATATTCCAGGAAGCGGGTAAACTCCTTGTGCACTACTACAGCGTGCTGCGCGCGCGTGAGGGCGGCGCGGGCGCTTGGCGCATCACAGTGCGCCAGCTCGAGTCCATGCTGCGCCTGGCCGAGGCCATGGCCAAAATGCACTGCAGTGGCCAAGTGGCTGATCAGCACGTGCACGAGGCGTACAGGTACTGTATACTTGCGAATCTTAGTTACCCACGTACAAAAGAATTATATATATATATATATATTAGCAGTACCCGCGGCTACGCCCGCGTTCAAACTTCCGATCGCTAACAAATTCACAGGATCACCCGCTGGGCCAATTTGAAGATTACATGAAAATTTCATCAAAATCGCTCCAGCTGTTTTGGAGTCCATAGGAAACGTACATACACACATAGATTTTTGTTTTATTTAATCAACAATTTAAATTTATTTATTGCTCAGAAAGTGAATCTTTTATGAAAATTTTAGTGACACACCGACTACAGTGCCAACTACTGGATCCATTTGTGAATTCAAGCCTTGCAGGGACCCACTCGAACATACACAAAAAATATAATTAAAATCGTCTATGCCGTTTTAGGAGAAGATTAGTGACATACCAACAGCAGCACCACCTATGGGGTCCAATTGTGTTTTCAAACTATCCAGAAGCCCATTGATATATACACACAAAATTTCATCCAAATTGGTCCAGTCCTTTAGGAGGAGTAAGTTAACAAACACACAGAAGAATTATATATATTAAGATTAGGAAGATGTATAGATAATATTCTACCAAACCTAATCCATGCTGGAGCGCTTAATGTTTATTTTAATGTCCTATAACATACAGGAAGCATTAATAAGAAAGTGTGACAAAAAAAAATTTAAATAAAATAATTACAAATTGTTGTCAACGATAAAAATGTACATGTTGGAAATGCCAACAACTGTAGTTTTGCTCCAGTAAGGTAGTCCGTATCGGGGTATCCATACATATTAGGTAGTACTTGCAAGGAAGGACATCTGAAATGCAAAATAAGATATCAATATTTTTGCATATTTGAAACATTTAAAATAGAAAAAGGTTACATATTTTAATACGGTAAATAAGAAATTATTATAATTTTTTCATTATTGTTTTTTTAGATTACTAAATAAATCAATAATTCGTGTGGAGCAGCCAGACATACATCTAGACGAAGAGGATCCGCAATATGAACCTAGTATGGATGTTGATCAAGAAATACCCAATGGCACAGGTATGTTTATTTAAGTTCAGTAAAATTTTACAAATTTAATATTTAATCAAATTTTAACTTATGCCTTTTAATGATAGCAAAAAATAGGAAAACAAAAGACATTGGTACAATTTAGACTTAGAACGACGTGATGTAAGAGATTTAATAAAAAGCGATTAATAGTGTACCGACTTATATAGAAACCTGGTAATTAATTTTATACTAGCGACTCTCCCTAACTTCGCTGGGGTTCGTCCCTAATGAAAAACATAAAAGAAATCTATCCCACGGAAACCGTACATTTTTCTCGGGTTAAAAAAACCCTATGAGCTATTCCAGACTAATCTATAATCCAAAATTTCAAAATCCATCCAAATTTTCGCATTAATAATATTAATGGCTATTTTATAATACAATGATTTTTATTTGTTTCTAGGTTCCACAGAGAGTCAAGTGAATAGTGACCAATCGTCTAAGAAGAAACTGACGCTCTCGTTCGAAGAATACAAAACATTGAGTAACATGCTGGTCGTGTTCATGAGGAAGGAGGAAGTGGAGGCAGAGACCAAAGGTATAAGAAACTTGTGTGTCCATATCATACACTTTTATTCCAGCAAATAAGCAATAACCCTTAAAATTATGTCATATTCTTCTTGTCACAGGTAGTTGCTTTTCCTATTATGTTATAGATAAATACTATCTATTCTATTATATTAATAAAAATGAATGTTGGTAAGCGCATAACTCAAGAATGTCTGGACCAATTCGGCAATTTTTTTTTCGTATGTTCCTTAAGGTCCACGGAAGGTTTTAATAAAGAGAAAAAATTAAAAATTAACAAAAACAAATTTAAAAATTTATATGGCTAACTATTTATATCTATTTAAAACTTACCTAGCGACGAACCCGAGCGAAGCGAGGGTAGGCCGCTAGTTTTAAATAAAACTATATTTTACGATTTTGGAGAGTGTCTTCAGTGACCAAAATATATCCGCGTAAAAATCCGAAAAATTTAGTTTTATTTAAAATGTCAATTGTTCAAGTGTATATGTGTAGTGTATCAACTATCTGGTATCTATAACACAAGCCTCGTAGCTTACCATGGAACTATGTAGATGGTGCTGCATTTATATAATCTATCTGTGTACTAAATTTCATACAAATTCGTCCAGCCTTTTCACTATAAAAGCGTAACACACCCACAAACATATACGAATACATCCTTGCAGGTGAAGAAGGCTCGGGCATGCGCAAGAGTGCAGTGGTGAGCTGGTACCTGGAGCAGCTCGTGGCTCAGGGGCAGATAGAGAGTGAGGATGAGCTGGTGGAGAAGAAGACGCTGTTGGAGAAGGTCATTGATCGGCTCATGTATCATGTGAGTTTTTTTTTCTCTATTTTTATTTAGGGACTTTTATTTTTTTAGGACATGTTGTCCCATCGTATCTTAACCTAAGTATAGCATCACAAATAAATTATGGAAATAGGAAAATAGAATCAATATTGCAAAACCATATCTACCAAAATTTTAACAACGTCAATAATCGTGTGTTGTTGGAATGAATGTGTCGTTATTAACCGACTTCAAAAAAAAGGAGATTGTCAATTCTATATGTATGTTTGTAATATTATTGGAACGGCAAAGAATTCACATTGTATGATCCGCGTTACGCGGAGTAAAATATATAAAACTAACGCTAATAAATTATAATATATAATATTGTGTACTTGTGTACTTGGACTTAGCCGTGGAAGCGTTGCCGGGCCCGGAATCCTTAATCCTGCGTGGGCACTGATCACTAGGGGTGTTTTGTGTGTATGTAGAATATAATATATAAGCCCATTAATCAATCCGACCGAAATACTTTGATTTTCTTTGTAACCGACACGATTCAAAAGGGGAGCTCTCGTCCCACCGACCGAAGAATACCGAATGCCATTGACAACTGTCATTTCAAACCCGACCTAAGATGATGCCATATAAAAAATACTAAACACACATATATATGTATGTACGTTTGTCCAAGCGTTTCTCCGAATCTAGTTATTAGATCGTGATAAAGAGCAATAAAGCAACTACCGCTTATTGCTGCCCCGTGTGATAGAACATATAACAAACACATCTTCAACAAAAAATTTAACATAAACATGATTGAAGAGAAAATAGACCAACCAGCAGCCAACGAGCTACGAATTTACACTGATGGCTCCAAAACGCAGAGTGGCTCTGGAGCTGGGATATTTTCCCTCGATCTCAACATCAACATACACATACCATTAGGCATACACAGTTCGATCTTCCAATGCGAATGTGTAGCCATAACGGAAGCCGCAAGGGCAGTGCAAAGACGGGAGGTAAATAATTATACCATAAAAATCCTCTCCGATAGCGCGGCCGTTCTGCAGGCGTTAACAAACAAACAAACAATAAATTAATAATTGAGTGTCACTATGCCCTCGATACAATAGCACTGACCAATCAAGTCACTGTTCAATGGATCAAGGGCCACAGCGGCTCACTAGGCAACGATGCAGCTGACGAACTTGCAAAGAAAGGATCGAGGTTAGAAGTAACTGGCCCATACCCACTTCTTCCCCTACCTTTTTCACAGGTTCGCACCTGGATCCGCCAAAGAACGCTGACGCTTCAAAATAAGAGATGGTCGCTAACGACAGACTGCAGGCAAGCTAGATCAGCATTGCCCGCAGTCAACCCACGTCTCACTAAACGCCTACTAAACTTAAATAGAACCAATCTCAAAATAATGATAGGGACAATAACGGGCCACTGTCCCTTAAACAAACACTTATTTAACATTGGCGCAACGGACAGCCCTCTCTGCAGAGGGTGTTTTAGCGCTGTAGAATCAGTCGCTCACGTAGTCCTGGAATGCGTAGCGGTAACTTCCCAACGAAATGAAATCCTCGAACCGGTGAGGTCGCTCCGCGAAGCCTGTGAAGCTCCCAGGAAGCTTTTGCGCTTTTGGACGGAGTTAGGCTGGCTGAACTAGCCAGGATTCGCAACGTACAACGGACCAAACGCGAGTCTAAGTGCGGAAAACGAGTCCAATATACAATACAATAGATCGTGATAATTTTTTTATTTGCTTACATTTATGAATTGCCAAATTTCATATAGATTCGTTCAGCCGTTCTGGTATGAAAGAGTAACAAACATCATCCATTAGTATGGATTTCGTCAAAGACTATATATTACATTGCCTTCCTACCGAAATAAGTAAATAAATTAGATATTTTGTCTTAACTGACTTATTTTTATTAACGACACGTTTGGTTCAGTTTGTAGTGACCCTATTTGCTGTGACAACGGTCGCGGATTCGAGTTCCGCTGGGGACATTCATTTGTGTGATGAGCACGATTGTTTGTACTCCAGTCATTGGTGTGTAGTATATTTATGATATGTATGTATTTAAAGTTATATATGTGTCGTGTATCAACTGTCTGGTATCCATAACACAAGTCTGAATGTACCAACATATTTATTTGTTATTTTAATAACTCCAGGACCAAGTAATAATCCCGCTGCAGACGACGGGGCTGAAATCGAAGTCGTCCGACCAAGAAGTAGAAGACGACCCGTTGCTCGTAGTGCATCCCAACTATGTGGTCGACACGTGATATTCCTACTTTTAATAAATCATTGATTTTGTATTACGATGTTGTTATTTCATACATGCCCGCCCCTACTTTTCAACCGATTTCTTCAAAAGGGAGGTTCTCAATTTGTCGGTTTTTTTTGCTGGTACCGACTTCGAAAATATCTGATTAGGTATCTATTCTAAATGAAAACCTCCGTTTAGTTATTTTTTACATTTTAGTGCCTGAAAGTCGGTATTTTTTAAGTTTTTATTTTTGTCTTAATTAGTTGAGGCAGTAAGTAGCAATATTTACGATATTTTTAACATTAAATCTGTTGCCATTTACTAGTATAGTGGTATTATTGACTAGTATAGTGATTTTGACTAGTATAGTGGTATTATATTGTATTAAAAGACACAGATTACACCATACTGTAATGTACCAGTACATATGCTTTATCCAGTCAAAGCTCCTGAGTAAGTGTTCTGTGACTCAGAGATAGGACAGTCAAAATTCGAGCTATTTTTGTTTTCTGTTATAAATGATAGATGGCGTTGTTCCGCAAATTATTGAACTATAATAAAACCGTGATTATGTTTTTAACCATGTTGAACAACTCAAAAAATGTAAACAGCGCCATCTATGAATCCATTTTTTGTTAATCTTATTATTTTTATTTATTTGAAATAAAGAATAAATTAATGCATAGGCCAGCTATTGATTTTTTTAATAAGGGGTATCATTTCTGGTGACACTAGTTGGCGCCACTGGCAAGTGAGGTCCTGCCGTCGTTAAAAAGTATTTATTAGAGCGGCAGGGCCAATAAATTAAATATAATAATTATAATTGTTAGCGCGAAAACAGTTTTATTAGTATTTTAAATAATTAATCTTAACCAATAAAATAAAATATTGACTTTTCTTAGCTCTTATTTTAAGCAATAAGATTTAATACTTTCTTAGATTTACGCGAATGTTTGACATTATTAAATAAAACTATCTTTTCGGATTATTTCGCGGATTTATTTTGATTTTTGGTTCCCTAAACCAAAAATCAAAATAAATCCGCGAAATAATCCGAAAAGATAGTTTTATTTAATAATGCAATAAGATTTATTGTGTCGTACCATGTCTGTAATAATTAATCAGGAATGGCACAATCTTTACAATAATCATGAATATTAATGAAAATCCGCGACAAAAAGCTCGCAAAAAAAAACATTTAGTACCATTTGACATTTTTAGAGACCTCACTCTACACTAGCGCCCTCTCGCGGCGAAGCCAAGCGCAGTAGCCCTTACTGAAATAGTTTTTCTTTGTTACCTTATTAGACTTCAGTCCAGTAATCTTTTAAACCATTCTAATTTTTATAGTTAATATATTTCTATGACCAAGATAACGAGTTGCTAAAGAATGAGCTGCCAGCTGGATGTAATTTACGATTGAAAATACAAAAAGTATTATAGCATGTAACATGCGTTGCCTAGAAGAGAACCGCTGACGTCGCGTACCGTCGCGAGTCGTCGCTACACGTGTGTCCTGAAATTAAGACTGCATCAGCATTTTAGAATCTTATATATTTCGATCGTACCAAGTAATTTGTATTAAATATGCGACTCTATCGATATCGTAGTGATCGATTCGTATTAAGTTTAGATGATATATTTATATTTTAAAGTAATTTTAATTAAAATATTACGTATTTACTTTGGTTTTTTGAGTCATTAACGTAATTAGCAATTGAATAAAGCATTATAAAAATAAAAATAATGAAAATTGTTACTGATTTAGTATAAATTTTATTTAGCTTATATTTATATTCAACAATTCATTAACAAACATATTAACACACACACACACACAACATTTAACAGCGTTCAAATACTTTGTACAGATCACCAAGACTAGCTATTTGTAATATCGCCCCGTTACTTACAAAACTGGTGGGGGGTAGAAAATATCTTCGAATAGCAGGGAATATTATATGTTCTTGTTTCCAAATTTCTCCTTTTAGCACTTCGTTTGAGGTATCGGGGTTGGTTTGAGAGTAAAATATGGCGGTCTGTCTGCTGAAAGTGTCGAAACATTCCTTCTCAGATTCCCAGTTGACTTCAGTGACGAGACGCACGAGGTACGTCGGTAGAGCTCCCATAAATGGCGTGTGTCCGTCTATAATTACAAATAATTATAAAATTAATAAACATAATATTTTTTTTAAATCTATATAAATAAAAATGAATCACCGAAATGTATGTATAACTCGCGTCAGCTAAAAAGAACGCTGGCTGTCAAGCTGCGCAGAAGCGATTTATCGGCCAAATTGGTGGTAAGAGGTGGGGCGCAGGGCGGCGGGGCACGCGCCGCATGCTTACCGGCGCGCTATTGGTGCGTCAGTTCGAAATACCATCGCGCACACAAAAGTTTTTAATTACGAAATGGTTTAATATAGAGAAAAGAGAGAAAAAATATTTTTGACGTATACTGTTTTATAAAGAGAGAGTCTGATAATAATGCAGCTAATAATTAAAAAATGTATTAAACATATTAATTTATTTTTTTGTAAGTAGATTAAACATTCTATACTGAATCAAACATATTTTAATAATGAATAGGATTCTATTTAATGATATTTTATCTAATATATTTTTCAATGTCCCTACCAATAACTAATATATGAAGCCGAGAACGAAATGCTATGAAAAATAAAATAATAGGCTTAATACTTTTGTGCGCGAGTATACCCATGCGCAAACATACTCCCTCCACTTTCTTCCAGCGTTCTTTTTAGATGACGCGAGTTATACGCGCATAACTTCCGATCGACTGTACCAAATTGGATAATTCTTTTTTTGTGTGTTTATTATTTATTTATTGTCAGAACAAGTTTTGTATAGAAGAAAAAAGATTTTTTTTTTTACTAAAATAATATTTTTTTAAATCTCATGATCCGATTTAGATGTAAAAAAATAGTTGAGACCCTGGAGAGGACATAGGATACTTTTTATTCCGGAAATCATCCCTTAAAGGGGTGAAAATGAGAATGAAAGTGTGTATTGGGAAGCAAGCTAGAGACGAAACCGAGCGAAGCGAGGGGAGTTGCTAATAATGAAATAATTATACTGAAATCAATAAATATTATTCATTAAATTTTTTATATAAAGAATTTTTGGATAAAATCTTTTCTAAACCCTTATTACATTATTATATTTAAAAAAACTGCGTGTGTGCACAATTCATACGCAGTAAATGTGAAACTTAATATTATATATTTGTCAGACAATAACAACGGTTACCATGATACATAACCATGGCAACATGGCAATGTATATTCACGTTCGGCTCAGTTTATAGTGTCTTGCTGTGCCAGCGGTCGCGGGTTCGAGTCCCGATGGAGGCATTCATTTGTGTGTTATGCACAACTGTTTGTACTCCAGTCATGGGTGTTATTTATAATATGTATGTATTTAAAAGTTGTGTAGTGTATCAACTATCTGGTATCTGTGGCTGACTTACATTCATCATAAAACATTAAATAAATTCACACACCTTACACACACCCTACATAATAAAAAATAAAAAAAATACGCATAGAACTTGAGCCTCGCGGACAGCTGATCGAGGTGACGTAATGTCATCTTTCCTCCCGCGCACCGCACCTCGGTGTTTACCATTAGCGGCGCCCGCGCATTAGCATCTACGATCTTTTCAAGTTAATTAAAAGTTAAAAAGTTTCAACTCCTTACTCCAGTCAGTCGCAATCCGCACGCTAGACGAGAGACACGTACCGCTCGCTTACTCGCCATTCCAAGCTTACGTACTTAATCATATAAGCTTCGTAATTTTATGTATTTTATTTCTACTATCTTTGTGCTTTCTATCGTGTAAACTGTATGAACTATCTTTCCGCTTTGCTCTTTCTCCTTCTATATTTTGTGGGTGTAAAATAGTGCATTAAAGGCTGTGAATTGTACATAGACTTTTATTAAGTTCTCGCCAACTCCACAACAACACACTACCAAACCCCCACAGTGGTGACCCCAATTGAACATTAAAATGAGCAGTGACGACGGTGCTACAGCAGAATCTGGACCCTCTGCGAAAAGTCCACGTGTTCGCCAACGTGTTAAGAAATGTGAGCGCGTTTCAACGGACCGAGATCTTTCGACGGAGTTATTTCGTGTCGGCGTGCGTATACCGCCATTTTGGATAGAAAAACCTAAGATTTGGTTTGCACAAATTGAAGCGCAATTTAACTTAGCACGGATAACAGATGACAACACTAAATTTTATTACGTTCTGGCGCATTTGGACGGGCAATATTCTGCAACGGTCGAGGATATAATTGAAAATCCACCCTCTACTGGCAAGTACGAAAAGCTTAAATCAGAGCTTATTAAGCGTGTTTCTATATCGAGACAGAAGAAGGTGAAACAATTATTACAATCTGAGGAATTAGGAGATCGCAAACCTTCTCAATTTTTGCGACACTTACAACAATTAGCAGGACCGAATATGCCTGACGATTTTATTATGGATGTGTGGACTAGTCGTTTACCAAATAATTTACAGACTATTATCGCTTCTCAACCTAATATGGCTCTTCAAGATTTAGCCGAATTAGCGGACAGGGTACATGATATAGCACCTAGCCAGCCTCAATTGGCAGTAGCATCTATTTCAAAGTTAGAATCGGCGATGGATGTCATGGCGCGTCAAATAACGGCATTGACGAAGCAAGTGAGTGAACTGACTACCCAGAACTTCGATCGTGCGCGTCCACGGCATAGACAAAGGCCACGTCAGCGCAGTCATTCCAATTCTAGAAGATCACATTCCAACTTTAGGAAGTTTCCCATATGCTGGTATCACTACAAATTCGGCAATAAAGCGACTAGATGTACCTTACCATGTGATTATAAGTCGGGAAACGAGACGGGCAGTCGGTGATGGCGGCTGACGATTGCCCTCCGTCTTCTAATACTGGTCGCCTGTTTGTGACAGACCGCAGTTCGAAAGTGCAATTTTTAATCGATACAGGAAGTGATGTGAGTGTTTTTCCTCATGACGCGATTCAACAACGACGTGCAAAAACGGATTACCAGTTGTGTGCAGCAAATGGTACTACGATCAACACGTATGGTTATGTACAACTTATTTTAAATTTAGGCTTACGTAGAGAATTTATGTGGCGTTTTGTAGTTGCAGATGTATCTAAAGCAATTATTGGCGTAGATTTTTTATCTTATTTTAATTTAGTTGTAGATATTCGCAATAAACGCTTAATAGATAATACAACTAATTTGTGTACTGTAGCCATGATTTCTAGTAGTGTAGATAGTCTAGTGCGTTCATGACTTGTGATAATAACTAAGGATAGCTAAGGCTGAGTTTGAAGCCATGTTGGCTAATGGCACAGCTCGACCTTCAGAAAGCTCCTGGTCCTCACCGCTTCATCTAGCCCCCAAAAAGGACAATAGCTGGCGTCCTTGTGGTGACTACAGGATGCTAAATGCTAGGACAATTCCTGACAAATATCCCATTAGGCATATCCAGGACTTTGCTCATAGCCTTTCTGGATGTAACATATTTTCTACGGTTGACTTAGTTAAAGCATATAACCAGTTACCAGTTTTTGAGCAGGATATTCCAAAAACTGCTATAACTACACCGTTCGGACTCTTCGAATTTCCATATATGACTTTTGGTCTACGGAACGCCGCTCAGACCTTCCAAAGGTTTATAGATGAAGTGACACGTGGTTTAGATTTTTGTTACCCGTATCTCGATGACATATTAGTATTTTCGAAGGATGAGTCACAACATCAGGACCATCTTTGTCAACTCTTCACGAGGTTAAGAGACTATGGCATTTTAATAAATACCTCTAAGTGTCAATTTGGAGTAACAGAAGTCACTTTTCTAGGCTACCATATTTCACAGGCCACATATCCATAACACAGGCCTCGTGATAATTTTCGTAGTTGAATGCGTAAGCGATCCTGCAACGCCCCATTAAGACGGGGAAGGTTTTAGTGGGTAGTACTGGCTGTATTACGCCAGTGAGTCCCACACGTCGTGCGTAAATGCATTTCCCAACGTTAAAAAAAAAAGGCCTCGTGATAATTTCCCAACATATTTATTTATTACTAGCATTGCCCGAGGCTCCGCCCGCGTTCAGATGACCAACAACCAAATTCTTAGGTTTTACATATTAGTATACTCGTACTCTTACAATTCAGTTTTTGTATTTTTTCTCAGAAATGAGATATTTTCCCGCGGTAAAAGTATCCTATATGTTGACCCGGATAACCAGCTATCATCATACCAAATTTCATCAAAATCTGTCCAGTGGTTTTCTCGTGATGCGGTAACAGACAGACAGACAGACAGGCAGACAAAAATTCTAAAAACTATAGATTCGGATTCTGTATCGATAATAATGTCGATTTCAATTAGATTTTTCAAAAAATACTTAATGTACAGATTCGACTTCGAATGTTATTATATGTATAGATTATCCTGCGACTTCCAAAATTTAAATATATAATGTCAGTACTAATTAATATTTATGGCCAGTTTTCAAACACCCACCTAACAATAGCGGTAACGCCAGCAGCTCGCCTGCGACGCTCATGTGCAGTGAGAAGTACTCCAAGAGCATCGCGCTCTTGCTCACCAACAATTTTGTCATTTGTTTCGCCATTTCGTGCATATCTCCTAATATAATAATATACATATTAATAAATATTCTTATAATAATATTCACCGTAATGGTTCTTCAGTTTGTTTATTAATTATTTTGCATTTTAATGAACACTTTCTTAGATTTACGCGAATATTTGACATTTTACATATTATAACTATCTTTCACATTATTTAAAGTAACAAAGCACTTTACAATTTTTGTTGATTTTTATTCTATTTTTTTATAAGTACATATTTTAATTAAATATGGTAATATTATTAAAAGTTAAAATATTAAACAACAATATTGCTACCTTTAATTTTAAATAAATAGATAGCAAACAATTATTTTCTACACTTTTAACTATATTAAAACATCATGCTAAGATATTATTACAAATAAACATTGATTTATAAAATAATTATCATGTACTATTTTATACTAAAAATAAATATATTATTAATCTTTAGTGAATCCAGAAAGAAATTATTTAAGTTTATTCTTTACCTAACTCTGGATTCCATTCATCTTCCTGTGAACTGAGTCCAAGGACGAACAGCTCTTCTAATGGCAGCAGATTAGACAACTTAATTAAGCCGAGATTTTGGAAGTCATATAATATTGTTTCGTAAAATAGCTCCTCCCTATAATTAAATATTTTTTTCATATACTAATTGTGTCAATATATTTCTTACAATTACTGTTATATTAATATTATTTGTAGTGTACTTAAAAAGACATAATAAGGAATGTATAGATGACACGCTTGGCTCAGTTTGTAGTGACTCTACTTGTGCCAGCGGTCGCGGGTTCGAGTCCCGCTGGAGGCATTCATTTGTGTGATGAGCACGAATGTTTGTACTCCAGTGATGGGTGTGTATATTTATAATATGTATGTATTTAAAGTTATATATGTGTAGTGTATCAACTATCTGGTATCCATAACACAAGTCTCGTAGCTTACCAAGGAACTAGATGGTGCTGTGTGTTGACGTACCAACATATTTATAGTAATTGTCATCATGGAAGGATGTCAGGTGACATTGTCAACAGACAACTGTCAATACTAATCTGTATAAATAAATCAAACTACACTATTTTGACAACACATATCGTCAAAAGGTGAAATATGATAAAAAAACACCTTAACTTACATTAACTTCTTCGTATCACACAAATACAATTTAGTGGAGTGTTGTATGAGGGCTCGGTCAGAGTCAATACACGCGATAAATATTAAATTCGCTAAAATCTCACGTAAATTCGTATTGCATTTATTCTCCACATCCAATCGTAACTGCTTCACACTCGTTAACTTAGTTTCTACTCTCTCGTATTGAAATGTCCTCGTTTTGAAAGACTCCTTCGGATCCACGTAGGATATATTAGCGTTATCTATTACTACCGAATTATGTTTTTCATCCCTCAATTTTCTTTCATTCGGTTCATATATTAAAGAACTTTCTAAATCATTTAATTCATCCGTCACAATGTCTGGGAGCTTTTCAAAGCTTACATTTTTGAATTTATCTTCTTTATTACTGCTATGTTTTTCATTATTTTCTTTAATTATATCAGTTTCATTACATTCATTAATTTCATTATTTCTATTAATTGAATCATTTTCATTAACTTTATCATCTTGATTTGCGGCGATTTTGTATGTGTTAGCGGATTTGTTGACCGCTTGGAAGAACCTGTCTATCTTTTGCATGTCTGAATCGACTCTTACCAAATCTTTAGCGTATATTTTAGCTCCGTCTGTGGTTTTCTTGACTATTTCTTCTACCATAGTGGCTCCGGGGAGTCGCGCCTGGAGATAAAACATGTTTATATTAACCTCCACACATTTTTCACTACTATTAAGAGACAATACACACGTACACGCACACACTAACGCACACGCACGCACACACACACACATCACATCCATACTTTAATATTATAAATGTGAAAGTGTGTTTGTTTGTTTGTTTGTTTGTCTGTCCTTCTTTCACGTCGAAACGGAATGACGGATTGGCGTGATTTTTTGTGTGGAGATAGTTGGAGGGTCGGAGAGAGGCATAGGTTACTTTGTACCGCGGGAGATTATCTAATTCCCACGGAAAAACACGTTATAATACAATCCAAAAAAAAATATTTATGATCAGAATTACTTGAAATTGTGTTAACTAACGTTCTTCAATAAAATTAAATAAATCGTGTTTTAGCATTTTTCGATATTCATCCTATAATGGAGTAAAATAGGGGATGAAAGTTTGTATGAGCTTACCTTACCTTACCTTTTAGAAATTTTTTTGTAGTTTTAGCGCGAGCGAAGCCGCGGGTTCTGCTAGTTATTATAATAAATATGAAAATTGTATGCGAATGTATATAATATTGAAGTTTAAGTTTATAGAAAAGATTACTAATTTTTATCAACGTACCTATAACGCACGTGAGAACTGAGGCATGCATAAAATCAAGTCCTATATGAAGGAGTTAAAGCTGTTTCTGTTTATCTGGTTGATTTACACAGACAGATGGAATTTAAAAAATATATATCATTTTTATGTATGCCATTAACATGGACGAATTAGAGACTGGACCTGACATAAAATACAAATGTATGAAAACTAGTTCAACCATGTGACGCATAACGCACACAAAGATTTTATTACATTATTATAAACACTGATACACAATACAATATTTCTAGTGCTTGAACGTAATCGATAAAATACATATATCGATGAACCAATGAATGCCAAATGAATTAAAGAGGCAATAATAATGTGTCAAATAATAATTATTTTTTAATTTGATTTATATAAATACGATGGCATTGATGGCAACATTCTGTTGGCCTATAATAATGTTAATGAACAAATGAATATCGGGTGTATATTCCAATAATATATAATAAATATTATTTTGTAAAGATTAAATAAATATTAAGCTAATTTAATTAAAAGTGATTTTGTTGATTCTGTTATTGAACTATTTTAATTGGCAATTGATTGTCTCGGGTAGTTATAAGAATGTGACACTGTCCTAATATTGCTCAGTTCTTAATAAACATTTGTGAAATTAGGAAAAAGAAAAAGTGATTGTAAATTGTGAAAAAGTGAGTGTTGGATCGTGAAAGTAAAATAATTAGTGCAAGTGGTAAAGTGTTTTATTACAAATCGCCAACCCAGAAGTTTTAGTGCTAAAACATTATTGTTTGATTTTGTGTAATTTATGTGTTGAAATAAAAATATGATCTTTATTAATATTACAATGGAATAATATTCCAAAGTATATAAATGTGGTATAAAATAAAATAAAAAAGTAAGTACACATACTAATTATAATTTTTGCATTTATATTTTTATTTGATTTAGAAAATATTTTTATAAATTTATTGTCATCAGATTGTAGGATACTGTGATAAAAGTATTTTATGTATATGTATGTATATAAATAACACAATTCGTTCAGTTATTTCGTCAAATATCGATATATTTTTCGACATTGTCAAGCACTAGTCGATGTCAAATGGACTCACTCGACAGTTTTGTCATTTGTTCTGAATGGTATAATCCAGCCATTTTATGATGGTTGTCAGATGTCAGCAATACATAGAAATATCGACTATATTTAACATAGTTGGATAATATGACATTTTATTTTACATTTAATTAAATTTTGTGATAAATAACAATAAATGTAATAAAATAGTGTATTTACAAGTGAAAAGAAATAGTGCTGCTTCCACCGTTATAGTTTTTACACCATTTAACAGAACATTTAGTCATTTTTGGGAGATGTCTTGTTGACAAGTAAGTGCTTGAGACTGACACAAAAAACAAACGACTAAGGCTAAAATTCCCTGGTTACTAACAAGACCGGTAAAAGTATGTCTGCTTATATGTCTGGTCCAGTGGTTAAATTGTTCATGGCCATTAATTACTAAGCGTGAAAGGAAAAACTTTCGATTTTTATTTATTACGAGCGTAACACCCTAGCCTCGCTCAGGTTCTTCCCTAGGTTGCTTCCTTATACATTTTCACCCTCTTAAGGAATGATTTCCGGGATAAAAACTATCCTATGTCCTTCCCAGGGTTTCAAAATATCTTCTTACCAAATTTCATCTAAATGGGTTCAGTAGTTTTAGAGCCTATTCGGTACAAACAAACAAATCATTCCTTTTTATAATATTAGTATAGATGTATAAATACCTGAGTATACATAACCCTTGATGAGTTACAACTTAGCAACTTGCTTTCTATGGTGGTTTTGATTTTGTCAATGATTTGCTCCTCATACAAAAACTGCACTTCATGTTTAGTCGGATGCACATTCACATCTACATTTCTTGGATCTAGAACATAAATTCAAAAATAATTAATAATCTGGCCATATTTATGAAATAAATTGTTCATTTAATAATTATATTTTCAATATATCAATTGTAAATTCAAATCTTCTATAGGCAGGTTTGTTTGGATGGGGAGTAAATTCATGTAAGTCGTCATCGACATGGTCACGTGACGTGTTAACGCTAACACTCAGAGTGCCGATAGATTTCAAAACCAGATAAATGTAAACAGTTTTAATTTACACATTTTTATTTAACATCAAACAATTAATTTGAATATCCAAAAATAAAACTGTTTGTTTATAGTTTTAAATTTTTGACTTCTGTCTGCAGTCCTCATGACTGCTTTTTATTTAAAAAAAAAACATATATTTCGTTCTCAAAGATTCGAATTTTTTACAGCAGAAATGTTTATTTAAAAAATGTGAATTGGTTTCATGACATTTTAATACACTACGAGTATTTTTACAATGCAATCATTAATTAAGTTGTTATTAAAAGATATATTTAAACTTACCTAATTCTATACTTAAATAAACAAAAGAATGAGCGTTTTTCGGTAAATATGTTGCGTACACGGAGTCGACGGCTTTGCGAATAGCTGAAAATAAATTATCATTATTAGTAATAAGTAATTAATAGAATATTTATACACATAACATTGTAACTAGCGTTTGCTCCCGGCTCCGCCTGTATTCAGCCCTTTTTTTAACCTACTGCTGGGGGTGGGCCTCCCTTCAATACGAGGGGGATCAGGCCATAGTCCACCACGCTGGCCAAGTGCAGCTTGACGAACATGTTTTTCGTGCACTTGCTAGGTTCTCTCAGACATGCAGGTTTCCTCACTGTGTTCACTGTCACACCATAAGACAAGTAGTAATAATGTTAAAAATTATTCGCACATGAAAATATGTGTATGTCGGAGACGAGTCATAATCACAACTAATCGGAACGCGAGCGCCACCTTTTTGGGCTGGGTTACGATTGGTCGGTCGCACAGTGAACACTAGTAGAAACTGTCTTGCGTTCTGTATTGTCTATACATGGTAATAGTGAAGTGGTATATGGCTGTGTAGTGAAGTGCTGTTTAACTATGTACGAAGTGATTATTGTTAATTTGAAATACAACTGTGATTGCATCGACTTTCATTTGAACCAACACTTCCCATATAACGCCCACTGTATAAGTCATGATAAAATAATGGAAAATAATAGAGAAAATTAATGCTGCTTCGATATGTATATATGTGATTTGAACCCGTGTACTCGGTTTCCCAAGCGAGCCACTGGGCTACCACTGCCTAACAACTCCGCCTGCTTTGTTTGTATATAGGTAATTGAAGTCCGCCAGCGTGGTGGACCAGCCTTATCCCTCCCATATTAAAGGGTGGCCCGTACCCCACAGTGGGATGTTACAAAGGGCTGAATACATAATTACTTACATTGTGAATCAACCAATCTATGATTAATAAACAATAGCATTGTTCCTTTCTTATGAGAATAATTTACATTGGTTATGAATCCATGCACAGACAGCTTCAGTGTTGCATCCTTCAGTTCTATTTCAAGCAACTCGCGGGCTATTGAATTTCCATGTATCTAAAAACAACACATTTGTTTATGTCATCATACAAACTTACGCCACCAAATTAATAATTTAGATGGATAAATATTTTATAGTATACATTTTTGTTTTACTTTAACCCTTTGGAAACTTCTCTTTGAACTATAAGATAACTTTGGTTCATATGTTTGCTAACATATTACAAAATAGCATACAATACTTTCTTAGATTTACGCGAATATTTAACATTTTCGGGGATTTATTTTGTTTTTTCGTTCCAGACGTTTCAAATGCTTTACAGCAATCATATTTGTAAAATTGTGGGTAGGCACTGTCTGTAACATGTATATAACGCCTTTAAGATGTCTAAAACCTTAGTATCTCCCGTAACCACGATTGCTGTAAAGCATTCAAAACTTCGGGAAGCAGAAGTCAAAATAAATCTTTGAAATAATCTGAAAAGATAGTTTAATTGAAAAATAGTATATGAGAAAATTCAACTTCTAAAATACTGTAACATATTTGTTTGATGAAAAATTTTAAATAGTATAAAATTATAACTATGCATACTCACAATTCTAACATTTTCAACTACAGATGATTTAATTGGTGTACTAATATCAGTATTTTCACCAAACTTCTTTAATGTAAACCCTACATTATTATTATGGATCGCGTAACCACCAACTACTTCCATTATATGCGTGTATTCCTCATTAGGGCTCTTTAGGGCTCGTTTGCGAGCAATTACATTGTAGAATAGATCTTCAACTGTTATTTGAGTCCCATTGTTACCAGCACATGCTTTGATTGGACCTTTCAATTTGCCATTTTCATAAGATGCTCTAAATAAATTTAAAAAGTTTATGTCTAAATAAAAAGATGTTCATAACTTAGAAATCTATACTAATAATATAGAGGTAAAGTTTGTGAGTTTGTGAGGTTGTAGGGGGTAATCTCCGGATCTATAGAACTAATTTATATGAAATTTGTTAAGAAGATAGTTTGAGACCTTGGGAAGGACATAGAAGATTTTTATCCCGAAAATCATCCCTTAAGGGGGTGAATATGGTGATGAAAGTTTGCATGGGGAATCAACCTAGGGACGAAACCTAAGCAAAGCGAGGGTGAGTCGCTGTCATTTTTATGAAAAAGTAAATAATATAATGTAAAACTGCAATATAAAACAATGATGTAATATTTTACTAGCATTTTTACTTACTTATAAGCACATTTATCATCTGCAGTTTTTGTAAGTATAGTCAAATGAGCTATGTGACTAATGCTGGCTAGTGCTTCACCTCTAAAGCCATAGGTACTAATAGCCTGCAAATCCTCATATTCTCTCAATTTAGATGTTGTAAATCTCTCACATACTATATCTAAATTGTCATTTCTGATTCCAGTGCCATTGTCTTGTATCTAAAAAAAAATGTTGAAACAAATATTTATAACTTAGTCTATAATATCGTTCGTCATTACTACGCCAATATTTTTATCGTGAATTAAATTAACTCTATTGAATTCATGAATCTAATCATTTTATTAACTTCAAAGTGTGTTTTACCTGTAAATATTTGAGACCCCCAGCTTTGACTGTAATTATTATATTTGTAGCTCGAGCGTCTAAGCTAAAACATATTAAAATACTATTGTAATGTACATCTTTATTAAGCACTATATATACTGAAAAGAAAAATTAAACAAAAAGGACCTGTTTTCAATTAATTCTTTCAAGGCATTTGCAGGCCTTTGAACTATTTCCCCAGCAGCAATTCGGTTTACAACATTCTCATCTAATTTTCTTATTATTCCTGGCTCTCCCATCTTTTCATTTAATCTTAATTATTAAAATAAAACTTATTTAACTTATAATCTAAGCAACGAACGTACCGCCATTTTTCACTTCAAAATTCAAATTTCTTTTTTTTTTTAAATGGCATGGCAAATATTTGCGTTATCAGACGCAATCTATTCTGCCAGTGTCACGTTTTGTGATTTCAAAATTTTATTAGGTACTAAGTTTCAAAATTCAAAGTTTCATGGAATAACAAAAAAAATGTTATTTGTTTTGACAGTTGACTTGCCCAAATGTCCACAGATTAAGGTAAGGAGCATAGACCAGGAAAACAAGTTGTGGAGACTACAGACTTGTCATTAAAATATCAAAACTTTTAACAATGAGTTATATGGAGGGTAGAAGTAAGAGGACCATCTCAGTGTATTAAAAAGTGTCCGTTGAAAGGGAGCAAATTAAAGTGGCGCTAAGTAGCAAGTGGAAGAATTTTAAAATGAGCGCCACAAACTATTACAGTAGGACACTAAATTAAAAAAGGAAAGAAAAATTTCCGCTTTGTTACAGCGCATTTTTTAAAATTATTATAATATACATACAAATATGAATATAGAAAAACTTTTTAACAAACAAATAAAAACCGACTTCAAACAAAAGCACTAAAAAGTAAAAAATAACTGATTGGTAGTTTTCATTTACTATACATACCTAATCAAATATTTTCGAAGTCGGTGTGCTTTGCTTTGTATGGGCTGGCACCGATTTCAAAAATATTTGATTAGGTATGTATTTAATGGGTAGGCTTTAATTACTTAGCCAAAGCACACCGACTTCGAAAATATTTGATTAGGTATGTATAGTAAATGAAAACTACCAATCAGTTATTTTTTACTTTTTAGTGCTTTTGTTTAAAGTCGGTTTTTATTTTTTTGTTAAAAAGTTTTTATTTTTCCCTTTTTAGTGTAGACAGTAGTAGCATAGTAAGGATTCTAACGTGTTAGGCTTGTCAAATCAAACAAAATAAGCCCAAACTCAAAGTATCTACTATTAGCCGTTGAAGAGTTCCACCTATCCACCTTCTGGCCTTGCCATCAGATCAGGTCAACAACACCGAACCACTGTACTATCAACGGAAATAGAAATACTTGCAAAGTTTCAAGTCAATATGACAATTAGAAGTAGGTTAAATTCATCATTAGTTGTTTTTCCACCCTTAGGGGTGGTATTTTTTTTGAAATTTAAATGGAACCAATCTGGAAGTATACCCTTTCAAACAAAACAAAAATTGTCCAAATCGGTTAATAAATGACGGAGTTCTGAGGTAACAAACATAAAAAAACATACAGTCGAATTGAGAACCTCGTCCTTTTTGAAGTCGGTTGATAAAATTATACAGTATTTTTAAGTACCCCAATTACTTGTAAATTAAATTATTATTATTTGTAAATTATATTAAATTTTTAAAATAAAATTTTATAAAATAATATTATTTGTAAATTATATTAAATTTTTAAAATAAAATTTTATAAAATAATATTATTTGTAAATTATATTAAAGGATCTAGCCGTACTTCTATGGCGAAAGTGCCCCGATAGGAACTTATATCGTAACCAATGTTATATTGTAGAGGACACCAACAGTAATTCATCGAGTAGATATTAGCTCTATATCTTAGATAATTAAGGAGCTGTTTGAAAAAAAGTATGCGAAGGCGACATTTTTTCATAGCGATATATCTTAGTTAATTTCAAAGTTAGCAAAATAAAACTAAATGTTAGTGTTATAGTACACTTTATAGTTTATTTTATAGCCGTTTCCTATGGACCAAGCCTAAATGAAAGTATTAAAAAAATCAAATAAAAATTTTGTCAATCGATTTCTATCAGATCTAATTAAATTACCACTTTGAAAAAAATATATAATAATTAACATCCTCACAAACTTTCGCATTTTTAATATTAGTATTATTGTTTATCGAATGTGTGCAAGATAAATCTTATATAAGTAGTACGCCCAGTAGAAATATTATCTAGTGTTTTTTCTATAAATAACGAGAACGTTGTAATTAATGAAGATAGTGATAAAAGTACTTTTTTACGAATATTGGTTTAATTTCAATTGAAAAAATATATATTCCATTTCCTTTTAAACCTTTCGTGTCCAATATTGAAAAACTAAAAATGTAATGCACGTTAAAAGTGTCAACATAGTGGTCGTAAGTGCGTGCTCACTTACTTTTGATTTTTTTTCGACATGTTACACCCCTTGGATTTTAATGAAACTTGGCATGCTATTAGACAATATATATACAATTATTATATATTTTTTTCAAAGTGGTAATTTAATTAGATCTGGTAGAAATCGATTGACAAAATTATTATTTGCATTTTTTTAATACTTTCATTTAGGTTTGGTCCATAGGAAACGGCTATAAAATAAACTATAAAATGTACTATAACACTAACATTTAGTTTTACTTTGGCTAGCTTTGAAATTAACTAAGATATATCGCTTTGAAAAAAAGTCGTCCCTGCACGCTTTTTTTCAAATAGCTCCTCAATTAACTAAGATATAAAGCTAATATCTACTCAATCAACTACTGTTGGTGTCCTCTATAATATAACATTGGTTACGATATAGGTTCATTTCGGGGGTACTTTCGCCATAGAAGTACGGCTAGACCCTTTTTCAACCTAGCACACTTCATTCTGCTTATAACTGCTAAATTCATATCATTTCCATTTCCTACACTAACGCTATTTCGATGAGTCTTCGAACAATAATTTGCTGTTTACAAGTGGACACTTTTTCAACTAATCCCTCATACAAGACGGTCCTCCTTACTTCCACCCTTCAAAAACTTGTCATAAAAAGAACAATATCTGTCACTTGCAACGCTGCCAATTGGCGGGTAAATTACTCGAAAAGCGGGTTTTTTTTCAGGCGATTTTTGATGACGGGTAATTTTAACGGGTATTTGCATTCAGCGTGGTCAAGGCAGGTATTTTAATTTAGCTGATTAATTTGATATTTTAATTTTTTTTGTTTGATTTAATCATTTAAAGCTGTTTAATTGAGAACTGATTACAATGACCTCTTTTTCTAACATTAGTACTTTCTTATATTCTATATGTAACATGAATAAAACTATTTTCGGGTATTCTCCTCATGGTTGGCGCCGGCGCGGCAGCGGGATAAACCGGGTATTTTGAAGTTTATTGGTCGGGTAAATCAACAACTGTTATCTGGCAGCCCTGGTCACCAAATGTCAATTTATAATTTATATTAATAATATTTATGTAGATTGTAGTTACAATTTACAAGATAAAAAGAACTTACAGTACTGTGCTAACCGTTTGTTATCGAAATAACAATGTTATTTTATTATGAAAAAAGTTTAGAAAAGTTTAAGGCGAAATTGTTGTTACATGCCTAAAAACATATTAGAGACTACGAGTACATAATTTCAAGATGAGTGATTTTGAAATGGAATCAGACAGTGACGAAGAAAATGAAATACAAGATTTAGAACAGCTTAACGCAGCTCTAATTGACGACCCTAGTCAATCCAGTGCTTCTGTTTCCTGTGTCTCCACAATTAGTTTTAGCTCGTTCAACTCTAAATATGAAGAATACTCGAAAATTGAGACAGTTCTGGCACTTAACAAAATGTGTGACGAGAAATTGCGTCGGCTGGAAAAAATTTTGCAATCCCGACTACAAGAATGTCGTCTGAAACTGAGCGAGATACAAGGTACAGAAAATAATAATGAAAGGTATGATAAAACAGAGACATTCCGCTATGTAAGCTGTGGCAAGCCGTATTTTAAAGACAAAAGTAATTTTCCAGCTCCAGATAATGAAGATACTGTACTTATGGCTAAATCACAAATGTATGACTTTTCTAACATAGTGTCTGTTCCTGGTTGGACAGTTAGAGATAAAAGTCAATTCTTGGCCATACTACAAAAAATGTCTCAAGAGAAGAGAAAAAAGGATATTGAATCAAAAATTGCAGAATTGAAACGAGAAGATAAAGTTAAAGAAACAAAAGATAATGAAAAGAAAATAGCTGCATTGAGAAAAGAAATAGATAGAGTCAACAGAATGCATTTAAAAGATTTAGCATTACCAATAGAAGAGGAGTATGACTGGGATGTAGTTGCAAATAAATTAAGCCATAGACATAGTGCACTTGAATATAGATCACTTTGGAGACTATTTCTTCATCCTTCTATTAACAAGAATGTCTGGACTAAACCCGAACATATGGCACTACAAAAAATTGCTTTTGATGAAAAATTACAAGACTGGGATAAAATAGCATCATTACTTGGCACTGGAAGAACAAATTATCAATGTTTTGTATATTTCAGAACAAATATGAGTAATACATTTACAGGCAGAAGATGGTCAAAAGAAGAAGAAGAATACCTTAAAAGACTAATAGAATATTACAAGGAAGATAATTACATTCCATGGGGAAAAGTTGCAGCTTCAATGGAAAATCGAACCAAAATACAAATTTATAATAAGTATTCTAGACTTGAAGAGGTGAGAAAAGGTAGATTCTTAGCAGAAGAAGATGCTGTAATACTAACATGTGTTGATAATTTTGGATTAAATTTTAAGAAGATATCAAAATTTTTACCAGGTCGTTCTGTAACACAGTGTCGTGTCCGTTATCAAGTTTTAGCCAAAAAACGAATATCTACAGTATGGACAATAGAAGAAGATCGAAAATTAATTCAATTAATGGCAAATCAAGATTTATCTATCAACTACTCAAGTATAACTCAACATTTGCCAGGAAAAGATCGGCAGCATATAAGGGCTAGGTATTTGACCTTGACAAAATGGATGAGAAGAAATCCAGACACAGATATTGCTAAAGCGCCTAGACGTGGTGCTAGGCGTTTAGGTCATGGACACTCATCAGAAGATCTAAATAGAGCTATAGAAGGCTTGAAATCCAAAATACAATCTGAGGTAATTGATAAAAAACGTAAAAAAATAAATAAAGATTCTCCTGAAGATGCAATAGAAGATGCAATAATAGCTACACTCGTAACAGAAAATGTTAGATTAGAGGAAGCAAAAAGGGCCTTACCATATCCAGAAGAATCTGATGATGAAGGGAATAATTCTCAACAATGTAAACGAAGCTGTAATGTTCAAAATTTAAAAAAGCTACTAATTTTATTAAAAGCCAAGTTAAACAAAAACAAATTCATGAAGAGTCAATATAGTAAAATATATAAAGGGCTATTAGAACCAGAACAAGAAGTGCTTACCGTAAAGGTTAAATCTTATTCAAAGCAGAGCTTCGAAAAAAATATAACTATTGATGGAAGTCCTGATATTTGGGGAAATGTCAGCTTAGGTCCTTTAGCATATGTGCTTCCACCTCATTATTCTACAATTACAGGTTGTAGGAAATTAATGTCATATGTATCTTCAAAGTCACAGACAGAAGATCCGGTAAACATTAATGTAGTGTTAAGAAGAAATGTTCTATTAAAAGAGGAGACTTTTCTGTTAATGGAGAGATTCAATATTTTATTCCTTTGGCCTATGCTCCTATCTAATGCGACAGCTGGGGAAAGTATAACTATAAACCATGATAATCCTCCACAAGAAAGTTCTTTTATAAAACAACCACAGTTTCATAAACATGACTGGAATGCACTTGCAGTGCCAGGACATAAGTTAAATGATCATGTAAATCAAGCCATTGAATTAGAAGAGTCGGTGACAAAAGATGATAAAAATGTAGAAATAGAAACACAATTCTAATAACATATAATTTTATAAATAAAAATTTGAAAATCCAGCAGACTACTTAATTTATTTCTTCTAACTTTTATTAACAAAGACTAATGAGGAAGGATAAAAAATTAATTTTTACTTTTTATTATATTCTTTGAGATTATACTATAGTAGGGGAGCCCAAGAGGGGATTTTCTGTAGTTACTCGAGCGCGGCAGATTAACATAAAAGAGGTTACCTTGCACTCTATTGAGTACTTTCACCACAATATAAGTCTTCTATATAAAGGGGCGCGTCTAGGGAAGCCGATTAAAATATTTAAAAAATGTTTTGATAAGGTAAAAATACTTGAAACCGTCAGATTAAGGTGTGGTAGGCTAGTCACATCCTGAAAAGTGTCCAATTTAATAATCTGCCAATTTGCACAAGCCTAAGAGGCAAAAATCATCATAAACTTTATAGTCGATTTTTGCCTCTTCGGCTTGTGCAAATCGGCAGATTATTGAATTGGACACTTTTCAGGATGTGACTAGCCTACCACACCTTAATCTTAAAAAATAGTCGTAAATGAAAACAAATTATTATTTGCGTTTCTGGAACTTATTAACTTTCTTTCATGCTATGATAACATTATTTATCATTTTGTAAGGTTGCATTTTTATATATTGAACATTTTATTAGAAAATAATATATTTGATTAATTTGTAATGATTTATGTATAAGGCTTTTACTTATGTGACCTTGACCGATTGGAATGTGTTTTAAAAAAATAAAAAAAGGGCGCTAATATTCATTTGTTTTCCCGCGCTTTTGCTCAGAGATGTCGGTACTCGGTAGTTCGGTACCACTACCACCCAGTTTATAACTATACTCTTTGACTACCACCATGTAGTGACTTACTGACTAAACACGAATTGTTTGTAATACTGAAAATTATGATTATAAATTAAGTAACTAACTGACGATTATAAAAGTACTGAATATAAGAATATAAGCAAAGAATATCTCGAAGTTTTATCAGGGATCCAACAACGTTTTGTATGTACGTCTCCGCTACATAATACTATTTTCCTTTGTTTTTTTTAGTTCGCTTTAGGCGTAGTTGGGGGTTTTCATAATTTTCTAATTTTGTTTACGTGTTATCTTGATGATTATTCTATTTAGAGTGTATTGACCACTTTGGTTTTTTTGGTTGCTAATAAATGGGAATTACTTTTGACTTTTTAATAGGTTGATTTTTTAATTGTACTCAGGTACCTATTTGTTTTTTTTTCGCGTTGCGGGTTTTTAAAATTTTGTTTTAAAGGTTAATTTTTTTCTTTTAAATCTTATGTACAACTTATGTATTTTAAACTACTATATACTTAATCAAAATTTCATAAGGATTGAATGTGTAAAAGTCCGTCCAACCCGAATGCGTCCTTAATTTATCCTATTTCTTAATTCTAGATGTAGGGTCAAACCGTGCCATCTAAAAAAGATTTAATGGCCTACAAACGGCTCAATGTACTCTGTGAAACGGCTAAACGCATTTCTTAGCTTCCATTCCTCGATCAAGCCTCCTTTTAAACAAAAAAACTAAATTAAAATCGGTTTATCCCTTTCGAAGTTGCGATGCCACAGGCAGACATACACGTTAAACTTATACCGTTATATTGTTATATTATTTTTACGTAGGGATACAAAATAATTCAATGTTTATTGTTTAGTTACATATATCTATTTTTAAATTTTTATGCGTAACAATACATATCTTCTTGAGTTTTATTTCTTTAAAAAATATAAGCTAGGTTTCCAAACTTGACGTTTATTTTGACGTTTATGAGTTCGACTAAGCGAATTAATGTTTGGTACATAAAAATTGTGGCTTGTAGCTTTATTATATTTAAAATTTAATATAAAACAATGTAAAAACAAATTGAAAATATGTTTGACTTAAAGGCATGTACGGTATGCTTAAAAACAAACGTTAAAATTTATAATTTGAATTCAGATCAATTAAGACATGAGTATAATCTAGTGTCAGGTTTAATGGTATGTGATTTTTATACATTTATGAGGATTTAATATTGTAATATAAAAGAAAAAACTTACTTTATATGTCTGCTTTAAAAAAAAAAATAATTCCTAACCATTTACTATCTAATATTTACGTAATTATGATTTTTAATTCCAATAAAGTGGTCAAGTTAAAATTATTTATTCTTTGTAAACAATGATTTTAGAAATAAAATTTTATCGTTAAGCTACATTTAAATTATATTAAATAAAATAACTTGTATGAGAAGTACAATTGCTGTAAAATATTATAAATCTACAATTTTTTTTTGAAGAAATAACACATATTTTCAAAACAAATATTTAAGCGTATTATATTGATATTATGATATTATTCTTTATCATTTTAGACTTACAGTCAAAATGGCTTGCCTGAATATTTATGTTATCAATGCATGGCCCATGTGAGAAATTTTAAGAAATTCCGTGATAAATGTCAACATTCATATTATGCACTGCGAGAAGTATTCGAGAGAGAAAAGAAGGTAAATATTAATTATTATATGTCTTCTAAAAGTATACACATTTGAAAAACATTATCAAATACAACTATTTATCAAATTATATGTATTTGTGAGAATTACTTATTAATTGGCCCATAATCAATAATATATCCATCGCTGGTCTATAATACGCGCACCTCTTATTTTTAAGATAACTGAATCAGTGGTGGAAGAGTTGAGCCATAATGTAATAAATATTGAACCCAATCTTTCCTATCTGGCACTGGACCATTATAGAACAAAGTATGAATATGTTAAATCCAAAACAAAGAAACATCGAAATGCTGATTTGAAGGTTTATGACAATATACCCATCCTACAATTCACTACAACTTCCGATGAAGTAATATTTGAAGTGCCTAAGAAAAACTCAGAACTTTGGTTGGAACTGGAAGACAGTATAAAGCAGGAGGATGATTCTCTTATAAAACATGACGAAACTTATGTGGCTGATTTAACTGAACTGTATGATAAAAAAGACGATGACTACTTTGATGACTTTGATGATTGTGATACACAGAATGAATTTGATAATGATCTGGAAAAGCTAGAAGATCAGGCTGAAACTAATGGCAAGAATCACCAGGAAGAATATGCAACATTAATTCCCATTAACACTAAAGAAGCCAAGGCTGCAGTTGAAGTGTATAAAATGCTTTTCCAAGGAAAGTTTTCATGTGAAGTGTGTCAAAAGACCTATAACAGTCAGTATAGGCTTAAGGCTCATATGAGAATGCATGATATGGTAAAAAATTTTTTATTGTATTTACTTTTATTTTTGGTTGCTATAGTTATTCAATATTTAACTACTTCTTTATTAAATCTTTTACTCGTTAAATATCATGATTATTTAATGTTATTGGAAGTAATTTTCAATCTTTCATTATATTAATTTAGAATGTAAACTTAGTCTTCTTCTTCTTCTCCCTGCCCATTTCCCAAATCACTTGGGGTCGGCGCAGTACATCTTCAGTGTACTGCTGATAGGATTTGGCAAAAGTTTTACGACCGGCCGCCTGCCTGACGTCAACCCTCCTTGGGAATGCTATTGTCTTTCTTTGTCTGAATGGTGTTAAATATTATGCACTTTCGATTTTGTTGTGTTTTAAAACATTTTTATACTATTAATTCAATTATTAATGTTATTTTTGGGTATATTTTAAAATAAATTTCGATTACACAATAAATTTTGTATTGACGTTGTCAAATTTTTTCTTCTAAAAATGTAAACTTAGTAATAGATCAAATTTATTTCAGTGTATTAGTGGAACATTTTCATGTTCATTGTGCAAATTTTACTACAGATCTGAATTACTATTAAAATCTCATATGACAGAAAAGCACATGTATAAATATTTATGTAAAAAGTGTCCTGAGGTGAACTTTGACAGGTGAGTTAATTTAAACTGTTTACAAAGAATTTACTCCCTTTTTTACAAAATATGAATTAATTTGGTATAATAATCTTATTTTAATTCAATTCAATTCTTTTGTTCAGTGGCTTCCAGGAGTGGCAGTTAGGCACAATTTACTTCCCCAATGTTGTGTAGAATGGGGAAAACACGCTATATTAAGAATGAACCTTATTTTATCTACTAATGTTTTATGTGACATTGGCAAAGTACTCTGTACTCATCTCAGCAATATTTAAAAGCCATTATCGAGAAAATTATATTTTTGAATGAATTTTACAATGAATATGAAGGGTATATTTTAATTTATTTTTGTCCTTACAGACATTCAGCCAAGCGACATTACTACTGGGGGCACTTCACAGAAATATCAAAAAAACATACACGCACAACCAGACTAACAAAGGGTAGACGGAAGCACAAATCTGCAATACGACAGTTAGAACCTAAGACTGGAGATCCAGATGACTTCCCAATATTATCTGCCGTCACTCAAGAGGAACAATATGCATTAATAAGGGATCGACAGAAAACTAAAAACTATATGGACTCGCCTTATAAATGTGAATATTGCTTCAAAGGTTTCAGAGTTGCAACAACATATGAGACACATTTAAAGAAACATGATCCAGTGAGTTTTTTTTTATTAAAAATGTTATCTGATATTTATATGTTTGAGATAATTTTGAATGGAACATTTTTATAATTTATATTATTTGACGATACGTTTGGCTCAGGTTGTCGTGACCGTACTTGCTGTGCCAGTGGTCGCGGGTTTGAGTCCCGCTGAGGGCATTCATTTGTGTGATGAGCATGAATGTTTGTACTCCAGTCATATTTATAATATGTATGCATTTAAAGTTATAGCCTCGTAGCTTACCGTGGAACTAGATGATGCTGTGTGTTAATGTCCCAACATATTTATTTATTTATTCTTTTTGCAGGCGATCTCGGGTGAGCTCCAATGCGACGCTTGTAAGACATACTGCCCAAACCCTGCTAAGATGTACAAGCACATGACCCGGTGTCATATATACAAGTATACATGTCAAATGTGTGGATATGTCTGCTTTAACAGGTTAGTATACAATACTTACAATTCACTTTTTTTTTATTGTACGATAGGCTTGCGCTTGACTACAATCAGCGCTGGGAAGCACTGATGAGGTCTAGGTTGAAGCGCGCTTGCCTAGAAAATGCCTATTCACTCTTGCCTTGAAAGTACTTAGATTATAAGTGGCAGGAAACACGTATGCTGGAAGGGTGTTCCACTCCTTAGCGGTTCGTTTCAGAATCGTAGAACTAAAGCGTTTCGTGCGAGTTGGTTGGATTTCTACCACATAAGGATGCCTGCGCTCACGACTTTTCGCAGTTCTGTGGTAAAACGGTGAAGGGGGCACAAGGTTGTGAAGTTCCTGCGCGCACTCCCCAAAGTACATAGAAACAATGTAAGATTTGGATTTAAACATTTGGTTCCATTGACAGTTTTTGAGTATAGTATTTCATACAATGTGTATCTGAAGGGTAATAACGAGATTGTGGGGTATTTGTTAAAAAAAGTTAAGTTTCTAAAGTTGAAAACATGTGAAATATATTTTCTATAAAAAATGTTTGAATGAAGATATGTTGAGTGGTTTTTCAGATATGGGTTATCTTCGGTTTCATGGTTTTTTTAATTTAGCGGCCGTATAGTTAACTTAATATTTTGTAGTACCTTAGAAAAATACTATAAAATATAAAAAATATTTAAGAAAGGGGCCTTGTTTTGTGACTTGGGCTTAAGTTAAAACAAAATCGGGTAAAGCCGCAGACCATAGCTAGTTAGTTAGGCCGTAAAAATGGTGAATATCTAATGTTACAGTTACTGAGTTATGTTAATTTTTTACTATTTATGTTTTTTCCAGAGGTCAAGCGAAAATACATTACAACTGGCACAAGAAAGTCATATATCCATGTCCTCATTGCAAGAAGGAATTCTCGTAAGATTTTTTTTCTTTTTTCTAGAAAATATTTAAGTATTTAATTTTTAACTATATTATTTATTGAATTATAATAAGTTTTTTTATTTTGAGACAATATAGTAAAAATTGAAATATGTAGTTATAGTTCCTATTATTAAGTGTAAAGTGGACAAATTATTTTAAATTATATTATTATATTGTTTGAAATATTTAGTGACGAGCAGAAAATTATTAATTTAGTTAATCAATCTAATCACGGTAAATGCAATAGTTTTTTTCTGTTTACATTTCACATTAAACGACAGACAGATTTGATTGAAATCATTTGATTGAATCTGATTAAATCTCATTCAATTGAATCAGATTTGATTTGAGTCTTTGTGATGGATATCTTTTATCCTGGATTAAACATAGGCGTTCAATGCCATGCAATGTAACAATTAGCATTTTTATTCAAATTTTAAGTGATTTTATCTAATAATATATTTACCTATGTGTAGTACCTATTATTTGATTGATTGATTATTTGAATTTAAGTTATATTTTAATACATTATTTTTTGCTCTTATTTAAAAAAATCTTTAGAAAAGAATCAACGAAGCTAGGTCACATTCGCAAAATGCATCCATCGACAAACATTTGCAACTTGTGTGGTCACAGCTTTGTCAGTGTCACCGGCCTTCATATACACAAACTCAAGACTCATAGCAAAGAGGTTAGTATTATATACCTTTTTGTTGTTATTAATTTACCAACTTGTATTTCATTTTCAGCCGACTTCCAAAAAGGAGGTTCTCAATTCGTCGGAATGTTTTTTTCAAAAATTTCGTATGATCACCGATTACTCGAAGACGCCTGAACCGGTTTGGAAAATTCTTTTTTTTTGGTTTGAAAGGTATACTTCCCAGGTGGTCCCATTTAAATTTTATTGAAATCGGTCGACTCTTTTTTAAAATTAAAAAATCAACAATAATAATTTTTATAGTGGATAATTTTTACCGAGTTTTTTTGCGTGCCTTTATTAGTTTCACTTGTAAATAAGTAGCAGTAATTAGTATAAGCGAAGCGAGGGTGGATCGCTAGTGTATACTAAAATGGTATACTCATTTAAAAAAAACGCCTAGACTAAGACTAATTGAAATAATGTCTTATTATCTAATTATCTTTCTTTTTCCTTTTACTTTATGTATTATCCTTTTGTGTGCAATAAAGTATTTATAAATAAATTAAAAAATATATATTTTCATAGTATATATAATACGTACGTACGTATGTATATACGTAGGTACGTTTTAACGGTTAGTATGAAATACAAATCTTTGAATTTCTCGGCTTTTCTGTACTATAATATGAATGTATTATACATATAAACCTACCTCATGAATCACTCTATTGCTGAACTGCATTAAAATCCGTTGAGTAGTTAAAAAGATCTTAGCGATTAGCGAACAGACAGCGGAAGCGACTTCATTTTATAGGTACTATGTAAAGATTATATAAGTACCTAATAAAAATTTATCTATTTTACTATATTTTACAGATTTTAATAGGTACACTCATTTTAAAATAAAATAAAAACGTGTGTGTGTACGCACGTAAGAAGTTATACTTCTATGTTTTTTTTATCTTATGATTTCATCCCGTATGTCACAATTCAGATCTGTTTGTAAAAGGAATGCAACTAATTTCATCATGTCGCTTTCAGCTACCTTCATCATCTCGCTTCTTGGCTGTCGGTGTGGCCGCGAATCGTAAAAATTTTACTCTGATAATTTTTTCCTAACGTGCCAAAAGAAGTATAACTTCAAAAAATATAATTTTTTGAAGTTATACTTCTTTTGGCACTTCATTAGGTAAACGTAGTATATTGTCTATTTACGTAGAACAAACAGTAGTAATCAAAATAAATAAACAATTTTTGGTTTCATTTCCGATTTTGTAATATAAATATATAATAATATGTTTTAATATGGATCAAAATAAACAAACAACTTTTCTATATGGTATCCATTTTCTAATATTAATTATAATTTAATACTTTTTAAGGAGGTAGAAGAAAACCCCGGCAAGGTAGATCCGAACAACCCTCTGTACTGCGCTGAATGTCGCGTACAGTTCAGAGACGAAGAGGCCTTCAATACCCACCTTGGATCTTCCAATAAACATGCTGAGACTAATCGGTAAGTCCAATAAAATATATCGCTTGATTAACTGATGTAGTACATACATGATATCGTCTAAACGAAAACGTCTAGACAACACAATAGGGATTATACGTGATTTTTTTGAATTTTTTATACAAATTACAATATACTTACATCGTTATATTACCTAGTTGTAAAAAAAATATCCTGCTTCAAAATACTAAAATTTAGTATAATTTTCGCGCGCTTTCTCTTTTTAGTAATATTTTACTCTTTTTATTATTAGTAACACTAAAAAATCTGGCTCTAAAATCCAATTCTAACGTATTGGCCTTGTTAAATTAAGCAAAATAAGCTCAAACTCAAAGTATCTATTATTAGCCGTTGAAGAGTTTCCACTTATCCACTTTCTGGCCTTACCGTCAGATCAGGTCGACGATACCGAACCAATGCACTATCAACGGAAATAGAAACACTTGCAAAGTTTCAAGGCAATATGACAATTAGAAGTAGTTCGAATTTTCATTAGCTATTTCTCCACCCTTAGGGGTGGTATATATTTTTTCTTCAAATTAAAATGATACCAACTGAAAGTGTACACTTTGAAATAAAACAAAAATTATCCAAATAGGTTAATAAATTACGAAGTTCTGAGGTAACAACCATAAAAAGAAAAACAGCCGAATTGAGACCTTCTCCCTTTCAACTGACTTTTTCAAAAAGGAGAAGGTTCTCAGTTCGTCTGTATTTATTTCATGTTTTTTTTAAAGTTTTTATTGAAGAAGTCGGTTCAAAAGGTTAACAATCTTTGTGTCTATTTTAGATCAATGATCCAAGCGAACATAGAGAGCGCGTACGACACGAAGGGCACGGGCGTGCGCGAGGGCCCGCGCCTCACCGACAAGGGCGTCGTCAACATGGGGCGCGCCACCTCGTCCAACTGCGAGATTGTGAGTCTATGTTGATGATAGTCTATACTAATCTATATTTCTATATTTATATTATAAAGAGGTAAAGTTTGTGAGTTTGTAACGTTGTAGGGGGTAATCTCTTTTGGATTACACCCTACATTGGATGATTGGATCTAGTGAACCGATTTAGATGAAATTTTGGTAAGAAGACAGTTAGAGACCCTGGGAAGGGTATAGGATACTTTATTCCGGAAATCTGTGAAAAGGCAAAAGTGATTGACTGATGTATCAACCTACAGGCCAAACCTTTAAGGCTAGAAAATTGAAATGTCGCATACGTATTCCTCATATGACGAAGGCATCCACTAAGGAAGGATTTTTCAAAATTGAAATAGGGGATAAAAGTTTGTATGAAACTTTTTATTCCTTGGACATACATATTTGCATGAAATTTCGTATGAATTGAATACGGCAAAAATAATGAGTTACATATTTTAGCGTTTTCTAAAGTTCAACCCCTAAGAGGGTAGAGGATGATAACATGAAGCCAAAGAGTTTTTTTTGTAGATGGAACGCGGGCGTAACCGCGGGTTCTGCTAATAAATAATATAAGAAAATCATAATTTTATGGTTGTAACGTTATTACTCACTCGTCGATACTTCAGGTCACAGTTTATGTATATGCGAACCAAATTTGAGACTAACGACTTATTTTCGCTCCCTTTGAGTTCGTCTAGAGTAGTATTTGTGCCATGGATTTTATTGCTTTATATAGAACCATTTAACGCAGTTTGATCCGACTTCAATTAAAGTTATTATAGTTTCTGACGATACCCCCTACATTTGATCCGACTTCAATTAAAGTTATTATAGTTTCTGACGATACCCCCTACATCCTACTGGGACGCTATGGGGTGGAAAGAATAACACACGGAAGTAGCACAAGCTCACAACGGGCAATGCTGCCTAAGTACGGAAAAAGCCGTGCAAGAAGAAGAAAAAAAGAAGAGACCCTCTACATCTAAGCTTACAAAATTCACATATTTATAATATAAGTGTAGGCATATAAGAAAGTAATGCCTGTATGTCTGTACGTTCGCAGTGCAACAAGTACCTGCAGAACGACACGCAGGCGACGCGCCACTACGACGCGGAGCACCCCGGCGCGCCCTATCTCAAGCGCTACATGTGCGACATCTGCGGGCACAAGACGCGCGTGAGTTACACATAAACACACACACAAACGCACACACACAAACACACATACACACACACTTATTTTCGCATGCTTTATGCACGTACACTCTCACACTTTAAGGAGTCTGCCCCCTACTCCGTCTCATACCATGACCGTGCTATGAACGTATCAAGCGCGGAAACGAGCATCGCACGGACTACTATGCCCATTAGACCGTATCGGCACCGGCAAAATACTCTTGCCGATAATACCGTAGTTACCGCACGGTGCCGTGCACGGCACGCGACAGTACCGGTTCGGTGCCCATCCGGTGACGGAACACTCTTGTGGGTAGAGTGTCATACTTTTCAATACAAACAATATTTTTTTGACCGACACGGTCCTAGCACAGTCATAGTATGGAACGGTGTAGTGGGCAGACACCTTTATATATTAACTATCGTACACTCTATATATCACTTACATCTATACATACTTGTTACAGTGCTTACTCACTGTAACAAGTATATAACGCATTTGAGACATCTTCAACCTTGGTCTCTCCCGTGACCATGAATGCTATAAAGCATTCGAAACGTCGGGAACCAAAAATCAAAATAAATCCGCGAAATAATCCGAAAAGATAGTTTTATTCAAATTTATTATATATTTCAGCAATACGCCAACCTAGTGGTTCACATGCGGACGCACACGCAGGAGAAACCGTACGCGTGTCCGCAGTGCGATCGACGCTTTAGTATGCAGAACAATCGGGATAGGCATATTGTTGTAAGTTATCTGTGCGATTTTATAATCTTGTGTTGTTTTTTCGTGCTAACCTTTTTTTTTAATTCCTATCACTTTTATGGAAACTATTGCAAAGAACCGTAATTACGCTATTACGTAAACATTTTGAAGATATCATAATATATGTATGTATATTCATATATTTTGATAATTTATGTTCTTTACTTATATTACTACGATACTTTGACGACACGTTTGGCTCAGTTTGTACTGACACTACTTGCTGTGCCAGCGTTAATATTTATGATATGTACATATGTATTAAAAGTTATATATGTATGTATTTTTTTAGTGTATCAACTATCTGGTATCGATAACACAAGCCTCGTAGCTTACCATGGAACTAGATGGCGCTGTGTGTTAATGTCCCAACATATTTTATTTATTTACTAGCATTGCCCGCGGCTCCGCCCGCGTTCAGATTACCAAAAATCCAAATTCTTAGGTTTTACACATTAGTATACTCTTATAATGCAGTTTTTGTATTTTTTCTCAGAAATTAATATTTTTCCGCGGAAAAAAAATATCCTATATGTTGACCCGGATAACCAGCTATCATCATACCAAATTTCATGAAAATGCCTTCAGTGATTTTTCCGTGATGCGGTAACAGATAGAGAGACAAAAATTCTAAAAACTATAGATTCGGCCTCTATATCGATAATAATGTCTTTTTCAATAAGATTTTCCAAAAAATATTTAATGTTCAGATTCGGCTTAGTTACAATTTTATTATATGTATAGATATTATCTGACATTTCCATTTTAATCTCTATATTCTCACCACACAGGTACATACAGGTGAAAAGCGATACCAATGCCCGCATTGCAGCCGTCGTTTCTCTCAAAAGAACACAGTCAAACTCCACATACAGACAGTACACTTGAAGATCCCCTACCCACCCTGGAATAAGAAAAACCGTAAACCTCGCAGGGACCTGGACTCTGCACCCCCATCCCCCTCTACCAACTATAAACTACACCTGGAGGCCTCTCACGGTAACTATCTAAGCGCATATATTGACACAACAAATAAAGTATGCGGTTCTCATTAATATCACTAAATATTAAAACCATACTAAAATTATAAATGTGAAAGTGTGTTTATTTGTTTGTTTGTTTGTTTGTTTGTTTGTTTGTTTGTTTGTTTGTTTATCCTTCTGTCACGTCGAAACAGTGTCGGATTAGCGTGATTTTGTTTGTGTGGATATAGTTGGTGGGCTAGAGAGTGACATAGGCAACTATTTACCGTGAGATACTATCTCATTCCCACGGGAAAACACGTTATAATACAACCCAAAACAACTCATCTTACATATGTACATACATATGTAATATAATATATAGTCTTATCTATTCCATACTAACCGTTAAAAGATACCTAGGGACGAACCCGAGCGTGTAAGTAAAAATCCCTAAAATAAATTTTGTTTCTTTACCTATAAAATAACTTCCAATGGCTAAAGCCGCGTTGACACGATCGAAGTCTACTTTGACAAAGCAGTTTTGATGACTACTTTGACGCAACTTTGATCATGTAAACGAACAATCACGCTTTGATTGCTCGTTTACATTGATGTGGACATTAATCAAAGTGGACTTTGAGCTTGTTCTACTTTTCTCAAAGCTTGCTATGACAAAGTAGTTTTGATGACTACACGAGCAATCAAAAACGCACCTTGACATCGGCGTTCAATCAAAGTGGACTTTATCAATAACAACGTCGTTTCAAAGCTTTTTGTCAAAGCAGACCTTGAGCGTATCAACGCGGATTAATGGTAGACTTATTTGATATAACGTATCAGAAACTATAGTTTTTACATAATATTACATATATAAGTAGAATGTAGAATGTCAAATGCTTGGTTGTAGATTTATTTATATTTAAGTGTATTAAATATTAATAATAAAGACTAAATATTTAGTTTAATGTAGAGATTATAACAATACGTTATCCTAATATTGCTATTATATAACTACATAATGTATGAATATCTCGAATGTACTGATGCAGTTTTACTTTAAATATTTATGAATATGAATTTAGTGATATAAATTATGTAAGATTTTATTTATTAAAGTACGGTATTTAAAAAACTTCTGCTTATACGTATTAAATTTTATATACAACCAGAAGAATTAAGTATTAACTATTAAAGTGACATTCACACAATACAACAGATAAACGAAACTAATATACAGCCTATTAGTATTATGTTATATAAATAGATAATGTGAAATATAAAAGTAGAATTAGTTCGATTTACTTGCATTAAGATATTATTAATTCCAATACTGTTAAAGGTACAATAAACGATTTTTATATGCTATGGGTTTTTTTATTAACGTAAAGGCTTTGATTCTATAGAAACAGCTGGTTTACTCCCGACAGCTTCGAGTTCTGAATCAATCAATTTTCACTCGATTTTTTTAGAATTCATATTTCGTATTCTTGAAATTGACATCAGCGCACGATCGTGTAGTGGTTCTAATTGGAACTAACTACGATCGAGAACAGCCGTAAGGATCGAAAAGTCTTACTCCCCCACTAGATCGGACAGCTTTGGTATCGAGTTTTAGGATCAATCTAATGTCAAATTTGACGATAGCAAAAAAGGTGTTTATTTTTGGATCGAGTGTGGATATTTGTCTATATGACGTAGACTTTTCTGATATAAAACCTTATTATTGTTTAAAGTCACTGTGTTATTTAGTTTAATTTATATTGCATTTTACATTATTATATTATATATGCACTGGTTTTGCTAGATATTATATACCAGAACGTGCAATTGGAAGAAGAAGACCTTCATCCAGATTAGATAACAAGACCGTTCTGTCAATCCATTTGTTCGCGGATGGTAAGGTAAGGTAATGGTAAGGTGATTTGATATGTACAATGTTCTTAAGTTTGCAATATATTTGAAACTGCGTTTATGTGAATTCTGGTCCATTATCAGAAACTACAATTTGTGGTAGTGTTGTCTAGTTTGTTACAAAGTTTATGTGTAGTAATTTTGTCTATTGGAACAATTTTTACCCATTTTAAATAATAAATAAATAATAAATAAATATCTTGGAACATTGACACACAGCCCCATCTAGTTCCATGGTACGTTACGTTAGCTATGGTATGGATAGCAAATACACTCGTGAGCAAAAAAATCGACTCAGACGACACATCTGTAGTCGCAAGTCACTGGAAAAAAAACTGAAAGCAAATATATTTTTTTCATAGTAAAATCTTAAAGCTGCTAATATTAGCTTCAAAATGATATAAAATATTGTAAGCTTTATTGCTCACACAACCCAACAATATGTTGTGATCAGTAACCACCCTTTTTACGCTTGTTTACAATAGTGCTAATTAAGGGTTACAGACCCATATAAAAGGTTATCTACCTGACCCACCCTTATCAGTTAGCCGTCAAACGTCAACCGATACACATCTCCGTTAACAACAATCAAGAATTCTACCTGAAAATGGACACAACAAGCGATTTAGCAGCTCAAGCGATCACCCTATTGCGACAAGGCCAGAGTCACCGTGAAGTGGCACGTGCACTGAACATGAGCCAGTCTGCTGTTTCCAAAGGTGCACATCAGAGAGAGATGACCGATTTATTGTCAGCACATCGTTAAGAAATCGGGCCCTCACTGGCGTTCTAGTCCAACAAGAGCTCAGAGAAACGCGAGGAGTAGCTGTGAGTGGCTGGACAGTCAGAAGACGACTTAAGACAGCTAGGCTTGAGCCAAAAAGACCAGCTACTTGCCCCAAATTAACCCTAGACCACCGATCAGCCCGCCTACGTTTTGCTAGAGAACATGTTGATTGGACTGACGAACAATGGAGCACCGTTCTCTTCTCAGACGAAAGTAGAGTGTGCTTGCATGGTCGTGATAGAAGAGGACGAGTCTACAGAAGACCTGGGGAAAGATTCGCGCAGTGCTGTATCAAAGAAAATGTTGCTTTTGGAGGAGGTTCCTGGATGGTGTGGGCCGGCATTTCAAGCGAGGCAAAAACCGAGTTGGTTTTTATTGAAACTGGCGGTCGAATGGGAGGATTGACGGCGATCCGATACATCGAAGAGATTTTAGAGGATCACATCGTTCCCTACGCCGGTTTCATTGGCGAAAACTTCGTCCTAATGCACGACAATGCCCGTCCACATACTGCAAGTTCCGTCCGGCAGTATTTTCAGGAGGTCGCAATTGCCGCTATGGACTGGCCAGCGCGTAGCCCGGACTTAAATCCTATCGAGCATTTGTGGGATGATCTTGAAAGACAAGTTCGGGCTAGAAATCCTGGACCAGACACGATGGCGGGCCTCAAAGCAGCGCTAATCGACGAATGGAATAGCATCGAACAAGATCGAGTAAGGAAACTTATTCGATCCATGAAAAAGCGACTGGAAGCTGTTATTAGGGTCAGGAGGGGGCAACACTAAATATTAAAAAAATAATTTTAATTAAATTATTGTTTTGACGATTTTTACGTGGTATTTTCTTTACCGTCAACCATCACTTTTTTATTGCTTAAGACTCCATCTCATTCAATATTTTTTCTTTACCAGATAACATTTTTTAATAACAACATAGATCACTAATTTTAAAGCTAAAACAAAGAACTTTGAGATGTTAAAATCAGAAATATAATAAAAGCTTCCGATTTTTTGCTAGAGCTTTTTAACCGCAAGCGTGCGTCCTGAGTCGATTTTTTTGCTCACGAGAGTAGTTGATATTAGTATAGATTGTCGAAGTCGGTGCCAGCGGACAATATTTTAAGGTATGAATATCTAATAGGTAAATACAATGTATTTTACGTATCAAAATATATTAGATTTCCTATGCGTCGGCTGGCACCGACTTCGAAAATATCTGATTAGGTATCTATTCTAAATGAAAACCCCCGTTTAGTTATTTTTTACATTTTAGTGCCTGGACGTCGGTTTTATTTATTTTTTTAAAGTTTTTATACCGTATTGTGTAATTTCGTTAATTTTATGAATTTTTAATTCAGCTCTTGTAGGTTCCTCTTTAGGATTTGGCATTCGTGATAAATAATCAACGACTGTATTATTCTCGCCCTTTCTATATAAAATTTCATAATCATAGCTGCCTATTAATAAAGCCCATCTCATGAGTCTATTTTTTACTATTTATGGTAGGTTTCGCTGATGTCTTCAGTCCTAGAAAGTGTATTAATGGTTTTTTAATCAGTTACCAAAGTAAAAGTTCCTCTTAAATATTGGTAATTTTTTTTAATGCTATAAAATATGGCAAGTGCTATTTAAATATTTATTTATTTTCTATTTCCTTTTTTTTTTATTAATTGAATTTATTTTGATGTTTTGTGGGTAGACTGTCTGTAACAACTATATAATGACTTTGACATATGTGAAACCTTAGTCTCTCCGTGAGAATGATTTGATGTAAAGCATCCGAAACGTCGGGAACCAAAAATCAAAATAAATCTGCGAAAAAATCCGAAAAGATAGTTTTATTTAAATTGTTATTAATCATTAAAAAATCTTTTAGGGAGTGTAGACTATTTATTAAAATTTTGAAAGAAATATATTAATAGTAATATACAACAAATCTTAGAGGAGAGGTTTAATTAAGTACATATATACCTCTTTCTTAAATAAAACAATTGATTTCCATAATATGATTTAATAACATAGTATACTATTTTTATTTGCAAACTGGCTTCAGCCAGTGGCTTCACTCGAGTTTATTTCAACCGTAGATCTAGATGTATTTAACCAATTTTAACTTGGCAATATATTTTATAAGGTTTTGGCGTCCACTACAATCTTATATCATTTTAAAATTCTACTTGAAAATGCGACTATTACTCTACGACTATTATTCTGTCAGTTGTTTCTTCCTTCTCTCAATCGTTATGTAATGTCCAGACGCCGGTTTGAGCAAAACATCTAATTTAGCTTGTAATTTTGTGTGGTCGCCCTTAACCCTGTAATGTCTGTACAGATGTGCTAACGTAGTCTTCATGGACATGTAAGCGTACGATTTGCCTGGAACAGAAAGTGATTTATATTAATAATACATTGTAAAAGTATTTTAAAAATAAATATATACATGTATTATATAAATAGTTATACTTTTATATTTATAAGGGTTCTGAATTATAATATATACGCATTCATATCTAATATATTTAAACGAGCAATTCTTGTATATATATTTATGTATTTATTTATTATTTATTTATTTATACCGTGGCCAAGCGGCCAAAACGCGAGATTGACAATCACATGTGCCCGGATTCGAATCATAGTCGGAGATAAAGATATCACTTTGGTTTTTTTTTGTTTTTAAGCCAAATTAAAAAGAAAGTTGTACTCTTGGCGAAGCGAGCGAAGCTCGGTCGTCCAGATACTGAGGTATTATAGTGCACAAGTTTATGTGCAAACACAAGTGCAGTCTCTATTCCTGTCGCTCTCATACTCCGGTGAGACGACCATTCGACACAACCAGTCAGAGATCAGGCGCAGGACCGGCTTAACGTCTACTCTATGGCAGTGGGGGCGTAATTCAGCCAATTTCCTAACTTTGGGCTATTACTGAATTTTATTCTTAGGAAAACCCAATTATAATTTGCCTGACCTGGGGGTTGACCGTAAGACATTCGGATTGGCAGCCATACATGCCAGCCACTATAAATAGACCAACGAGGTAGATTCTTAATAAAAGGCTTTTGTTAAACAATTACATATTTAAATAATAAATAATATTCTATTTGAATGCTATAATGTTAATTTTAATTAAAAATACAGATGAGAACGGCACAAATAATCTTGATGAAATTTGTCTGTCATATACCTATGTACCTATGTACATTTATTCCTTGATTACACCAAAAATAATATAACACAGTAAAAATACCACTTAATGTAATCTCTTCCAGGCAACCTATATAAGAAAGGAAACCGTAGAGTTGCGTAGATAATGGTTGGCGAAAACACCAGATGGAAAAAACAAAGAAACAAAAGCTTACTCAAATAGTATATAGTATATATTATTAATAAGCTTTCATACGTTATAATACAGTACAACAATAAATATACATTTATAATATTATTAGCGAATCACCCTCGCTCCGCTCGGGTTCATCCCTACTTACGATTTAACGTTTTGTATAGATTTCTTAGAGATGAGATATTTTCCCGCAGTGAAAAGTATCCTATATGTTGACCCAGATAACCAGCTATCACCATACCAAATTTCATCAAAATCCCTCCACTGGTTTTTCGTGATGCGGTAACAGACAGACAGACAAAAATTCTAAAAACTATAGATTCGGCCTCTGTATCGATAATAATGACTATTTCAATTAGATTTTCCAAAAAATATTTAATGTACAGATTCGGTTTAGTTACAATTTATATGTACCTATAGATATTCGACTCTAATGTGATAGTAAGAACAAAATATCGGGGATTTTTATTCTGTAGCTCTTAAATTTTAATCATAATACACGTATATACCTATACAATTTCTTCTTCCCATACTAAAAGCAGCAAAAGCCGTCGAACATCCTGGTAAAGTAGTGGGGTCGAGCCATCGTTCAGGTTTAAACTCTTCAGCGTCGGGACCCCACATGGGATGGTGAAGCACCCCATAAATCACCAGAATGCAAGTGCGGCCTTTAGTCAGCGTGCAGTTACCTGACAAATTATAGGCCAAATTGTAAAAATGTTATTTATAATTATTTTCAGTTATTACTGGGGTTATAAGTACATGAGTACGTATCCCTACGCAGCAAAACTTCATACCACTGCGCTACACAGGTATACTACCATATAAGGCGGCCGTGTGTGTGTGTGACAGCTCACCGTAAGTTTGTGTACGCACTGCCCATTAACAAAACCGATTTTTTGACTTCAACTATTGACAATCACAGGCCGAATACTCAAAAGAAAACGCACACACCACTATCTTATGTACCTATGGTTGCACGGTTGTATGACACTTTGTCTTTGTAGGTTAAGATGGTTATAAGCTAAACTAGAGATAGTGTGAAAATTAAATAAGTATAGCATACTATTTTACCAGTTTGTATCTACTACCTCTTCATCCTCTTTCTCCTCCTTTGTTCTTCTCTTTTATGTACAGGCTTCATGTCAACAAGCAGGCTTTTATTTTATTTATTTATTGAAATAATCAGTACACATATAGAACAAAGGGTAAACGATAATAATTGCAGACGTTAATTTTTTTTATCATTTATTTCAGGCAATATTTACATAAGGATCTTAAATACGTAAACAGAGGCCCATAGCATAATATATACCTTAAAACTAACATATATATTTATATTAATTATAACTAATTCACACGTAGTGCAGACGTGTGAGCTGTGTCAGCGGGCAAACGACCTCGAAACTTCCGAAATAAGACGCCCTGCGGCTAGAAGTCTTCCTTCATGAAGGTTGGCAGATGATGATTCGGCACTCTCACCAAAAACGAATTGAAACTCGTTTTGTGGCGAGGTACCAGCCGTTCAACCCTCAATTTGAAGTTGGACCTCTTCTGTACGTAGTCTACGACATCCTCCACCTTCGTAGACCAGTGCAATCGGGACACATACAGCGGCGTCGATGGTACGGCGGGACGCATCGGATGGTCTGGCTGGCTCGGAGCTGTGCCACAGATGTTACGGCATGAGGGCTTCCTCTTCTTCCTCTCCACTTTAGTCATCAGATTTGTTCTTTGTGGAACCCGACGGAGGCACCTGGTCTGCTCCGGCTCTTCTTTTTCCCTCCATTTGAGGGCCGCTTGCTTGGCGGTGCGGGTGTAGCGGCGGGGGCAGGCGCGGCTGTGACTGCAACGTATGCACGCGGCGGGGTCATGACTGCGCTCGCACTCGACGTCATCAGCGGGGCCGGGGGGCGGGTGGCGGGCGTCGCTGTGTCGCGCGATTCGCGCACCTCAGCAGTAATCGGCGGCGACGACAAACTGCTGATGGAGTCAATTTGTGCGCCGCGACGTGTGTTTACGTTAGTGAACTCCGGTGACCTACTTACAGAACCATTATTTTTGAATGATAATAATTCTGCACGCAGCTCACTGATGGTAGATTCGGAAATCTCTAACTTAAACTGCACCTCTGCCAGGCCAGCTTTCAGGGTGGTGATATCCTTGAGCAGCCTGGTGACGTCAACGTGGTCGAACGTGACGGGAGGCAGCTTGTTCAGCTGCTTGGCCACGAAGGCGGGCACGTCGTCAGGATCGGTTGTCTTCAGGAGATTAATGATGTCCTGAAGACTTCTCTCCCCCTCTTCATCCCTTCTGCGAGTGGGTATTCGGTCGGCCTGGCCGAGAGTCTTGTAGAGCCGCACCTTGCTCCTCTTCTTTAAAGCTTGACTTGCAGATCTGCATGACGCTGACCTCATGCATAGAGTCGATGGCGTGCTGTATAAACGCCAACAGCTCGTTAGCTATGAGTTTTTCGGAACTCATAGCGGCGGTATCCGGCAGCGGCTGAGCCGCGCAGTACGCGAATAAAAATTCGGGTCAGAGTGTGCAATGCAATGCGCGTCCATTACCTAGCGCGCATTACAGACGATAAGAAACTGTGTCGCAATTATTAACGCCCTCCACCAGCAAAATGACAGAAAAAATATGTACATACATTCAAAAATTAATCAAAAATAACATTTATAAAAACAAAAATATAAACAAACTTTTAAGCTAAATTAATAAGTTTACAAAAAAATAAATTATTTTAGGTAAAGCAGAAAAGGAATAATTGATACTAACATTAATAATTAAATAAGGAGATAATCGATATGTAGTGAATGGGTCAGTGTGGATTGTGTGAGTGAGAGTGTGAATGTTATATGTGAAAGTTTATGTGCATTTAAATAATGTCGTCTGATCATAACTTAAAGTTAGAAGACAATTTGTAAGTTTTGTATTACATTTTTTTAGTGTAAGTGGGTATATATTAATATATTTATTTATTTTATTATAAAGAAAATGAATGATGGTCCACCCATCACTGTTCGCTTAGGTTTCAAGGAGCAGACTCTATTGGATCTACGTTTATTGTTTAAGTATTCTATCTTCAAGGGTAACTGGAAGTGAAAACTAGTGTACCTCATAGTATAAATAGTTTGCGGATTGAGAGAACTTTACAAGTAGAAAATACTTCTACGGTGCGAAAACGCATGGGTTTAGAGATCATAACCTTTAAGACAGCCCGCTGAGTGCGTTCAAGATGAAGCATATTGGTTTTCAAAGCACCACCCCAGACTGGAATACAATACGAATGTACGTATTGAGCGCATATTGGTGTTGATTGGATTGTGAAATGTTAATATTGATATCACCTATAATAGCTACAATACTACTTTCTTTAATAGAACACAAGACAACATCCAAGCTTTCAATAAAAGGATCAATAGCAAGATATGAAGGGGAACGATATAAAAAACTATTATTGTAAAATCAAAGGAAAATTAAGCAGTAAGCAGTTACCTTCCGTAAAATTTTGTTCAATAATTGAACAGTCGAAATTATCTCTAATATACACAACAATTCCATCGTTTTGGTTGGTATATTTCGATTTGTACGAAGAGAAACTCTTTATTAAAGGAATATCATTCGTTTTACAAAGCTAATATTTATCAGAATGAATAATAAAATCTACAAGAAAATTATCCGATGTAATAATACTAAAAGATTACCAAAGTTACATTTAATACTTCGTATGTCAACGTGAAAAACTTGAAGTGAAATTAAATTTTAGAAGTAAAACTAGTTAAATTTTTATGTTGATACAAACACTGCTCAGGGGACAATATAAACGAGTCGGAGCTAGAGACGTCCTCGATTTCGTGATTTATTTTATTTATGCAATCATTAGTCATAACTTTAAGGAAAGGAGTAACAAAATTTCGAGAACTTTAAACATTTAAAAATATTTCGGTGTGGAGGGCCACCATATAATACAGACGAAAAGATCCAGAAGTAACCACCATGGAAATGAATATTTTTTTGCTAACATGTGTTGTGTATATAAATGAATGAGCGAGAGTTGTGTAATGGGAGTGTTAGTATGTATATTATATGTATGCATTTTATCGAACAAGCCTTGCAGCCTTGAGAACTATTTTTGTTACAATCAAACAATAAATGATGTTTATTATAAAGATAAAATATAAAATTAAGAGCTCAGAAAGTACAACTGAATATAAGGATAGACATGATTCGGCAAAAACTACATAGTCATGTTTTAAGTTCCTGGATTACTTTGATAAGTCAATTTCATTTTTGATATGTACTAGTTGATCATTTTCTTTTTTACAAAGAAATATTTTGCCGTTTGAGATCCAGCAAAATTTGTATTCGTTGGACTTAGCAGTCACGTGCAAGGAAGTAATTTTTTTTCATTTTATTTGATAGATTTTCAGTTATAAATATAGGTTTTGGGGGGCCATCAAGTTTTAACTTATCAGTAGTTGGTCGATTATTTTCTTTATTGGATCTTCGGTACATCTTTATTATTTTCTCTTTCATCAAAACACTTTTTAATTCAACTATTAGTTTTCTTCGCTGAGTCACGCGCTCCATTATGCTTAGGCTTCAATAGGCTTTATGTTTGTTAATCATATATAATTATGTAACTAAAATTAGCAATGACACTTACGCAACTTCACATTCTTGTCTAGATATCTAGCTATGATTGGAGCGATTGGGTAAAAACGCATTGTCTCTTTTAAAACAGCTTCCAAATAAAATAACTGTGACAAATCATACTTCGTTACGTCTCTATCATCATCACCGAAAACATCATTTAATCTGCAAATAGACAAGCCTTTAGAATATTATTTTAGTCATATTTAAATTCATTTCTTATTAATTAAAGTTATTTTTATCCATTTTTTTATGATGTGATATTTCTCAAACTTTTTTTTTATACTGAAGATATTCTAGCGATCGACGAAGAATAATCTTACTGCAAAGTAAATCTATCAAAAAGTTTACAAAATTATAAAACGTAAGTTTTCGTATTATTTCTATCCCAGGTAGGTAGGAGAGCAGCATAGACCCAGAATTACAAATACTGTACAATACGAGTACACTCATTGATTAATAATATAATAAATACTCTAGGAAAACAAATACCAACCTATCCCACGGGAACCGTACATTTTTCCGGTATAAAAAGCTTAGCCTATGTATTATTTCAGACTATATTCTATCTCTGTGCCAAAATTAACCCAAATCCGTGCATTCGTTCTGGTGTGAAAGAGTAACAAATACCCATACATCCATACTCACAAACTTTCACATCTATAGGTACATATAATAAAACTGTAGAGGTCGAATGTCTGTACATAGAAAAAAAAGCTAAAAACCGAGTCAGGAGGGTGTAAGAAGAGAAATAGAACTAGAAATAACAACTTATGCACCTAATTTAATAAAATGTGGCATGCTGATACCTTATATTGCCGATCAAACAACAGGTTTCTTTTTATCCCGGAAAAAAAGACGGTTCCTGTGGGATAGATCTGTTAGTGCTTTTCTAGAGGCGAACCCGAGCGAAGCGAGGGTGAACTGCTATTTACCGTTTATAATGTTAGTATAGATTCTGAGTCGAATCTGTACATTAAATATTTTTCTGGAAAATCTTATTGAAATAGTCATTATTATCGATACAGAGGCCGAATTTATGTATGTCTGTCTGTTACCGCATCACAGAAAAAACACTGGAGGGATTGTCATAGTTGATTATCCGGGTCAACATTTTAAATTTTTTAGTTGAAAATATCTCATTTTTGAGAAAAAATACAAATCTGGATAGAATAAAACCACGATGATATTATAAACATTTTAGCAAAGTAACTTACTAAATATGGAAAATAATATTAAAAAAGTTTATCTTAATTTTTTTTATCAATAGCGCTGTTTTATTCATTAAAATAATTCCAAAAATATTTATTTTATATTTATGTGCTACTAGCAGAACCCGCGGCTTTGCTCGCGCTAAAACTACAAAAAATCTCTAAAATGGTAGGTTTCATAGAAACTTTCATCCGCTATTTTACTCCCTTATGGAATGAATTTCGAAAAATGCTAAAACACGTATTTAATTAATTGTAGTATTTAAGTAATTCTGATCATGAATATTTTTTTGGATTGTATTATAACGTATTTTCTCGTGGGAAAAAGATAATCTCCCGCCGTAAAAAGTACTATGTCATGTGTAAGTAGCCTATGCCACTATCCAGCCCTCCAACTATCTCCACACAAAAAATCACGCCAATCCGCCAAGCCGTTTCGACGTGAAAGAAAAAAAAACAAACACTTTCACATTTATAATATTAATATGGATTTAGATATTCGTCAATAGATGTCGCGATTTGTTTTTAAAACACGTAATTTTAATTTCAACAAAAAAACAATTTACAGATATGAAATTTCTATGATTTTATTAGAATTGCTACTAAATCAACCGCGACCCCGTGCGTATTCAAATTATCAAAAAAACAAACTTTTTGGATTTATAAATTAGTAATACATACTTTCTTGGTCGAAACACTTGGTTTTCGAATGAAAATATTTGTTAATTTTTATTGTTTAGTAAATAATGTTAGTGTTTATAAATCTTTTAATGTAAAAATTAGGCAAATGCAAGTCCAATTCGTGCATTATAGGTTCCGCATATAAGCAAAATACTGTGTTGTTATTCTTACTTACGTATTTTGTAAGGTTAAGACTAAAATAAATACGAATATCTAATATGAACGTTTCCACAATATCGACTCATTTTATCAACCGTAAAAATAAGTTCGTTTCATATTATTTTTTAACATGAAATGAACTTTTATCGAACGAGTTTTTATTTGCAGTAGCAAAATAATTTTCGATAAAAGTATTTTAACAACTGTTATACCTCAACTTTTTCAGATTTTTTGACACCACTTCTTGAAAAGTGAAATGACTTTAATCATATAAGCCGAGCCAAATGAAACAATAAAAAGCATTTGCTCAGAATTATTAATATGTACTTCTGGAACTTTCACTTTCCCCAAAACTTTATTTTGAAATCCCTACCTAACCCTATACCTTTTTTTTTAACGTTGGGAAATGCATTTACGCACGAGGTGTGGGACTCACCGGCAAAGCCAGTACTACCCACTAAAACCCAACAAAACCTTCCCCCGTCTTAATGGGGCGTCGCAGGATCGAACGGCAGGTCTGCCGAAGCAGACCACAACAACCACGGGGTTGCTCCAAGGTCCACTCTGCTATCAGAGAAGTACCAGGAGCAACCCGCATGGTACACCGCCCTCCGAAGAGGGCCACCTGCCACCGCCCACCGAAGTGGGCCACCTCCCTGTGCGTCTCTTGGCTTCGCGCCCGGCTGTATTGCCGGGCACCACTAAGCCCCCCCACCAACCTAACCCTATACCTAACCCATCCCTGTTTCGCAACAAATTAACATTAACAAGAGTATCTTTATGTAATTTAAAAAAATATAAATTAATCAATAGCTGTTAGTAAATTAATTCAGTAGTTTGAGAGTTTATCGCCCAAAACTGAAAGAACAAACAAAACAGACAAAAAGTATAGATATACTATAAACGTTATTTTACAAAAAAGTGCAATATTACTAAATCAAATAGAAGTTTAACGGACTATTTATTAGGTATACGGATTATTTGAACCTTTGTGGCATTGTCAATCACCACCTTTATTTACCAATCATGCGATGTGCAATGAAATTGGTATATCACATTTGTATATTGTACACTCTTAGTATGTAGTTATATGTTATACTTATATAGTTGGTTTTTGGTCATCTGAACGCGGGCAGAGCCGCGGGCAATGCTAGTTGATTAATAATATATTAATAAGTATTTACTTTACTATTAGGTACTCTACTTACTCTTCAAATATTCTCTCTTGCACGTGTGGATAGGAACCGACCAACAACATACTGTACATGAGGACACTTGCTGACGTATCATGACCGCCTACAATCATGGTGTCTACGTGTTCTCTAATCTCACGATCATTGAACGCTCCTTTCTCTATTGCTAGCTCTAAGAGTAGATCCATGAATGGCTTGAATTTTAGCCCTGAAATTTTTTATTCAATCATTTTGATTAATTTCATTAGTTTTAATAAACAGTGACATTATCTAAAAATAACTGTGAAAGTTATTATTCTGCAGAAAAATAATTATAATTAATCATTAAAAGTGGAAAACAATAAACGACATGGAATATCGCGTAGCTTACATACACAAGAAAACCGTCTCGTTTCTGTAGTCAGTTTAATATAAGTAAAAATGGCAAAAAAATCTGTTTACATCTTTTTTCTAAATTGACATAGTTTAATTTGAATTGAATTGAATCTAAATTGCAGTAATCAAATCACAATAAATAATGTTAATAAATCTGCTCGATTTATTATGTTTTTACCTTGCACCTTTTCTACCTTTTTTGAATTATTCTTATTTGAATAGTCTGCTTTTCTCTTTTTTAAAACCTGTAACATAAAAATGCTTAAATATTCTTTCAATGACAAGTACACATGGTGACATGTATTAAATGAAAAATAGATTAATGTTATAAAAAACTCCTAAAACCTAAAAAACTGAGTTATGTTAGAAATCTTTATTGACTGACTAGACTATTGGACTCCATTGGAGGTCGTGGAATCGATTCTTGATTAGGGTAAGTTTGAACATTGACCATATCAATATCAATCTAGGCTGGGGCGAGGTGCGTGAGAGAATGTGGGTGCGCAAGCGACCCCAAGCGTAGCACGATATTAGGATCCTGCTGTGGGTTGTACTGAGTAAGAGTTACTCAGTGTGAAACTCTGTGAAATTCACAGTCCTCTGCCCCATGGTGGTTTCCCAGGCAACATTTTTTTTTCTAGGTAACAATACTAAAATATTATAACCTAATATTATTAAGATCTAGCCAACAAGGCTAATGAGTAATTTAACTTTAACTTAGTTTTATAAAATAATATATCTAAGAATGTGTCCAATGGCACTTTTCTTAAAGTCTCTAGTTAAGGCGAAGACACTTTGTTCTTGTGTTCTATATTAGTAGCACTGTATTATTATTACTTTCACTACATTACACTATTTTTTAACACTACACTAACTCAAAAGGTTTAGTTCTTTCGAGCCTTCTCACCATGTCCGTGTTGTCGAGGAGCTGGATTGCCTCGATATTCACATGCTTATGAAGTCTTTGCTCGTGAGCTTCGGCGTATTTTTTTATCACTTTATCGACGATCTCTACATTGAGGTCCCGATGGAGATCGTCATTTCTTACGTACCAGGGTGCATTAACTATTCCCCCAAGAACTTTGTTTTGGAATCATTGGATGATAAGAACATTACTTTTTTTGGTACAGCCCCACAACTGTATACCATAGGTCCACACTAGCATCAGGACTTGTTTATATAATAATATTTTATTGTGTACGGACAGAGAGGAATGTCTTCCCAACAGCCAATACATCTTTTTGTATCGGAATTCCAATTCTTCTTTTTTCTTCTTAACGTGAGCTTTCCAGCGTAGCTTCGCGTCAAGCATCATTCCTAAATACTTTGCTGTGTTTTCATATGGTATGATGTTATTGTTAATAAATATCGGATGGTAGTCTTCTTTTTTGTTGGTGAAGTTTATATGAATCGATTTTGATTCATTTAACTTTATTTTCCATTGTAATGTCCAGTCATGGATTTTATTAACCACTGTTTGAACCTTTTCTGCTGCTTCTGCGTGAGAATTTCCATCCGCTATTATGGCAGTGTCATCAGCAAAGGTCGCGATGGTATTATTTTCTAATTCGGGGATATCACTGATGTATAAAAGGTACAGAACCGGACCCAATACACTTCCTTGTGGCACCCCAGCTCTGATACATTAAATTTCAGAGTAGGCATCTTCGTGCCTTATTCTAAATACTCTGTCTGATATATGCGATTCTAGTATATCCGAATATGACTTAGGCAGCATTTTTCTTAGCTTTAGTACAAGACCATCATGCCACACTTTATCAAATGCCTGTGCGATGTCTAGAAAGGCAGTAGAGCAGACTTGTTTTTCTTCTAGAGTTTTCTCGATGATATTTGTGATTCTATGGATTTGGTCTATTGTAGAGTGTTTTTCCCTGAATCCGAATTGGTGATCTGGAACAAGTCCCTTGGTTTCTAATATTGGTTTTATCCTCTTTAGTAAAAGTTTTTCAAATAGTTTGGACATGATAGGTAATAGGGAAATTTGCCGCAATGATTATCTCACTAGGCGGTTTTCCTGGTTTCGGTATCATAATTACTTCTGCTACTTTCCATAAATCTGGCACATATTTCAACCTTAGGGCAGCGTTGATAAGGTTTGTTAGCTTTACTAGGGTCAGGGAGAGAATAACAATAACATCTAGTCAGCCCCAACTGTCAACCTCACCTGCAGTTTGTGCCCCCTGCTAGACAACAAACGAGGCTCTGGCGACCGACCAATAGCGGTATATCTATTACACACCCACCCGGGCAACCGGATGGAAGAGGCGACAGTGGCCTTGGAGTTCCAAATAAGTCCTAAAATATTTGGTGCAGAAGGCAAGGGGAAACCACTGCACTATTTTCCCAAGAAAGTCGTCATGAAAGGTAGCAATAATATGATAACGAAGTGGCCATGCGATCCGCTTAGCAACCGGCGCCATTCTGTGTCCGGGACAGATGGTGGGAAATTGGCTACCGGCCATGTAGGTGTGGGAAACCAGGCACCTCACGGAAATTATATTACTGGAAGATCCGTGAAATTGCGACAGATCCAGAAGATAGGTACATGGAACGTGCGCGGTCTAATTCAGCCAGGCAAACTCAAAATTTTGGAAGACGAGCTCAATCGAAGTAATATAAATATCTGTGGTATAAGTGAAACACACTGGAATGGTAACGGTCACTTTCTTACGGAAAATAACGTTGTTTACTTCTCTGGCAATGATAACAGCAGCAGAAACGGGGATGCTTTCGTTGTTCCAAAAACATCAAGGAACTGCGTGTTGGGGTATGAACCTGTAAGCGACAGAATGATAAGCATCAAACTAAAGGCATTGCCAACAAACTTAAACATCATACAGGTGTATGCGCCAACCAGTACCGCATGTAATGGGGACATTGAATCGTTCTATTTGGGCTTGGAGACTACAATATCGAAGATTGCACAAAAGGAACTGCTTGTAATTATGGGGGACTTTAATTCCAAGATCGGTTCTGATTCCCACCTACTAAGTTCTTGTGTGGGAAAGTATGGCTTGGGGCAGCGTAACGAAAGAGGAGAACGTCTAATTCAATTTGCAGCCGACAACAATCTGGTGATAGCAAATAGTTTCTTCCAACACCATCCTCGGAGAGTTTACACCTGGACCTCACCTGACGGCAATTCCCGCAACCAAATTAAATACGTTTTGGTTAGGTCACGATGGAAGACATCCATCAGAAACACCCACACTTTACCAGGCGCCGACTGTGGATCAGATCACCAACTGCTGATAACCAAAATTCAGCTTAAACTAAGAGCGGCCCGAAAACTCAACCGACAACGAAGGCTCGAAGTTAAGGATAAGCTTAAGTTTATAGCTGCATTAGAAGAGAACTGGAATGAGTGGGCAACTGTGGATGCCAATACCGAGTGTCCGGATAAAATGTGGGACCGCGTAAAGAGCCTTATTAGTTATGCTGCCAAACATACAGCCGCACCCTTAGGTACTCGTGAAGGGCAGCACTGGATGAGTGACAGCACTCTGGCACTTGTAGAGGAAAGACGAAAGATGAAGGCTAGAGGAACAGATATAAAAACAATTAACGAGAAGTCTGCACAAATACAGGCAGCATGCAGGCGAGACCTTAACACCCAGCTTCAGAATATATGTACAGAAGTGGAAATCCATGCAAATAAGCATAAATCTAGGGACCTTCACCAAAAAATTCAGTCAATCACCCGATCTCTCTCTACCAAAACATGGGCTATAGAGAACTCTCATGGTCAAACCGTGACTGAGATAGAAGCAATATCGGCAACTTGGAGGGAATACTGTCAATCACTGTTTGAGGACCCACAATTACAGTGTTTTGCCTCGACAGAACCTAGGAATGAAAAAAGAGAGTCAGATATTCTACACGACGAAGTCAGAGCAGCTATAAAACATCTGAAGACTGGGAAAGCCACAGGCAAAGACTCAATTCCTATTGAAATAATCAAAGCCTCGGAAGAATATGGCGTCCAGATCTTTTATGCACTATGTAACAAGGTGTGGCAAACAGGTGCATGGCCGCAGGAATGGGCTCATAGTGTCTTTGTTCCACTTCACAAGAAGGGTTCTACGAAAGTGTGCAGCAACTATTGCCTTATTGCACTCATACCATATGCAAGTAAAATTTTGCTACACATAATAAACGAGCGCCTCAAGTCATACCTGTCCAAGGAGACTGCCCCTGAGCAAGCTGGCTTTATGAAAGGCAAGGGTACCAGGGAACAAATACTTATTGTGCGTCAAATTATTGAGAAATCCCGCGAGTACAACAAGGCAACATACATCTGCTTTGTAGATTTTTCAAAGGCGTTTGATTCCGTCAAATGGCCTAAACTTTGGGATACTCTGTTGAAAATGGGTACACCAAAACATCTGGTACATCTGCTGAGGCGTCTGTATGAGAGTAGTACTGCATCCGTAAGAACAGATGACAAGTTATCAGATCACTTTCATCCTAGTGCCGGCGTTCGTCAAGGATGTATAATCTCCCCACTTCTATTTAACGTCTACACAGAGCTAATAATGAGACACACTCTTGAGAACTGGACAGATGGAATCGCAATTGGAGGTCAGAAAATCTCGAACTTACGGTACGCGGATGATACCACCTTATTCGCAACCAGTATCGGCCATATGGAAGAACTTCTAAAAAAAATGGAAAATGTCAGCCTTGAATTTGATCTTAAGATCAATCGCAGCAAGACTAAAGTTATGATTGTCGACCACATCAACAACAACTCGCCAGAAGTGACTCAAATCGCGAACTGTCAAGTCATCCAGTCATATATCTATTTAGGAACGTTAATTTCGAACAACGGGGGCTGCATAGACGAAATCAAGAGACGTATGGCGATATCTAGATCAGCCATGGATAAGCTGCAGAAAATATGGAAGAACCGCAACGTAACGAAGGCCACTAAGATCTGGCTAGTAAAAGCGCTTTTGTTCCCCATATTCCTCTACGCTTCGGAGACGTGGACCCTGCGAGAAAGTGAGAAGAAGAGAATAGACGCTCTTGAAATGTGGTGCTGGAGAAGAATGTTGAGAGTGTCTTGGAACGAATTCCGGACTAATAAGTCCATTCTCGAAGAACTTGGCATCAAGCAAGGTCTATCCTTTACTGTAAAGTCTCGCATTCTCACTTTCTTTGGTCATGTAACAAGACGTGATGATGTTTCGATTGAACGTTTAATGGTTCAAGGAAGAGTAGAGGGCACTAGAGCACGTGGCAGAACGCCCATGAGGTGGACAGACCCAAGTGAGGGCTGCGATGAATGTTCCCTTACACGAATGCACGAAGAAAGCGGCTGTTAGAGAGGAGTGACGACGAGTAGTCAAGCATGCCACAACGCTCAAGTGACGACCACGACCACTCTGTCAAGAGTGTAGCGACTTAGAAGAGGGTTCTTTCTGGTAGATTGTGTAGTATTTCGCCTGAAATAAGATCAAATCCAGGTGATTTATTTGGATTAATATTATGTTTGATTTCCCTCAAAACTTCTGTCGGTGAAACCAATTTTATATTTAGATGGTCGTTTAGGACTTCATCTGTTGTAGGTTCATAACCTGTTTGGCTTTCATTTGGATAAAATGTGTTTTCTAGGTGATCAGCAAAGCATTTGGCTTTTTGTTCATTGCTAACGGCCCATTTTCCAGGTCCAATTTTTATTGGTGATATTTGAGCAATCGGCTGTTTCATATTTTTAGTGGCCTTCCAGAGTGAGTAGTCCGTGCAGCGATCACTTGTTAGGTTTTGGAGATAGGTTTCGGTTGAAGTATCAAGGTAATTTTGGATTTGCCTTTTTAACAATTTTGTGAGATTATTCAACTTTTTCTTGTCTTGTGGGGATCTGGATTGGTGCCATAGATTTCTTTGTTTTCTCTTATAAGTTATAAATTGTGTGATCTCTTTAGGATAATTATTTTTTCTCGTGGCCCTTTTCTTAGTTCCGGGTGTGTTTTTCCAAGCTGTCTGCTGTATTAATGTTATGAATTTTCCTAAGTCTAAGTTTAGCTATTCTGGAGTTTTAAGTGGTACTCTGAGATCTACATTAATATCTAGTTCTACTTTAAAACTTTCCCAATCTGTATATTTGTTAACTAGTGTAATGTTTGGTTCTTTGTATAAGATTTTTGCACTTATTTCTAGACATATTGCAGAGTGGTCTGAGTTCATATCGTATCTCTGTTCCGTGCGAATATAGCTAGATGATAGACCTTTGATACAAAAAAGTCTATCAGATCAGGTATTTTTGTTGGATCAGTTGGCCAGTAAGTGGGTGACCTCGTCGATGCCACATCACATCTCATTTCTTGTATAGCACCCATAAGTTCTCTTCCTTTTATGTTCGTTAATCTGGAGCCCCAATACACATTCTTGGCATTAAAGTCACCTCCTATAATAAATCTATTACCTAGTGATCGAAAAAAACACATGAAAGTGTCTTTTCGCATCGTATATCGCGGTGGACAGTATAATGATGCTAAAGTAAGAGGATACCGCTTTGTGCTGACACAAATTGTAACAGATTGGATTTCGGGCTCTTCATATTTATTTACCTCATAATGTTTGATATTGTCTTTTATAATAATAGCACTGCCACCATTTCCTTTGTTTAGCTGGGTATAGTGCATGATAAACTTTATATCCTTTAAACTTAATGTGTGATTGTTTCGTAAAATAGGTTTCTGATATATGACATATATCTATATTTTCTATATCTAGGACTACTTGTAATTCGTTGTGATGATTCTGTAGCCCATTACAATTCCATTCCATAATCTAAGTGTATTAATCATTTTGACGTCTTGGCATAGCCTTTTTAGCGCTATTTTCTATTTTTTTAAGACGCTCATCAAATGACGTCATGAGCTTAAAAATTTCATCTAGTTTATTTTCACTAGATTTGGTGTGCTCTTTGCATTGAGCAGTTGTAGAGCTTGTAGCAGCAACTTGAGCGTAAGAAATAGTTTTATTTGCAATTGGAATAGTTCTTAAAGTAGGATTTTGCTGGTTGTTAACAGGTGGTTTTACACTGGTTACATGTTGTTGTTGCATAACTAATGGTTTCTTGGCAGTCTTATTTCTTAGTTTTTGAATTTCTTTGGCTATCATGCAGCCTCTATAATAAGCTGGATGAGCTTCACCACAGTGCACACATTTCGGTTTTTCTTTTGCTGGTTTACTGCAGTCTTTCCTTAAGTGTTTGCCTGTGCATTTTACACACCTTGGCTCTTTGGTGCAGTACTTTTGTGTATGTCCGTATGCCTGGCACCTCTTACACTGGGGCATAAGTTTTGCGGATCTAAGGGATTGTATCTCAACCGTGCACCCTAGTATCGATTTAATATCGTATATTTTGCTTATATCTTCGTCGTTGTTGAAGGTAAGCATGAACATATTAAGTGCCTCCTTGTTTTTCCAGCTTAATTTATTTACTGCATCCAGTATTTTGTAACCCTTAGTTTTTAGGCCCTCCATGATTTTCCCCGGATTGCAGGTGGAAGGTAATTTTTAGCCATTACTCTTATTGGCCTTTCTTGTTTATTTTCGAAAGAATGCCAGAGACAGTAGTTATCATTCAACGATTTCGTTATTTCTCTATACGCTTCGTCATTACAGGCGTTTACTTTGACGCTGTTACCATTCAACATTTTTATCATGAAGGTTCCAAATGTTTGATTTTGTGTTAAAAAATCATAAAAACTTTGATAGTTTTCCACGCCATCCACTATAATGGGGGGCGGTGAAGGAACTTTTTTGTTTTTTTCTTTTTTTGTCGTTTCTTCCTTGTTATGAGGTGAGAGTGTGAGTGACGTGTGCAACTTTCTTTTTTTCCTTGCCTTTGATCTGATCCACTCTGTTTCTTTAGCGAGTTCTTCCTCATCAGTGCCATATTCAGCAGGTTGAGAACAGGTCTCCATGTTTGACGAAGAAGAAGTTGTAGTTTTTGGTTCAACAGCGCATTTTAGCTGCTGTTTAAGGATTTCTATTTAGTTTTTTAAGTCTTCTACGAGGCTTTGTAATTTCTCCCGTTCTTCCCGTTCTTGTTTGTAGCGTGTATGTTCATTTGTTAAACGATCACACAAGTTAGCTAAGTATGCGGTCGAAAGCTTTGAACCGAAAAGAATGGGATATTTCAAAAACGTACTTTATTCAAAATAATTTTCGTATAATGTTGTCTAAAAACTACTAATTTAATTTTTATTTACTTTTCCTACTTTAGAGGTAGGCAGTGGTAGCCCAGTGGTAACGTGCTCACTTGGGAAACCGAGTGAAGCGAGCTCAAATCCCAGGTCTCGCACCTCTGATATTTTCATGTGCGAATCATTTGCAACACTTATCTTATGGTGAAGGAAAACATCGTGAGGAAACCTGCAGTAAATGTGAACGTGTCTGAGAGAACCTAGCAAGTTCTCAAAAGACATTATTATGTCCGCCAATACGTACTTGGTCAGCGTGGTGGACTATGGCCTGATCCCCTCGTACCGAAGGGAGGCCCGGGACGTTAAAAAGGGCTGAATACTTTAGAGGTTAAAAAACTTAACTAACAGGTAGATATACCGACATTAAATGATTTTAAGGATAAATTGAGTTATATAAGAATCGACAGATACAAAATATATTTTACCGTATCTGACATTTTGTGAAGAATTTTCAAATATCCATCTTGTTTCTTTTTTAATGAAGACCAGCTGTAGATGAAATTATTATGTAGCCACAACGTCTGGAACCTGTCCACAAGTACGTTGAAGATTTTCTCTACAGCATTCACATATTGGTTGTTTAGTATTGTCTTATCAGTGAAATCAACACCCAAAGCTGTCACTGAAATTTGAAATATTTAATTTTTTGATTTTAAACATATTTTTAAAACAGGATGTAGGCAGTGTCTATATTTACTTTCGAGTTAGATGGAGTTAGATGTAATGAGGATCAAGAGTGCACTCTTAAGGACTAAAATGTCATAAAAATAATAATTTCAAGGTGAATGAATCAAACTGTGGTTAATTATATTATTAGAGTTCTTTTTATAACAAAAGGTGCAAAGGAACAAACTATCCACCTAGAACCCCATATTATAGCTCTCATGGAAAACCTCACGCGAAATATCGTTCTGCAATTTGCACTTAAGAAATGCAATATAAAACGAGAAATTATACATATTATAACCAGATTAAAAAATCTAAACAATTTATATTATTCAAGTAGTTGATCCGACAAAAACTATTGGACTCGTCGTTCTTTCAAAAGCTGACTGGAATGTGGCAGCCCCACAAACTTGGATTTTTATATTTTCCGTGAAAATTTTCCTCGGACTTCAACGAATATAAAAAAAATAGCTAAATTGGACCAGCTGTTTTCTAGTTTTGCGCTTAGCAACACTTTTAGCCACTCATTTTCATTTATAAGAAGAAGATATAATATTATAGTACCTGGGCGACCGAGCCTTGCTCGGAGTGTTTGACCAAAAAAAACATTAAAAAAACCAACTACGAATTTGAATAACTACAAAAAAAAAACTAAATTAAAAACTTTGTGTCCGACCGGGATACGAACCCAGACACCTGTGGTTGTCAAATTTGTGCATTGGCCGCTTGACCATGATGCTTATATCTGAGCATGCGAAATTATCGAACATAATATTTTGCATGGAATTATTAATTTATTGAAATAATGCAAAAGGAATCATAATAATAATAAAGCTCTATTTATTCATTTATTTATTATAAAGGCTTACTAACTAAATTTACATAAAAACATTTATTTAACATAATAATTTTACATATTTGTATATAAATTTAATTTAAAAGTATGCACAGCTTTTTATAAAAGTATTCCATTAAAATTTTATTTGGTTAAGAGTATATAAGGAGCCATTTTAGTTGTACAATAAACAAAAGAAGAAAAAAAAACGAATCTAAATATTTGAATACACTTTCTTTTTAAATAAATTTAAAGTATCAGAAAAAAATGTCTATATCACATTGATGAAATATAAAATTATATAATTTAGTGACTATTTATTAACTTATAATTTTTTAACTAATAATTTTGTAATCTGGAATTAAATTATTTAAAAATCTTTAATATTATTTGAAATTATATTGTATATATATATATATATATATAAGACGGAGGAGGATTTAGTTACCTTTTTCTGTTATGAAACCTTATTATTGTTAAAGTCACTATGTTCTTTAATTTCCTTTTTATTCCTTTTAAAGTGATTTTAAATTTAGAGCAGAGATTTAGTCTCGAGCGGGGTCGAGACGCCATCACGACATTCTTTGCAGATACGTGGTGTAGTAAAGTCGGTTGATCTTAAAGAGTTATGTTTGATATTGTAGTTGGAAGTCGATGATCGGTGACTGTGAACCCGCTAGCTCTAAATCATTAGAATTACCGTTTCAAGTTTATAACATTGTGACTTCCCTGATTAAATTGTGTATTGAGCATTGAATACTTTATTATTTGAGCCCTGATAACGCCCACAAGATGAGTAACCACTAAAGATGATGTTCGTAGTATATGGATAACACGACATCAGAAGTGGATGATACCCGAAGAACAGGGCAAAGATAGATGACAGCGGCCATTTGAAAATTATGTGGTAAAAATTTTCTCAAACTGAACGAAATACGATGTCAAATGTTATTTAAAACGGACGCACAAAATGGCGATGCATATGCGGGTTGTTTTACAGAAGATTTACTTTTTGATAATCATGAATCATGATGATATGATATACTCGTATGCAAGATGCTCAAAAGATTAAAATAATCATAGATGTCTCAATTTAATTTTTATGAAATGACATGACGTCGACAAAGATTTGTTGCTAGCTGGATTTGATTTTCTTGATATTATCGCAGAAATATTTTTGAACACAATATTATGTATGGAAAAATTAAATGGAAAATTTGTTTATTTCAGGATGATATATGAAATTAATTTATTTAATCGATAAATTACGAGAATTATTTTTGAAATATTTTTCTTCGATGCTTATAAGGACCTTCTTCTAGTTCTGAAATAAAATATAAATCATGTCAGAATTTTAGAGTGTCAAAAATGTTTTGTATTGTAATTGTTTGCTTTATATTTGCTTTATTTCAGGATTTTTAAAGTGAAAATATTGAGTTGATATTTTTGATAAAATAAAATTTAACTAAAAGGCTTACTATTGATGATACTTGCAAAATATATTGGGAAAATAACATGATCTCTGGTTATACTATAATCGAGGTGGTATAAAAGTGATGTTTTTATCTAACAAAATTTTTTTGCAGTTCATCAAGTGAAATATGAGAAATAGTTGACTGTATTAATGGTGATACAGTGACAAACTAATGTTTGTACTAAAGATGATGTTCGTAGTATATGGATAACACGACATATATATATATATATATATATATATCATTAACAAATAAATAAACAATGACAGTAAATTAAATAATTCAATTGAGTAAATACTAAACATTTCACAATAATACATATAAAAAAATTTCTTTCCATACATTAATTCTGACAATAGTTATAAATTAGGTATTTAATTTCATATTTAAATGTATTTATTTAGTAAATGTCCTTTTCATGTATAGACCCCTCTCGGTTAACTCCAAAGTAGTCCTGCATAGAGCTCTCCGTTGGAGATTATGCTTGTATGATTGCAAAGGGTTTCTTTTCAAATTTTGTTTCCAATATATAATTTGTTTCTGATATGCCTATCAAGTTTATAATTTTATCTTTGTGTTCTTTTGATTTGTTGTAGGAAATACTGCTTTTAATTGTAGAAGTTTTTCTGGTGAAGATATGTATACCTTTGTTCATTGTATGTCTGTTTTTCTTTGGAGGGTTATGGTCGAATTCCCCCACAGTGACCGGCCGTGCTGGGGGATAAAGATGAGGAGGTTCCTACTGTGTTTAATAAACTGTATCTTGCAGTGTTGATTTTAGTTGTTCCTGGTTATCATTTGTGTGGTTGAAAGTTAATTTTGGTTTTTGTAATATAAAGTCTTTAATATTACCAAGTATGGTTTTCTTTGTATGTTGTTTATTTGTTAGTTTTTGTTTATAATTGAGGTAAGGCGTTTCTGGAGATACAGGCAGACTTCTTTTATTTGAGTATTGGCGAGAAGTGTTCTTATTATTATCCACAATAATTAGTTTGTCAATTTCAATTTTTTTATTTCTAAGTGTTTAAATCATTATTGTTGATTGTATTTTTGGCACAAGTTTAGAATAGGGGACATTGCCCCTGGTGGAGTGGGTGGTATTTCTGGATAGGGGACGTGATAAGGAGTCGAAATGTTAAATAAAAAATTTTCCGAAAACGTACGAGTAAAAAGTTATTGACACTTAAAGTTACAACATTTCCATACATCTATACTAATATTATAAAGAGGTAAAGTTTGTGATCTTGTGAGTTTGTGAGTTTGTGGGTTTGTGAGTTTGTGAGTTTGTGAGTTTGTGACGTTGTAGGGGGTAATCTCTGGATCTACTGAACCGATTTTCAAAATTCTTTTACCAATAGAAAGCCACGTTCTTTCTGAGTGTCATAGGCTATATATTAACGCGAAGAATGAAAAGGCTTTTTCGTGGTAGTCGGATTTGCAAAGTAAGTCGGAGAAAAAACGGTCGAACGAAAAGGTTTCTTACGAACGCTGCATTAACGGTGAGAGATATATGATTATGTTCTAGAGAAAAGTTGTAGAGCTTAATAATGCCTACAAAAAAGTCAGCGACAGCATATGTCTAACTTTTATATTTAAGTCACAAAAAGTAGTTTTTTATATTAAAAAAATAATTTTAATCGGTAGGTCATGTTTATTGGTCATATTATCAACAATTATGAATTCTTATCAAAATAAGTAAATTTATCGTCTAAAATGTTTAAAACAAAAGACTTTTCCCTTTTACTGCATATAATTTGGACAAATGGTTAAAGAGATAATACAACATATTCGAAGGTATGGACGAACCCGAGCGAGCTGTTTATCTGTTTTCCTGTTTGTACGGGCTAATCTCCGAATCTATTGGACCGATTTAAATAAAATTTTGCATGGTGATACCTTATATCCCCGTGCAACATCTTAGATACTTTTCATCCGGAAAATTAAAGAGTTCCCGTGGGATAGTTAAAAAACTATAACAACTTATACAGCTTAGTACACAAAAACTACTGATTGGATTTTAATGAAACTTTACAATAATATAGTTCATACATGACTAAAACAAATCAGCTACTTTTCATCCCGGAAAATTAAAGAGTTTCCGTGGGATAGCCAAAAAACTATAGTAACTTATACAGCTTAGTACACAAAAACTACTGATTGGATTTTGATGAAACTTTACAATAATATATATAGTTCATACATCAGAATAAGAAATAGGTTACTTTTTATCCCGGAAAAATGTACTGTTCCCGTGGGATAGATGTTTTTGTTTATTTGTAACGTATTATGTACACAACATAAACCCCAAAACAATAGTTATTAAAAAGTTGTCTGTTTGTCTGTTTGCCTGTATGTCTGTTTTTGCGTGAGCGTTTCACGCGAAAAGTAATGTACCGATTTCAACGAAATTTGGTGATAACTTATTACTCGAGTCAACATTTAGGATACCTTTTGTATGTATTTATGTATGTATGTATGTATGTATTCAGCCCTTTTTAACGTCCCACTGCTGGGCACGGGCCTCCCTTCAGTACGAGGGGGATCAGGCCATAGTCCACCACGCTGGCCAAGTGCAGGTTGGCGGACTTCACATGTCTTTTGAAAACTTGCTGGGTTCTCTCAGGCATGCAGGTTTCCTCACGATGTTTTACTTCACCGTTAAGACAAGTGGTAACTGTGTTAGAAATGATTCGCACATGAAAATATCAGAGGTGCGAGACCCGGGATTTGAAATTGCTTCACTCGGTTTCCCAAGCGAGCGCGTTACCACTGGGATACCACTGCCTAGATACCTTTTACTTCAAGAAAATCTTTCTTTCCCACGGGAAAATACAATAACTGGTTTTATAGAGTCCTCCTTAGAAACCTTCCGCTGGCTAAGGCTTAAGACATACATACATTAAAACAATATACAAAAAAATTGTGGGTCTTGAAAAGTCCTACAGAAAAGTTCTGAATTGTATATGTCTATCTCCTAAGTTACACTCGCTATAACTATTTTCATTATTATATATTACTGTTTTATTATACGTTATTTATTCTATTCTATCTATACATATAATAAAACTGTAGAGGTTATTTCTCTTCTGTTTGTCTGTTTGTACGGGCTAATATCTGAAACTATTGAACCGGTTTAAATAAAATTTTGTATGGTAGTACCTTATATCCCCGGTCAACATCTAAGATACTTTTCATTCCAGAAAATTAAAGAGTTTCCGTGGGATAGTTAAAAAACTATAGTAATTTATACAGCTTAGTACACAACAACTTACGCACCTAATTTCGTAAAATTTGGCATGCTGATACCTTATACTGCCGGTCAAATAACAGGTTACTTTTCATCCCGGAAAAATGAACGGTTCCCGTGGGATAGATCTGTTTGTGTTATTCTAGAGGTGAACCCGAGCGAAGCGAGGGTGAGCCGCTAGTTTTCATATATTTCTTTACCACCATTCGGAGTCGGTGGTATTTTTAGATAGGGGAGGTGACAGAGAGACTAAACTAGAACTAATTAACCAAGACAAACACTTATAATTTTAAGATTTATTTTCAAGCCAATCAACACCATAGCACCTTGTAATAAAGTCACAAATATTCTAATTATCATCATACACTTACGATCATTTCATAACTTATATAATCTTTATTGTAAAATCAACGTTATATCAAAAAACATAAAGCATTTTTCCCGTTCTTGCTTTGTGAGCTAAATCGTTGTTTTGTTTCTGTTTGCTTCTTTGAATTGGCGCGTATATTGGCCGACCTGGGCCAATGTTCTTAGTGGATTTAAAATTGTTCAAAATTTCATTTTTATATTATTTCGCAGGTTAAATCTTAAAATATTGACTTTCTACCTACGTATATTTACCAAAAATCAGACACTCCGTCTGCAAAATTTCTTCTTCGCGCATTATTTTAAATACATATTATTGCGGCATTGTGAACGTGTTTCCGTTGGCAGTGTTTCAATAGAACTAATCGAAATATACGCTCACTTTGCAAGTGAGCTTATATTTACCGAGACGGATTTCTTACGCCGACTCGATATCTAGTAATATTGTTGATCGAATTCCATAAGTCACTCTTGTTAACCAAGAGCAATATAACATTAATAGTACAAAAGACGTGCTTTAACTTCCGATCCCCGAACTCATAGAACGTAACAATATTATAAAACAATGAATTTACTTACAACATATAGTTTCTAAAGCATTATATCGTGTGTACACCCAGTGATCGAAAGGACCCTTTCCAACTTCTTTTTCCAAATCTTTAACTAAACGCCGGGCTTGTTTGTTAAACACATCCAGAAAATTATCAAGTGCCACTTGACTGAAGGCAGGATTTAGCAGTTTACGGTGATTCTTCCATATAGGAACTGAAAACACGATAAAAGAAATAAAAATGAAATAGCCTTTAATTTCTGAAATAAGTTGACATTATACACTCACACATGCAAATCATTTTTACATAGATGGCATATTATTAAGTAAACATATCAATCATTAAAGAACAAAAATTAATATCTTTCATAAGTAAAGTGATGTAATAATAATAGCTCGAATTTTATTTAAAATACTAGCGGCTCACCCTCGTTTCACTCGGGTTCGTCGCTAGGTACGTTTTAAATAGATATAAATAGTTATTAGCCAGCGTTAGTCAAATATTTTTTTTTTGTTAATAATATTGACAAATATTGACATTAATATTTATACAATACTAACGTCACTCAATTGTTTTGCCTTTACGGAACCTCTCCACTAAAACTTAAACTTTATGGTATGGTATTAAAGTTCAAATTGAGTTTTAAGTATTATTACGAGTCTTTTGTATGGGAGTATAGATAAGTGTTGTTTTTAGAATTTTTCAGGCAATTTTTTAAATTTTTCTCTCCTTAAGAACCATCCTCGTACTTCAAGGAATATTCTAAAAAAAGAATTAGCGAAATCGGTTCAGCTGCTCTCGAGATTTGCGCTTACCAACACATTCAGCGATTCATTTTTATATTATAGATTTATACAATATTGTTAGTTCCTTTTTTTGTTATTTTGATTGAATGCTATGATTGTAAATGTATTGTTAGTACCTTGTAAATAAAAACGGAGTATACTAATTTTTATAATGCTAACTTAAATTTATCATACTTAATTAAAAATGTTGAATTTTTGTAATTTAAATAACCATACATAAAAACAAAAATTCTGCTACTAGCTTAATTCCAATTATGCACATAAACCAATAATAAATTTTAGTATTAACTATCACATAATAAATATATGTACGTAGTATTAATCATTATTTTTAGTAGTTTAGTTTAACTGTTTAGTAAAACTTTGAAATTTGTAAAATGTTTCTTATTTTAGTTTGCATATATAGAGCAAAGGCCTTTTTTTTAACGTTGGGAAATGCATTTACGCACGAAGTGTGGGACTCACCGGCAAAGCCAATACTACCCACTAAAACCCAACAAAACCTTCCCCCGTCTTAATGGGGCGTCGCAGGATCGCTTACGCATTCAACTACGACGCCCCGACGGCAGGTCTGCCGAAGCAGACCACAACAACCACGGGGTTGCTCCACAGTCCACTTTGCTATCAGAGAAGTTCCAGGAGCAACCCGCATGGTACACCGCCCTCCGAAGAGGGCCACCTCCCACCGCCCACCGAAGTGGGCCACCTCCCTGTGCGTTTCTTGGCTTCGCGCCCGATTAGGTTGCCACCGGGCACTACTGAGCCCCCCTACCACAACAAGGTGAACGCACGTTGGGGGGATATAGAGCAAAAGCCTCTAACTCCTTCCATCGTTTTCTGGCATGTGCTCTTTTCCAATGTGGTCCTGCGGTCTCTTTAATTTCGTCCTCCCTTCGTTTAAACTGTCTACCTCTTTTACGCTTAGCGCTCCTGGGATACTAATTTGTTACAGCTTTACTCCATTTATTGTTTTCTTCTCCTAATGAGTGCCCAGCCAACCTCCAGTTTTGCATGTCTATTACATTTAGGATATCAGAAACCTGTTTTTTCTCTGATTGTAGTTTTTTTTTAATCTGTCTTTAATGGAAACTCCAAGCATGCTTCTTTCCATTGCTCTTTGGCACGTTTTTAATTTTCCTCTGTTGATAATATTTAAGGCCCAGGTTTCCCACCCATATACATACATAGAGAATACAGGTGTTAAATATTTTTCTTTTTAGAGATATCCTTAGATTTTTACTTTTCATGGATTCCTTTAGTTACTAAAACTTTTTCCATTCTGTCGCAATTCTTCTGTTTATTTCCTTGGTTGTTAGGTCAATAGGTGATATAAATATTAACTTTATTACCTAATTGCATTTTCTGAGAAAATTTACCATAGTAATGTATGTATATTTTTTTACACCATCAGAAAGTAGACATTTCAACAAACAAAAACCCACCCCCTTTTTTATAAAAGCAGATAGTTTGACGCGAGAATTTTCGATTAAAAATGAGGGTGCTTGTTCGATATTAGGCAAGTCAAAATAAGGTGAAAAAAATAAATATTTTGAATAAAAAAAATACAGTATGTTTGGGACAGAAAAAGGTAAGTTTTCATCAAATTTCGTAAAAAGATGTTTTTTTGTAAAATATAAAAATAAAAAACCTAAAACTTGGTTATTTGAATTTTTCACATAAATTTTGAGGTTATGTGAAAAAAGTGTAAATACAAAAGTTGTAGATCTTTTTATTACCTACAACTTTTTTTTTATTTAACTTTTTTACCCTTAAAAACGCACCTCCTCCCACTTCCCGACCTCAGATCTACCATAAATTATTTTTCCTTTCATTTTTGTTATATTCTCTTCCTTTTCCAATGGGTTTCATCACACTATTATTATTTTTTTGGTTTTTAAAAATTATGGACCCTGGTCTAATATAGAAAATGAATTTAGTAAAACCAAATCTGCTATCTTTACGCCCCCATGCTGTACGGGAGTATTCTTTAGGTTAAAGGATAAGTAATAAGTATATAACAACTATTTATTGAAAAAGGATATTATTTTAATTTTTTGAATTAGTAACTTAAATGTTAATAAAAAAAAATATGTACTGTATACTAGATTTCAAATCGTGAAGATCCAGTGAGAACGCGATTATTAAAAATCGGTATAGAACCAATAACTTCTTAATTTTTCAAAATCAATGATTTTCATAGCATAAAGTTAAAAAAATTTTTGTTCACACTCCAAATTTTGCTGCCCCTAAAAATTTGCCACCCTGGGCACTAACCCCGAGTGCCCCTAGTGTAAATCCAGGGCTGACTGTTTCTCTCGTATATCATAATATCAGTCACTCCAATGTTATTCTTATTTACTTAGCTACTTACTACATATTAAAGACATTTTTGTCCATAACCTCTAGTTCGATTTTGATGCAGTTTTCAGTTATGGGCTCGGGTTTGATTGGTGCATGTTCTTAGATAGGTGTTACGGTGACAACTCACCAAGGGGCGCTGCAGCAAACATTGTTTGTGCAAATCAATGTTGCCATTTTTCCCCAAAATTGCTAGTCCGATTTTGATGCAGTTTTCAGTTATGGGTTCAGGTTTAATTGGTGCATGTTCTTAGATAGGTGTTACAGTGACAACTCACCAGAGGGTGCTGCAGCAAACATTGTTTGTGCAAATCAATGTTGCCATTTTTCTCCAAAACTACTATTCTGATTTTGATGCAGTTTACAGTTATGGGTTCGGGTTTAATTGGTGCATAATCTTAGATAGGTGTTACGATGACAACTCACTAGGGGGCGCTGCAGCAAACATTGTTTGTGCATATCCATGTTGCCATTTTTCTCCAAAACTGCTAGTCCGATTTTGATGCAGTTTTCAGTTATGGGCTCAGGTTTGATTGGTGCATGTTCTTAGATAGGTGTTACGGTAACAACTCTTCAGGGGGCGCAGCAGTAAACATTTGTTGGTGTAAAACCAAAACTACTAGTCGGATTTTGATGCGGTTTTCAGTAATGGGCTTGTAGTTGATTAGTGTGGGTTCTTAAATAGGTGTTACGATAGTAGCTTATTAGGGGGCGCCCCGTTAATATATATTTTATAGTAGTTATTTTATAGTAGCTACTACATAATAAGGAAATTCGATAGAACTCGATAGGTAAGTACTTCTGTAGGAAGTAGTGATGTAGAAACTAAAAATTCTTTAGAACAAAATTTAAAACATACGTCGTACACGATTTAAGCGCAAAAATGTATGTGAGTCAAAAGACGAAGGCAACGTATATACATAATATCTATGCTCTCTAAAAAGTTTAAAATAAAAAGCAAAATTAAAGATTTTGAAAAAACCCACGATGGTTAAAAAGTAATTGAAAAAGGATAATTTAAAAACCCTCGACTTAAAAAATAAATGTAACGCGAGATAAAGTCAAGCATATCCGTCGGAAGCTGCTGCTGGTCGGTATTTTATCCTTTTTCAATTACTTTTTAACCGTCGTGGGCTTTTTCAAAGTTTTTAATTTTTACATTAGTCTTAAATAATAATTTCACAAAGTAAATTAAGGGAAAACAAAATCAAACTTAAAAGTTAATTAATGAAATGCAAGAAAAACATAAAGCTTAAGGAACTAAAAGGAAAGTAGTCACTAAAATACGGCACGCAGCGTGACCATCTAATACTTGTTCAAAATTTTGGAACGAGATTCATTCCTCGAGATTCATACCGTTTTCGATTCAAATTGGCGATCTGATCGGGCTAAAGATCTCATCGATCGAAATATTCAAGGACACACAATAATCATCATATTGTTTTATACTTACCAGTCCCAGTCACCAGACCCTCCCCTAACCATGGTTTCGCAAATTCATAAAAACTATCTTTTTCTAAACAAGTGTTGGCTACAGTCAAGAAGTCCTCTGGATCGGTTATCGCTACAAAGAAAAAATATCTCAATAATTTTTTGTATAAAAACTTCTTAATTTTGAAGAAATTTTACCAATAATGTGTAAATTATACCATAAACAATTCTCGGACCAATAGACATAGACATCACTCCGCCTGCTTTAAAACTTTCATTGAACAACTCTTTCAAGGTATTCCACAATTCTGAAAAAAAATATTTAAATTTAGAACTGATTCTAATATCACAGCCAATATAATAATAATAAATTTTATTTCAAGTAACTTAACACTCATATTTTGTTAGTATACAAAGTACTTATATTCTATGTTAGTACTTACATTCTAGATACATTTAAGATACATATACTTTTACATTCACATACATTTATACATTACTAGCAAGAAATAGTACAGCAGTGATTAACATATCTATAATCCAACCTACTGGCAATTACCCTCATGATGCTGTTGGTACTACCCCGTAATTTATCCAACAGGGATCCACATCTTTTGCGCATCGTGGCATAGAAACAATTATTCCTGGCTGTAGCGAACATCCCTGATGCACTACAAAAACGGGGTAATCCCAACAGCACCCTGAAGGCATTATTGTATTGAACACGAAGCACGTTATATGTTTTTTGCGAGTACTTGGCCCACAGATTGCACGTGCAAAAAGTTGTACAATATGCTCTGAACAAGCAGAGTTTAACACTATATGAACAACGTACAAATCTACGGGCCAGCATATTCGCTCTCACTGAGAACGCCCTTCGTTCCCTCTCTATATCCGTGTCGTCTTTAAGGTCGGGGGTCAATATATGTCCCAATCCCAATATCGAGATTCGATTTTTTTCGTCCGTTTGCTTACTTTCTCGAATATCACATATCATTTCACATTTCTCGAATATAAAATCTTGAAATGTTATTATAGGGCTTAAAATTCTATAATATTATAACTGGCTACAATATGGATGTTGACATTAATTGATAAGTAATACTTGTTTCCTTATCCTTTATTAAATCCATACTTAATATTATTAAGGTGAAAGTGTTTGTTTGTCCTTCTTTCACGTCGTAACAGTGACGGACTGACGAGATTTTTTGTGTGGAGATATTTGGGGGTCGAAAGTGACATAGGCTACTTTTTACTGTGGGAGATATATGCGGGGATGAAAGTTTGTATGAAACCTAGCTTTTCAACCGACTTCCAAAAAGGAGGAGGAGTTAAAAGAAGAGGTTCTCAATTCGACTGTATCTAATATATTTAAACGAGCGATTCTTGTATATATATATATATATATATATATATATATATATATATATATATATATATAATCTGATTCTCGGAAACGGCTTATCGGTGTGCTTTGCTTTGTATCAGCTGGGAGCGACTTCGAAATTATTTGATTACGTATGTATAGTAAATGAAAACTACCAATCATTTATTTTTTTACTTTTTAGTGCTTTTTTTGAAGTCGGTTTTTATTTTTTTATTAAAAAGTTTTTATTTTTCCCTTTTTAGTGTAGATAGTAGTAGCAAAGTAAGAAGAAAATATTTTAATAAAATATTCACTTAAACCGTTTAAGTTACTTTGATGCCAATTTTTATACGAGGACTTACAAACTAAAATTCGCTTTTATTAGTAACACTAAAAATTCTGACTCTAAAATCTGATTCTAACGTGTTAGACTTGACGAACAAAATACGCCCAAACTCTAGCCCTATTAGCCGTTGAAGAGTTCCACCTACCCACCTTCTGGCCTAACCATCAGATCATGTCAACGATACCGATCCACTGCACAATCAACGGAAATAGAAACACTTGCAAAGTTTCAAGTCAATATTACAATTAGAAGTAGGTTCATCATTAGCTATTTTTCCACCCTTAGGGGTGGTATTTTTTTTTATTTAAATGGGACCAATCTGGAAGTATATACTTTCAAACAAAACAAAAATGTTGTGAGGTAACAAACATAAAAAAAATATACAACCGAACTGAGAACCTCCTCCATTTTGAGGAAGTCTGTTGACAAGGATGAGTACATACATACATATTTTGTTCATATCCTTATTTATTGACACCATTCAGAGGCACAAAACAAAGTATTTATTTTGATAATAGTCTAAGATCCCGATCTATGTGGTCGACTCCTTATTCTTTTTCCAAACAAAATATATTTTTTAAACATGCCTCGGTGGTGTAGTGGCTAGCATGGACGGCTGCACACTCGGAGGTCCTGGGTTCGAGTCCCGGATCGGGCCAAGTTTAGTTATTGAGTCTTTCTGTTTAGTAAGTCTCAGTAGCAGCCCGGAGTTGAAAAGTTGGCGGTGTTTCACCCCCGTGCCTCGGAGAGCACGTACAGCCGTCGGTTCTGCGCCTTAACTCTCACTGGTCGTGTCGAGCAGTCGTCTGACCGGAGTATGAGAGTGACAGGAATAGAGAGTGTACTTGTGCACCATAATATCTCCTGCGCAGTTGGCTAGTCTCAATGAGTTTGGCCGCCGTAGCCGGAATCGGCTAGAAAAACATCATATTTTTTAAAACGTAAGACATAATAAACTAACAAACACGACCCAGGGGGGTTCTCACCAAAAAAAATTCTGGGGGCTATTTTTTACTAAAAAAACGTCTAGTCTGGAGATGTTTGGTATGATAACCCTATATCAGTAAATTTGTTATAAAATTATCTACATTTTGATACTTACATCCTTCCGGAAAACGATACGAAAAATTAACTACTTCAATTTACCTGTTTATACCTGGATGTCAGTTAATGTTGTTAAGTATTAGGAAAGCAAACGTTATTCTCATATTTGGTAAAAAAGAAATATTGTAAATAATACGTATATAAGTTTTATTTCCATTTAAATATCAACAAATGTGTTCGAAAACGCCCGCTAAACGTATAATGGCATTTTCTACAAGTCTTTTATTTTCGATTGATACTAATTTGTCATAGAAAAAGAGTTCTTGTACTTAAAAAAAACAATTAAAAATGGCTTGGATCAAATTTTTGGTGACAACTTAAAAATATTGAAAAAAAAACATTACTTACGCACACTGTCGCTATAAAATAAATGTGCATGACCTATCAAAGGTAGACTTCCGGGATAGGCTGGGGGTTCATCCTTGTTACCATTCCTTCGACACCACGCCCAGAGACCGAATGCCACACAGATCAGTATTATCATGAACATGATCTTTAACAAGTTTGTTATGGAAATAAGACAAAATTGAGGGTAGATTTATTTGTTAATTTTTTTATTTAGGTATATTAAAAACAAATAATAATGTTTAAATTCTGAAAAGTGGAGTTCAGATTTTTAGATTATTTCATATACAATCATTTAATTTTAATAATTGAAAGACACTGTTTATTTTCTTTTTTTTACTAAATATACTTATCAAAAATATTAAATTAAAATACAATATTTATACTTATGTGTTTTAACCTACCACCGCTACAAGGATTTACAATAATCACCTTTAAAAAGTCTTATAACTGATAACTCGAATTTAAAATGCTTCTGTTACACAAAACTTCGCGCACCATTAAATATTTTATTTATTTAGATTTTAAATCCTTCTATATAGAAGTGTGAAAATTTAATAAAATGGGAACTGAGTGGACATAGCTCTTTATAGTACGATTTTACGATTTATTATAAGTAGTTTTCACATTCACTGTAGTTAATCTGATATGCAGTTTCACAATGACCGGATATTAATCATATAAAAAACTTAACATATATGAACAGAATGTAATTTTTTTGGTTCTTAGACGTGGCACCGCATGTTTGTGTATTTCTAATGAACTAGAAAATTAACTCTATCTCTATGTATTTGAATCCTCTGTGTCAAATTAAAATGAAGCTATGTTTGATCTCACTACTTTTTTTTTTATTGTCGCTCGACAAGATGACTCCATGACGCCTGATGGTAAGCGACAGTGGAATCCAGAATGAGATCCATCGGTTCCGGGACTTGATCTCGATTCCGATCAACCTCACCTCGTCGGCCTGCAAATGTGCTTTTTCACGCTCCGTTTAAACGACCCAGGATTATAGGAAGAGGGAAACACGTGAGACGGTAATGAATTCCATTTCCTAATAGTGCGGCACAGGTAGGAGCTGCCAAACCTTTTGGTACGAGAAGGTATGGGTAGTACCGTGTGAGGATGGAATTTCCGACCAGCACGTGTGGTTTTGGAGAGGAAAGGAGAAGAGGGTATAAGTTGGAAGAGCTCTTCTGAACACTCGCCGTAATAAACGCGATAAAAAGCGGCTAGAGAAGCAACATCTCTACGCAATTGCAGAGATTCTAAGTACTTAGTAGCCTCAGGTTTATTGATTATGCGGATAGCACGGCGTTGCAATCTATCAAGAGCGTCTAACAAGTACTTTGCAGAGCCATCCCAGAGGTGGGAGTAGTACTCAACGCATGAGCGCACTTGAGTCTTGTACAGTAGACATAGCTGCTCAGGCGAGAAGAACCGCTTCACCCTGTTCAGGACCCCGAGTTTACGCGAAGCAAACGAAATGACACTCTCGATATGGTTTTTTTGGTTCAGATCGCTGCGGATATTAACTCCGAGGATATTGATGCCATCCTGCATAGTAAGGCGAGTGTTCTGAAGAGAGGGAAAACAAAGGAATGTAGATTTTTTTGCCGAGAACGCGCACACCTGCGTCTTCTTGACATTGAACTCGACCAGGTTCTTTGAACCCCATACTGAGATGCGGTACAAGACATCGTCGAGCTCACGGACAAGTTCTGTTCTCCTGTTATCTATTTCCATTCGATTAGCGGCTGGATGGCCAAAGTATCGACCGTGGACAGTGCTGTCGTCTGCATAGCAATGGATATTACCCAGGGAGAACATGTCATTGATATGCAGAAGGAAGAGTGTTGGCGATAAAACGGACCCCTGAGGCACACCGGCGTTCATCTGTAGGAAGCTAGAAGCTTGCCCATCGCAGAGAACGCGGATACTGCGCTCATGCAGGAAGTCAGCCACCCAGTCGCACAATCGAGGAGACAGACCGTAAGCCGGAAGCTTGGAAAGAAGAGAACGGTGCCAAACCCTATCGAAAGCTTTCGAGATGTCAAGGCTAACAGCAATCGATTCGCCATGCTTGTCCATAGCCTCGCCCCATAGATGCGTCATAAAAGCTAGAAGATCACCCATCGAACGTTTTGGTCGAAAACCATATTAACTTTATTGAAAGTGTACTTTAGTGAAGGTATTCGTATTTATTAATCTTAAAATAAATTATACGTACCCGTGATATACAGTAATAGCTGCTTCTTTCAATACTATTTTCCGGATTTTCCGGAAGATCCGGAAGAACTTTTTTGATCGATGGTCTAAATGCACGTACAAAAGAATGGATTCTGGAACATATCTTTTTAGCTTTTTCTATCCATTTCTTTTCCCTCCGGATCTCTGAATTGGGCGACTTTAATTACTTTATTACGGAACTGAAAACTGATTTATCGGTGGTAGGACTCTGTCAAGCCTGAGGAGTCCGACTGGATGGGTACCCCTTTTTTTTTTTTTTTTTTAACGTTGGGAAATGCATTTACGCACGAGGTGTGGGACTCACCGGCAAAGCCAGTACTACCCACTAAAACCCAACAAAGCCTTCCCCCGTCTTAATGGGGCGTCGCAGGATCGCTTACGCATTCAACTACGACGCCCCGACGGCAGGTCTGCTGAGGCAGACCACAACGACCATGGGGTTGCTCCAAAGTCCACTCTGCTATCAGAGAAGTACCAGGAGCAACCCGCATGGTACACCGCCCTCCGAAGAGGGCCACCTCCCACCGCCCACCGAAGCGGGCCACCTCCCTGTGCGTTACTTGTCTTCGCGCCCGGCTGAATTGCCGGGCACTACTGAGCCCCCCCACCACGACAAGGTGAACGCACGTTGGGGGGGGGATGGGTACCCCTCCCTTATCTAATTCTTCCGCCAAGCAAAAATGATTACATTGTTGTGTTCCGGTTTGAAGGATAAGGTAGCCAGCGCAATTACAGGCAAGAGGCATATCATCTTAGTCCTCACAGTGACAACGCACCTGCGGTTCTGTATTTTTGTAACATAAAACCTAAGTGCATGAACCGTAGGTGTTATGGGCGACAGGTACCGCTTTCCATCAGGTGAGCTGTTTGCTCGTTTGTCACTGAATACTATAAAAAAATCAGGAATACCCCAATAAATACTCGCGAGACCAAGGACCATCTTATAAATATCGTAGTAAATACCGGAAAGGCTCTTAACATTGATATTTACCGTCATGAAATAAAAGATGACTTTCGGACCAAAACAAAAATTCCCAGTAATACAACTTTAATAGTAAATTTCACAAGTGTTATTATGAAAGGGAAACTGATCAGTGCTTATAGGAATGTGAAATGCACAATATAGACCCCAAAACAATCGTTATTAAGCATTGGCGGCATCTCCAAGCCTGTCTTTATTTCTGAAAATCTTACTTTAAAAAAAATATAGTAAAGAAGACATTTTTATTTATTAAAAAACAAGCTTTTATTTAAATGCTCTACATAGAAGAAAATAAACTTTAAATTAAATGAAACCCATCAATTTATTACATTACACAATTTATATGATATAAAATCTTGCCGCGAGATTTACCTATGTAGATCTACGAATAAAAAAAAAGGTCAGGAAGTCTAATTCAGAGCAAATTCCACACAAAGAGTGGCCCGGCCCTACTTCATACCAAAACGACGTATGATTAAAAGACGAATCACTTCAATCTGAGGTTACAAACAGACAAGCTTGGTGATTGGTTTAAATTCAGACCGAAAGCAGGGATTGGTTGGCAGGGAAGTCAATAATAAAACAATAGTATTGTATAATATTTTTTATTTTTTTGGGTTACTTCTTACAATTCAATGAAGTCTATGGTTCGCGAAATATGATTAATTTATTAAGTTTTTGTCTAGAAGACATTGAAAGAGAAATTCAACGATTATACATTTTACTAACGTGAAACTAGCGACTCAAACCTTAAGTCAAAGTGTAGCCGATGCATTTAAGTTTTGTTCGCAACAATTAAACATGCTTGATTTTCAAAACACAGATGCAACTAAGTTTTTTTAGAAATGTTTGTCAACCTTTTTGACATACCAAATCTAAGATCACTTTTTGGACACGGGTTTGAACACCCTTTTTAAAAGAATTGAAATAAGATTATTTTTAAATTTTGGTTTTCTTAGTTCTTCTTCAAGGCCGTCATTACATTCAGTGTTGTTATTATCCTCCTGAAAATAACATTGAGGATCAATTTTAAATCTATGAAACGCAATTTAAAAATCAATGTCTGCAACGTATTATGTACATAATATAGACCCCAAAACAATCTTTATTGAAATTTTGTCTGTTTGTCTGTACGTCTGTTATTGTGTGCGCATTTCACGCAAAAAGTAATGAACGAACGGATTTCAACGAAATTTGGTGAAGTGATAACTTATTACTCGAGTCAACACTTAGGATAACTTTTACTTCAGGAAAATATTTTTTTTCCCACGGGAATACACAATAACTGGTTTTATCGAGTCCTCCTTAGAAACCTTCTGCTAGCTAAACGTTAAGATATACATTAAAACAATGTACTAAAAAATTGTAGATCTTGAAAATGCCTACAGAAAAATTTCAAATAGTATATGTCTATCTTCGAAGGTACACTCGCAATACTTTTTCTTATCTATACCTATAATAAAACTAATTTAGTTAAATCGATGTGGGGGTTTGCGAAAAAAGTACTGAATCAATCATTTCTCAAGTAAGGGATATACATATATTTTATTTTTTATAATACTTACCTACTTTTCTATATATATGTATGTACATTGCACATATATGTGTATATAGTCTATTCTATATTAACCGCTAAAACGTACCTATGCGAGCGAAGCGAGGGTGAGTCGCTAGTATACAAAATAAATTAATCGGTTAAAATAATGTGGATAAACAAAATATGCTACATGCAATATCTATAACGTATCTTTGTCATAAAAAATAACCTAAAGTATAAGCTAAGGTTGTTTAAGTTTTAATTAAAATATTCAAATGAAAATATACATGTTTTGGGTCGATAATATAATCGATATACAATAACTAAATATGTAATAAATGTTAGCGTAAAATATTATTAACTAGCGGCTCACCCT